ATGTACTTCAAACAATATAAATTATTTTCATCATAATGATAGTTATACAATTGTTTCTTCAAATATATATATGTATATATATAATATTATATTCTATATATTAAGTAAATAAACAGTATCCACATCTTGTTGTGAATGGTAGAAAACTTTGATAAATTTTATGTGACAGCTTTTATACAAAGAATGTTATAAGATGATATAAATAAAGATACCGTAATCCGTAATTATTATTGTACGCGTTACAAGAACTTAGTCCGAGAATACAATAAACAGAAAATAAACCGAAAATATGAGAATAATATAGTTTAATATTCAATATATAATTAATTCAGCAAAGTCCTTAGTGTACACTGAAATATAATGAATAAAGAAACATCAGTACAGATTGATATAATATAATTATATATATATATATATATATAAACATATATACACTCACAAACAAACAGACAGACAGACGTATTAAAGATTGATAGGTACATAAGGAAACCACGGTGTGTACTATTAAGAGATGCTTTAGTTGTTATATTATATAGGAGGCTATCAAATGTAATACATAAGGACTTGGTACATACGTACATGTGTGTGTGTGTGTGTGTGTGTGTGTGTGTGTGCGTGTGTGCGTGTTAATCATATCGCCGCCACATCTGAAGGGTTGTTGATTGATCTGACCCCATGCGTCTTAATGACGATACACTCATAAATCAGCCGCCGCCTGATTTGGGAAACAAACATACATACATACATACAACACGACCAACAACGGTTTGAGATGTGCTTTGAAACTAGCTAGAAGAAAAAATATGTGCAAACAAAATTGACACGGACAAATAAATATTAAAAGGAAAATACGACGGGGAAGTCGAGCGGAAAATTATATTATAGAGGAATTCTTTATACATAATATGTACATTAGTTTGTTTGTGTGTGTGTGTGTGTGTGTGTGTGTGTGTGTGTGTTTGTCTTGTTTAAGGATGTGAGCGCATGACACGCGTCTTTCTGTTAATGAGCCGAGCTCGTGTCACGGCTCGTTACTCGGCCGACCCTCCACTATCATATGTTAAAACAATCACAGCATACTTATTGAATATTACATTAAACTATCATCACTATCAGTCTGGTTAATTGAATTTCTTTGTATATTTAGTTTGAAGAGAGTTGACCCAATCTAAGTAAAGTTTAAGGAATTTTGGTAATACATATATGGATGTTTTATTCTTTCAGAATATATATAAGAATATGTAATTTTATTTTGTAACATAGCTCTCACATTAATGAACTAAAAGTTCCCACATATCGAGTGATTTAAATAAAAAGGTTTACATTTTTGAATAATGTATCAGTTGTTGATGTGAGTGAGGAGTGAGGAGGAGTATACTCTGAGAAATTGATCTCTGAAGAAGAATAAGGAAGGTCTGATTGAGTTTGTGTTCCTTATAGTAACGAGGCTTCGCGGGGAGGCTTCAATAAAACATTATGTTTAAACATCGGCCCGGAGTTGATTTATAGTGAGCCATGAGTCAGGCTGTGGCGCGGGCAGGCTGGGCTGGTGAAGCATACATTATACTCATGTGTACCTTTATTCATGACTCTACTTTCTATTGACGAACCTGAAGGCTGTAATCTTCTATATATATAAAAATGGATTGCTGTTCCTTAGTCTCGCTAAAACTCGAGAACAGCTGAACGGATTTATCTTATCTTAGTCTTGAAATGTTCGTGGAGGTTCAGGGAAGGTATAAAAGCTGAAAAAAATTGATTCATTACTGGGAAAACAATAAAAACAGCCCTTTTCTATTTCCCATACAAACGTTTTTTTTTTTGACATTAGATTTGACAACTAACAAATATGTCAATCATTCTGTCACACTTCAAAACACGGAGATTTATGGCTTACAGGTAAACTTCAAAAATATAAATAAAAAACGTAATAAATATTTCTTGATTATAGGGCGATACGAAGTTCGCCAGGTCTTCTAGTCTAACATACAAATTTAGTTTTTCAATCTCTTCGAAATCTTTACGTACCCTGAAACTAAACTAAAAAATTATGTAAATTATTCGACTTTTATTATATCACTATTCATTTATAACTTGCAATAATTTTCTTTATAGTTAATAATAGTTTTGTAAAATGTATATATTCGCTTCAAACCCGAAAATTCTCATCCCAAACTCTAACGGAAACAAAAAAGGTTCCATAAATTCGTTCGGAACCTATCGTGAGCGGAGTTCGGAACTATAACCAGTGATTTATATCCGCGACGGATGAAGTCGGATATCGGATGAACGAGCCGACAGACAGAGAAATGATACAACTGTTGCATTATTCACACCTTATCAACGGGTCTTTAATAAATTAATAGTCTTAGAAACTGACTCGAGGAAATATTATAAAGAAAACGATGAGGTATTAAATAAATAATAAGAAAGACACGATGCACATTTCAATTCCAGATTACATTACGTCGGTCTCATATTGAATTTGAACGAACAATTAAGAGAGAGATCTGAGGCCATTTAGTAAATAAACCGGAGAAGGCTCTCAGCCTGTCAATGAATTAACTGGAAAAGTTGAAGAGGGCTGGCCCGAGTGAGGAGAGGAAGCGGGCTGGAGAGAGAGTTAATAATATGACGAGGAAAAATAAGATAACATTATAATGATTAGGGTTATACAATAGATTGTATACATATTAAAAACATGACATGTCTGTGAGTGTGTGTCTGTGTGTGTGTGTGTGTGTGTGTGTGTGTGTGTGTGTGTGTGTGTGTGTGTGTGTGTGTGTGTGTGTGTGTGTGTGTCTGTCCGCTCGTAACTCCGTCCGCTGGTGCCCGAGCTCTCGTCGAGCCGATAGTTCGATTGACTTTAGGATTGAATCCGTGTCTGTGAGACGGCGCCGGCTGTTTAATATTTACTATTGTGCATCGAACGTAAATTAAAACACTTAGGATATTATTACGTCAACATAATATATATTGTATGTTTGTTTTTAAAAACGTCTTCCGAATTTTATATATTAATGAGTTTCCTTATTTCATTAAATCTATGAACAGTTGTACTTTCCATAAAATACTTTTTACATACGATAATTCTAACACCACAATTTTTTTTAATTATAATAATAAACACACATCTCTTAAAGCAATGCTTTTTACCGGCAGTTAGCCTGATTATATTAGTATATCCCAGTACATATATATATTATGAAGTGCGTACATCACCTGCGGGAGAGATTTAACCCGAAAAAAGAAAAGGTAATACATTCTAATTAGAATCACAAATATCCATTAACATTTATCATGGACTGGACGTGTGGGGGGCGCGGGGGGGGGCAACGGGGAGGGGGGAGCTGAGAAAACGTATTTACTGAAACCACTTGTATCGTAACCTTACACCTAAATAATTATAGGGTTGTCGACGGACATACTTAGAGAAAGATGAGGTACTACACATATATATGTATATGAAATAAAATAATAGATGCTTTATTTAAATAGTTTTATAATTTAAAATTTTACTTATTTATAGAGTGAACTAACTTACATTTGTTTAGTGTTTCGTTTCTTTCTGTTCAGCCCTAGCGCCGGTATCAAAGGCCCCTAACTAAGTACATCCAATGAATTGTAAATGAAATAAGTGGGGAGTGCCTTCTGGCTTTATGGCGCTGGACATAAACGACTTACGACACCGACTACCACGTACACGTACACGTACACTCAGGAATCTATTACAACGTGTATTGTTATAATTATTGAGAAAGGATTCTACGTATTCTGGAAAACAAAAAATAAGTAATTTAACATACATATAGTATTAGAAAGATAGCTTGAGATCCAAAGTCCGGATCAAGTCACGAAGAAAATATTGGATACAATACAATTTATTTTAGTTTTATTTCTTACGTTTTACGTATTTTAGAGCTTTAGGAACCAATATTTTTACAACATGTTCGTGTTTACGTCCATTTTCATGTATAGTGTTTATCGTTATATCAAATAAAGCTGACGAAGTCACTGTCAGCTAATACGATCAGTATAATGCATCACCTAGCTCTACGAGATGTTCTACATAAACGTAGAGCTGCTACGAGAATCACGTAGATTGACGTAGCACTGCTACGACGTAGATTTTAAATATATTTATTTATTGATTTACAACATTTATGATGATGATTGTTAGTCGTCTCTGAGTCGTGTCGTGGTCGTCCCGCGTGTCGCTCCTCTTATTAATTCAGTCTCGCGCTCATTTCAATATTACATTGAATTCTCCCGGTCCACGACACAACAAACGACCTCATATTAATATATATTACAAATATCTCACCACTATTATTTGTCTTTTAATTTATTCGTCTATCTGTATTCCAAGAGCTTTCATTATATAAATATATTCATATTTTTAACTATTCGTGATTATATGATATGTTATTTTATTCCTTCACAGTCTGTCCGAACCTTTACAAATACAGTTTAAAAATCATTTAGATTTATCTTAAATTTGAACTCAAACAATAAGGAACAATTGTTATAGTAATCTCATGTTCTGTCTGCGAGCCGGGTCGTCAGTTGTAATATCAAACTTATTTCGTTGTGTTAAAGTATATAGCGGCCCGTCATTATTTACGTTCCGGTTGTTTCTCTGTCAAATGCAATGTGTTATAATAAATTACTTAATGCATCGAACTATAAAAGATTTAACACACACACACACAGGCTCGCGCGGAGGCCACGCCCCCTCCCTGTCCTTACATCACACATGCGCATCGTGCGTGTGTGCGTTAAGGGGAAGTGATATATACTGCCAATTTTTTAAGTTTATTTATTGGAATCTTTATATTGTCGATCCGATGATTTTAAAGCTCCCTTCTCCTAATATAATAACCTCTTCTTCTGTTCACGGTGTGCGGGTTCGATTCCCGGGAGACGTCTTAAACACGGCGACATCGACAATTACAATAATTATAGACATAAATTGACGGGAACCAACTTTTCCTTCCCCATTACAGATTGACAATAGCGCCTCCATTTCCCTTTGCACTTAACCGCGCCTGTGAGCGCTGCGCCTGTGTCCGTGTGGGCGTGTAGGAACATGCGCGCGTGTGTGCGTGCGGCCCATATATAGCGGGCCCCGGCCGGCGGAGCAGCACTCGCCTCCCGTCGGCCGCGGCGGAGGGTCGTCCCGCGCCCGCCATGTGACTCTCCTCCTCGACACTCGCTTCCTTCTGCTCTTCTAGTACTAGTCTATACGTATCATGTATTATTTGTAATATATTGGTGCTCAATTTAAATTAAAACATATATTTTTTATATAACCGCTCTGTTATGGCGATTTGTTAGCTTAGGGTTGTAGTCAATTGAAAGTGAGGACAACATGAACTTTATAGGTGAGTGTTTTCAACGTATTTACTTCATTCCTTTTTTTATTTACTTTTCTTTTGATTCCATCAAACCAAATTTAACGCCTTTAAATTTTAACGTCATTATAATGTCCGCGACGAACGGCCAAATAATATTTAAATTCTAAGGAAATCTAACATCAAAGTTAATTAATTGCTCGTGATGTCTATTATAGTTTCCTTAACTTCTTTTCCTACATGGCTTCTGAAATTTCTGAAAATGCTGAAATATTTTTGTAATATTCAGCGCATTGCGTTGGTTTTAAATAAAAGTAAAATATTAGTTAGCCGCAATGCGTCGGGTACACTCCGAGCCCCAGTAAACCCATTTACTCGAAGAATTCAAACATTCGCTGCCATTTCATCGGTATATTGAGTTATTGGCAGAGAACTCGACGCTTTCAGCCTTTTAATTCAATTTGTGAAAGAAACCTTCGTACACTCCGCCGATGTTCCAACCCTCTCACAGCACACTTTTAGAGAAGCGAATGAAAAATTAAAATTCAGTTTAGCTCCATAAAAAATATATATAAAAATCGTAAAACAAATCGTTTCTGGTGCAGCCTGGACACATTACTTGAATCAGTATTAAATAACTCGCAGTTAACTTAACTTCAAATGTCACTTAACAAGAACGACCTCAAATATACTGGCGAACTGAACCTAGTTGGAGACACGCCAACAACCTACATCACAGACACAGGATAATAACCTTTATTACACACTGATAAGAACTATATCCGCATCATATATTTTGTCTTAAAATTGCATGCGGCACGCAACTGAATTCGTTTAAGATTTTTTTCTGCGCAACGATAAAGGGAAATGTAGAATTTGGATTTTTCCTTAAAACAAACATTTAATGATAATAATTAAATTAATGCTATTTCTATACATATATATTTGAATAATATAAATGTAATATCATATATTTGTAAAGATAAAGTTTCTAAAGTAACTCAGACCACAGTGTACATTTAATGTTAGCGTACTCTCTTTATTACTCTGTGACATCTTATTTTAAGAGCAGCCAACAATGGACCACTATTTACTGTTTCGATTCTTTTGTTATTTAAATTTAGAAACTTTAAAACGAGATCGCCTCCAGCTTCTATATAATGTTAAAATAAAACTTCTATTCGGAAGTTGAAAATAAAATAATAACTTTGGGAAGTATAATAAAAGGTTATAGTATTTATTCCTTTTAAATTCTATCATGAATTTTCTCGACTTCAACGAAATACAAGATTACATCACGTCAGTAGAGTAAGCTCTAGATTCTGAAACTACATGTCGGAGTAAACTTTACACGGCAGACGATAATTTATATATTGGACGCGATCCAGAACTAACAGCAGGTCCCCAGACTAGTGACCTGGATAAGGCTGAAGGCATTTTTGTCTATAAACTACATAACTAGGAACAAAATACTATATTTCTTCAATAGACATATATATCTAGTTGTATCCATCTATTATTACAATCATAATACATTTTTTTCTTTTCTTATAATAAAAAAAAGAATTTTTTATAATACCGCAAGATCTGAGCGCAAACTTTTAACGACTCGGAAGGGTCCGTGTAATCCCGTCTTTGTCATTCTCACAATGGCAGAGCGGGACGGAGGTAATGTTCTGACCAATCAAAGAACATCGCTATGCTTTTAGATGAACATTCAAAGGGATTAGGAAACTGGAAAATGTATGAAAAGAAACTGGCTCGAGGACCGACGACACGAGATGTACATTAATAAGACGCGCACACACACACACACACACACACACACACACACACACACACACACACACACACACACACACACACACACACACACACACACACACACACACGCACGCACGCACGCAGAGGAGAGCCCGGGACGTAATTAAAATGGATTTATGAGCTCACATTAAACGCGTAAATAAATTGAATTCACATAAAATATAAACACAGCCTTCATAAAACAGAGTTCTCTGAGATAATTACCAGCCTTTAATGACTCCTCGTTACAAGAGAGGCCTTGCATTTAATTATTGTGTATAAATTGATTGGAGCTATGAATACTGAGAGATGGAACATAGAACCTTCCTAGCTCTGGATGTGGGTCGGTGGCTGATTGGGGACATTACACGGGTTTAGTGTTAGCTTACGTTGATATGGACTCTGACAACGTATACGTTACGTAACACGTGATACAGCCAGTTACAGTAGGAATGACTCACAGTGTCACTATCGAAACTGATCTTATTGGAAAGAAATTAACAGAGATTTTATTATCATCAAATTATTCTATCCGAAAGTCAGTGGTGGCTTAGTGGTTGATGGCTCGCCTGTCATGCATGAGGGCGTGGGTTCGATCCCTGCAAGTACCAATGTGATTTTTCCGAGTCATATGTACTTTAAGAGTATTTAGACACAACTGACAGATGAAGGAAAACATCGTGAGGAAACCTGGACTTATAATTCTACAATTATAAATTTGAAATCACCAACCCGTTAAGCAAGCGTGGTGATTAATGCTCAAACCTTCTCCATGTGAGAAGAGGCTCAGCAGTGGGCTCTGATAGACTGATGATGACGATGATATTCTTTTAACCAGTTATTGTATATTCACAATGACCTGTCACCATGAATTATAGAATCAGATCCATATTAAAAGTAAAGCCTATTTGAATCCAAAGTCATTTCAGTATAATGTACGTATAACATTAAAGGAAAAGATATATATGTTTTATTTTCCTCGATATATCGTCGTATTCGTCGTAATATATAAAGGCTTACGTGACGACACCGACACGATAGTCGTACGGCTTCCTCGGAGTATTACAGTAACATAAACCTACATTATTATTATTATTATTTATGAGGTTTATATGAGTATTTGGAAATATGAAACATATTTTGTTTTTATAACATTGAAAGTCGTTTTTTATGGACATAAAATATTATGTGACTTGTATGTTCAGTCTGAAAGCTTGAAAGAGGATTGGAGTGAAAGAAAATTGATGTGATGATTGAATGGATTCAGAAATACGTTTGGATATTAGATAAGTGTCGGCTGAGATACGCGAGGTGAGGTTACATTCATCATCATCCTATCAGAGCCCACTGCTGAGCCTCTTTCTCACATGGAGAAGGTTTGAGCATTAATCACCACACTTGCTTAGCGGGTTGGTGATTTCAAACTTATAATTGTGAAATTACAAGTCCAGGTTTACACTCTACATTTCTCATTTATAGTGTTAATGTGTTTGGAATTTGTAATGTGATTATAAAACCAGTTTACAATATATAAAGTAAGATTGTCCATCTTTAAACACAGTCAGAGATAGAATTGTTATATGGATAATGGTTAAATATAAGTTAGATATACATATATTATTTAGAGAGTGGAATATATGACGCGTTGAGTCTAAACAAGAACTGCTATAAAATATAATAGATATAATAACATAAGGAGAGGTGGAAGTGGAGCTTATAACATCAGTACTTATATAGAAGTATCCTTAATAGGTATTTATAAAAGTTGAACACAACACATAATGTTGATAAATCTATGCCTTTATTTTGTCCTAAATTTTGATTCTGGCTGAAAATGACACGGAAAATTAATTCAAAAGACGAACATAAATATTAACAACACAACGAAGAATCAATGAGACATAAAAAAATGTAAATAAAAAATCGATTCCACTCCAATTATACATCGATTCCGAAGTTCAATTTAAAATTGATTCCTCTCGTCTCTGTTTCAATTAACACCAGCTGATGGAGAGCTGAAGGCTTCTGTGCGACTACGGTTTGTTTACGAGTAGGCTCTATGTAGAGTAGCATACGTACTGTGACTTTAAATAGGTTCTACGAAATATTATAAGAATACTGAGATCTAATACTGAACTAAATTCAGTGACTCTGTAGGAACTTTTAAATATAATTAAAACAAGATAAAGAAATGTAAGAATTTCGAGAGTTTTATTCATTTAAATGAAACTAATATTTTTGGGATTATACTACGCGATTATTTTTGAAAAAAACTACATACTCCCGACGTTTCGGTTACTTTACAGCAACCGTGATCATTAAGACGAGATGTGACAAGATAGAATGAAAATTAATATCCTTTTTTAGATTTAGTAATCAGGATTTTGATTTAAAACATATACACAACCTGTCACCACGTAGATAATACGTCTAAACCATTTGTAAACCATCCGTAGATGATCCGTAGACCACACGTAGTGTACGGGTAACCGGTCAGCCTGTCCGCCGGACCGCACTACGTGATCACGTCAGGTTGTACAGCCTTAACGTACACGTTAATGGAAACCTTAACACGTACAGTACGGCGTATTACCGAATAATAAAATGACATCGGTTTGTGGGTAAAAAATATTTAATATTAAATTTATTACATAATAAAACATAAGAAAACAAAACATTCAAACTTTTAGATAAAAAAAATATCAAATTAAAAATATTATTCCCAAGACGGCTCTTTAAAGAATCCCTTCAGTAATATATAGAATATATTATATATACGCTTATATAATTTTAATTTAAATCAAGTAATAGAATAAACTATTCTTTTATATAGATTATTTAATTTAAACTTTATTTCTATCACAATTTCAATTTATCTTTCAAAATAGATATTACATTTGTAAAGGTTTTCCAATATTTATTGTTAATGCTTATAGTTAAGTCAGTATAAACAGTATCCATTGTTTAAAGGTTCTATCTAATACAACCTCACGTCATATAACTCGTAGCGCGTGCTACGTGACGCTGCTACGACGTAGCACGAGCTACACTATTGTCATATATTTTAAACATCTTTAAAGTTATCGTTTATTATTATTGTGTATTTTATTATTTACAATTCTTGATTAAAGCTTCTTGTACTACTTGTTAGTTCCTGGAAAATAAGGCTTTTCTATTCAGAATAAATTAACAATTAATATTATATAATTAATATTCTAATGGTTTGAATCAAACTAATATTTTTTTTCTTTAAATTATTTTAAACTCTACATAATGATAAAATGGAAGAGTTATATATTATAATCAAACTGTAAAATTAAAATATATATTTAAAATATCCACAATAAAGTTCACAACAATAGTCAGGTTTGTATCTGCGCGGTCTCTGTTCATATTACAATGATTCAGATTTCTTTTATATTTTTATTAAAACTATATTTACTTCAAGAGCTAACTCTCTTCCGTTCAATCGTTCTTAATTTCTTGTAACTTTAACTCTTTCTGTTCATTATTAGACATGTTTCACTGAATACTTCATCTATAATGACTTGAATTTGTAATAATTAATTCGATTTTTTGTATTATTTTGAATGTCATTGCTAGTTCTATGACTTTGATAATAAAGTTTTATATCAATCATCTTAGTTAGAGAGTTTTATAAAAAATAGATTCAATTCATATTCACATATTGTAAACCTTACATTTGATTTGTGTAGTGTTCTGTAGAAGGGCTGTAATCAAAACACCGCGACCCCCGACGACCCCACAGAACCCCTCGCGACCCCTCGCGACCCCACTCACCAACAAGGGGTTACTATTATTAGATCGATCGATATTGCAACACGCGAACGACACACAACCTGACAGACAGTAGACGGTTGGGTTGAAAAAATAATACTTAGACGATACAAACTCAGTATCGGTTGATTTTGAAATAAACCCCTACATGTTACTACAAGTAGTAGTTAGTAGAAAAGATTTTCTCTTACCACTATCGACGTTTCAATATAAGTAACTTACAAGTTACTTGTTCATCTTAAGTAATATTTAATATCTAGAACAGTGAAAGGATTGTTCTGCTCCAACAATTAAAACTATTTTCTTTATTTGTTTATTGCATAATATTTATTATTAAGTAACCACACGTATGTCATATTTCTAAACCTACATGTTCTCTTCGACCAGCCTGAGGCGACCTCATCACCCTTCACCGAGTGTCAGGAGTTCCCCTGCTGCATGAAATTGCACGACGAATTTCATGAATTTCTGACTAGTTTTTGCCCGCGACTTCGTCCGCGTTAATTTCGGAATTAGTAATATATATATAGCTGACCGGGCGAAAACTATTCCGCCCTAGAGGCCGTAAATATCTAGATGTTAGTGTTTATTAAGTTTTATATTCTTTTTCAATCAAACAGAATTAAATATCATATGTCCGTCTCCTTATTCTAATCTATCTCTCCACCAATTTTCGATCATATCTCAACAGCCATTCTTGAGTTGTAAATAGTGTAACTAACATGACTTTCTATTAAATATATAGATGTAAATACATCACACACACAAATAAATATTTAATTTAATTCTTATTTAACCTTAATCGTTTAACTAAACCTGGATGTTTTTCAATATCCCGAGAATCTAAATTCCACATTTCCACGTCCATAATATTCATCAGACATACAGGAAAATATTAAACCCAAAATCTATCAGCAACACGTCTTAACAAACTTAACGACGGTCGTTAAATGGAGGCCCATATTTCTACAATAACAGGATCCCTTAATAAATTAACCGTCATTAATTTGTTTACAAAAACACGAGCCCTCATAAAATATGAAGTAAACAACGTCACTCACTAGTAAACAACCCCCCACCACACGTGACGTCACACTATGTGACAATTACATCGGACAGAGAGAAATCTTCATATAAATACAAATTCATTTAAGAAGAAATATCATACATTATACAATTAGGTAAACAGTATTTTTGAACATAATAGTGTCCATTTAATATAACAAATCCTACTAATATTATAATTGCGAAAGTTTGTGAGTGTGTATGTTTGTTACTTCTTCACGCTCAAACGGTTGAACCGGTTTTGATAAAATTTTGTATATAGGAAGCTGACGTCCAGGAATAACAGATAGGGTAGTTTACATCCCGGAAATCGGGTAACACCGCGGGGCGCAGCTAGTGTTATAATAAGTTCTCAAAAATAATTCGAGTGTCATCTGTATATGTACTTCCTATGTTTACTTGTATGTATGTTACACAAGACACTGTTCTTAATCCGTACATTGACTGAACTACACAATTGAATCCGGGCAGAACTCAAAGCATTAATTGAGTTGCTCTCCAGTCTACAGTTGGGAAGTAACTTACACTAACTTATAATTGTTATAATTCTATTAAAACACATCACTAATTACTAATCTTTTCTTTGAAAATGATGTTTTTATTTGATTTTCTAAAGGTGGAACTTCACTTGGCGTTGCGTATTCGCTTAGTGCATTTGTGTATGTGTGTTATTTGTGCAAATATGTCAAATAAAAACGAATATATCGTCCACACATGGTCTTATTTGGCCGAACACTACAAATAAACGCCAAGTGAAATGCCACCTTAATTTTTACGACGATGTTAATTAACACACGTATATTTTTAAAGTTGCGGTAAAATTATTCCGTTCGTAGGAAATTCCCCACAAAATATTTCGTGTTGTAGTAATATAAACGTGGTCACAAAACGGAAGAATAATAAAAAATGTAGAGGACTTTAAATGAAAACGTTTTAAATGTTTGTTAAAATATTGTTTTTTGGTTGGATAAGATCTTGACAGGACTTGGGCCAAAAAAAGTTAAAAATAACATTATTTTAATACATAAGAAGTTCCTTAACGTATGATATCTCACTTCAAGATAATATATATAAGGAAATAAACGAAATGAACGACTGAATATTAAATTTCCGATATTTATGAATATCATGGCACGTCGCCTCGTGACGAGTGTCTGTGGCGTGGAGTTCTTCAAGTTGATTCCAATCAGTCGGCCGAATGCCTCTGACGTCCCCTCTCGACCGAGAAAAATGTTTAATTAAGAAAATATACCGGAATAATATTTTTTATTGGAACACCAGATATATAGAAGCACTCTCGAAACTTCCTAAGCGGACTGTTCAGCCGGTGTATTAAAATAAAGTGTACATTCTGCGGGAACGACTCGACTCGTCTGGGACTTTAATTAAATAATGCCCTGAATATTCATTTGAAGATTTAAATAATAATGAATTTTTAGAAATTCCTGAATAAGCGGTGTACCTTTAATCCCTTTGAAACGCGATTTCGGTAACATTGAACCAATATTTGAAGTAAAACTTATAATGATTCAACCTTCCTCCCAATCATACCGAATGTTTCCCTCCGCACAGTGATTCAATTATAATACAAGAACATGTTTACATTTTCTTTGTTTCATATTACATTATCTTTAAGAACCAAATGGACCATATTTATAATCGTTCAGTACGTATCTCCTACTTATTGTCGATGTCGTTGGAGGTTGTAAGGTTTTAACGTAAAAATATATTTTAAATATAATAATAAGTTGGAAGAAATGTATTTAGGTCGTGCTTAATAAAATTCATTACGAAAACCGGCACGATTACCTCCCGTTTTAAACTAACTGGAAAATTAAATAAATGTGATGAACTTTTAATTTTAAACTTAATATAAAATATATATAATTTGAAGACGCACATATATTAGGTGTTACTCGTAATACTTAGTTATTTTTCTCACACGGTTAGAGTAACGTACAACATCAATCTGTTCACACATAAACGACTTTGAAAATCATATTAAAATACATAGCAATCACCGCTAGAGTTTGAAACCCGAGCGGCGGAAAACCTTTTAGGAGTCATCCTGTTGGAAAATAGGCCCAGGATTCTGGGGCGTCGGGGCGACGGGCGTCCCCAGACAAATGCTTATATTGACGTGTAATGGATTTTTGAATGGCTCGCCACTCGACCGTGTAAACCTGTTACGAGAATTAGGATCCTAGCTGCACATGCGTTCTGTAATTCAAAAAGGTTTAGCAATTTAGTCTATTATAGTACCAAAGGAAATGGGTTAAACGATGATCAAACATATTACTGATGCCTCGGGCGAACGGGAATACTGTTTACCGAGAATTGGTTATGATATTAGCTTTACGTTAATGAAACTATGAGGAACTAATAAATTAAATGTACAAAGAAAAGCCACAGTTTCAACTGATTTTCTCTTTCATTCGTTCAACATTCACTCTGATTTAAATCCTGTTATTTCCATCTTCATTGAGCACAGAGATTCACTGCTTAATTTGATGAAGTGAATTTTTCATATATAATTAGAACTATTAAGAGATCGGTTTCTAAATATGGGGTGGACTAATATAGACTAACTAGTTTTTGCCCGCGACTTCGTCCGCGTTAGTTTGGTCAAGAGTAATATATGTAGGTATAGCTGACCAGGCGAACTCTATTCTGTCTTAGAGGCCATAAATAATCAGGTTTTGCCTGTTTCAATCAAACAGAATGATTGACATATTAGTTAGTTGTCAAATCTAATGTCAAAAAAAAACGTTTGTAAGGGAAATAGAAAAGAGCTGGTTTTAGGGTTTTCCCAGTAATTATTACAATTTTTCTCACCTTTTAAACCTTCCCTGGACTTCCAGGAGTATTTCAAGACTAAAATTAGCCAAATCGGTTCAGCCGTTCTCGAGTTTTAGCGAGACTAAGGAACAGCAATCCATTTTTATATATATAGAAGATTTTTATTTGGATTAGGCCTAGAATATAGGAGTTTTTTACGTAGGAAGAGTTATGTAATGAAGGTTGTGTTGTTGTTCCAGGGGCGGTAGGTGGTGACGGTGATGACAGCGATGATAAGGAAAAGGAAGAGGAAGCCGAACGTGAACGGCAGGAGGCCATCCGCGAGGCCGAGGAGAGACGCAAGGAGAAGCATCGGAAGATGGAGGAGGAGAGAGAGAAGATGCGCCAGGAGATAAGGGACAAGGTAGGAGGGAAAGAGATGGGTATATATAACATAACACCGTCTTATACCTTGGGATATGACTGATCAAGTCCTTGATGACATTTGTTCATATAAATTGCATCTTGTTTTATTTTCTGTATATCCATTTTGCAGTCTTGAAAAAATGCACACGTTTGAAATAATAGCACATCTACTTCCTTTTGGACGAAATTTATATTTATTTATAGATAAAACTTCCGAAGACTCACTATAGTAAATGTGGGTCATTATTAAAATGTAATTTTCGTTGCAAAGTAAGATTTTCCGAGAGCTCGTTGATGTGGTACGTACACATTAAGGGTATGCTAAATGTAAGAGAATTGAAGTCAGCTTGAGGATACTCCAGTGGAGGTTACACTGACAATTGAAGATCTTGGCTCGAAGCCAGAGCATAAAAAACTTTTGATCTCTTGTTACGGACTCAACCTGTTTAATAGATATAAAGAACTTTAGTTGTACCTAAAATTAACTTAATAGATTGATAGACAAACGTGCAGAAAAAATTGGTAGCCAAAAATCTACCATAATCTCGTTTCAAAGGCAATCCGCGTGCGAACAATTAATTGGGAAGCGGGTCAAGTGGCTGTTTCATACGGTCGGATTTGCCGCTCGTGTGAAGAGCCTTTATGTTTCATGTTAGGCTTTAATTGTTCGCGTGTCTGCTGTTCCTGACATCTACTAAAAATGTTCCACCGCTGGGATATACTCTCATTTCCTGTTTATAAACTATTTAGATTATTATAACACGTGGCTTACAGCAAATAATATGTTAAAGTTAAAGAATATATCTGTATTACATTAGTATCGTCGTGTGTGTGTGTGTGTGTGTGTGTGTGTGTGTGTGTGTGTGTGTGTGTGTGTGTGTGTGTGTGCGTGTGTGTGTAATGAGCCATTAATTAAATTAAACTGCGCCGTAGGTTATTAATACTGCAATGCAGTTCACGCGTTAGTACGCTCAGTCCGTGACTTTTTAGAATTATTTTATTCTAACAAACACAGCTATCTCATAAACTCTTTTTATTGTTGCCTCTTTTGTCTGCATTTACGTGTTTTTCTTTTGTTCTTTTGAATTTAAAACATTTTTTATAATGAGCGCATTCTTTGGCATGGCAGCACACTGAATACAAGTTCACGCATTAGACGAAACTCAAACAAAACAGAAAATTAATGTTGTAGCATGAATAAAGACTTTCAAAATCAAAGAAAATGGTATGAATGTCATAAACATAATACAATACATACATATTACATACTGATATGATGTTAGAACACAACTTTATATAACAAGCGAAGCCGGGAGCTGTGTCTAGTGTAGGACGTGATCTCTGTCTTCCGAATGTAACATGAACAAGGAAATCGATTTAGCGATGCGAGTGTGTTCAACGAACGGTACATGTGTGATGTACTCGTGATACTGTTGTTAAATGATACGAGACTATTCAATATCACAGTTTACTTGTTTTAGTATCACATTGTCATCATTATATCACTGTTGGCTTTAACTTTTATTTATATTCTTTCATATTTCTTTCAATATTCAGTTTGGTTTAGGATTCTGAACACAACTTCGCTTAGAACATTTTCTTTCTTATAAATAAATCTTTTATTACTCTTCATTTGAAAGCCTCTCGCAGAAACCGGATTTTATATAGCCAGTGATATTTTAGGTCACATTATAATAATATATTACTTATATTTGTTCTTACTTTTTAATTAATATAACATATAATTTATGCATAATACGAATAAAAATCTTAAAAGAAAACGTTAAATTCGTTTACATATACTTTTGTAAGACGATAAAACAATTTATTAATCTACTATAATTCAGTGAAGGATGTTGTCTTTGCGTAATTATCACCACATACACTTGACTCATGAAATATAAATATTAGATGCCATATTCAAGTCGCAGCGAAATCCTATTAGTCGACAATTAAGCAAGCACGGGGGCGTGCACTAGTATATAAAATATAATATAGTTACCCTGAAAAGTTACCATCCAACAATCTCATCGCTAATAGCTATTAGTCAGCTCTCAAACTCCTTACAAATCTAATTTGTGCCTGAATGCGCTCTTCAAAGGCAGCGTTAATTCTCTGTAACTTGATGTCCCTACACCGGACCTACTTCTGCTACCATTCATTTCAATTGAAACTAGTTTTTCTATCTCACTATACTAACGAAAATTCCATTCAAAATATTTCATAAATTTCATTATTAATAACAATATTGAATGATCAACATTCATTTATTAATATGAATGAGAAATGAAACTTCAAAGCTTGTTCTGTAACAGCTCAATCAATACTCAATGTAATGTTATAATCAAACCCTCACATAGAGACCACTCGACTTTATAACAGGGTTCGACGATAAATTATAATTTAATGTATGTATGTATCATAAAATAATTCTTTATGATCATTTTCTATACTTTAGTTTCATTTAATTTTATTTCTTTCGTTTCAAGAATTTAGAAAAGCATAGTAGAAATATTAAATGTAGTTTACAAGCTACAATACAGAGCAACTAACAATTTTATAACACAGTGTTGTTACGATATACATATTAAATATCTATGAAGCTTAACTTGGAATTTTCGAATTGAAATTCTGATGTCATGCAACGGAGACGTGAAAATTCGCATTTCCATATGTAAAACCAATAAAGTCTATACATTCGGGATCCGACGACCCTGATCATATTATGGAGTCACCCTCTCGCCGACTCTAAATAGCACACGTACTTTTAATGTCACATATTCATATATTTAATTTCCTACTAACACTCTCCCGAAGTCTCTTAAAGGACTCTATACAAATTATATTTATAAAAACCTCAGTAAAAATATAAGTCAGTCTTGAATATAAAATCATTCATTCAGATTTACTAAACAGTCAGTTACTTCCAAATTCTGATAAGTATGGTTTGACACGCATAAACATACCACACGATTCTCGCCTCTCCGCCTTTGTATTTAAGAATTATTTTATGATACGTATATTAAATTATAATTGATCGTCGTACCCTGTCGTAAATTTGAGTGGTCTCTGTGTAAGGGTTTTATTATAACATTACATTTAGTATTGATTGAGCTGTTATGGAATAAGCTTTGAGAATTTATACATATTTAATAACAATAGCTTAATATTGACCATTGCTTATATAGTAGTTATATATTAGAAGAAATAAAAAGAATAGTTATTAACAAAGGATAGTTATTAACATAGTATAGGTTGTATCAGTAGCATAACGAAGTTAACTAAATTAATGATACTACTCGCTGATCAGTCCGCTACGAGTGGGGCCACACCCCTCAATTAAAACTTTTTGAGACAAGGGTGTGGTGCGACTTACAGAGTCACAATGATAGAGCAATCTCGGAACATAATTAATAGTCTCGCTGACTTATAAAATGCGTAAGAAATATATAAGATATAGGAAATACAATTAAACGAAGTTGGAGGGAGTGCCGAGTGTTTAAGTTAGTTCTGTTGAAGTGTCGCGGACGGTAAACTCAATCAGGGGACAGTAAACACGTCAGCTGACACGCGAAGACATCAGGCTGTTACTAGAACAAATACTAGACAACTAGAAGACGTTTATACAACATACAACTAGGATTAATAGAACTTATTATAAAAAACAATGATTGCGGGCTGTGAGTTTTAATTTTAGTGGCTTTTTTATTCCTTCAACATTTTTAAGTCAATTGTTTTAAATTTGTGGTGTTATTACTTAATAGTAAATAATTTAAGAACTTGTTGGATCACATAATAATATACAAACCTTGTGCACATTCCTGTATTATCACAAATTTAAAGACAAGAAAAATTTGCAATAAGCAAAGTTGATATCAATCTTTGTTAAATATTAAAATCACACACACACATTTGTTGATTTGTTTCAATTAATCAAATAATTTTGTTAATAAAGCTATATACATTTTATACAACATAAAGATCGAAACAAAATATTATAACAAGATACCATGTTGAGTGCATTCTTATTTATAAGACATTCTTAGACTTGTTTTACATTGAAAACAGTAAGATATGAACACAGTACGTAACACGGAGCTCTCACTGTCTGTGTTAGGATTAAGTAAATATGAGAACAACCTTCAGTATAAACACAAATTATCACTGACAAAGAATATGTTTTATTAGTTCTAAAAGATTTTAACGACTTAACATAGCCTTATATTATATGTGTTAATGTACTATATATCTATATATATAAATGAAAGTTGTGTTAGTTACACTATTTATAACTCAAGAACGTTTGTACGGGATATTGTTTTAAATTTGGTGGAGAGATAGCTACAAGGAGACGGACATTGGATATTTAATTCTGTTTGATTTAAACAGAAAAAATCTTAATAAATTTCAATATCTGGTTATTTATGGCCTTTAGAGAAGAATAGAATTCGGTCAGCTATACATATATTACTAATGCCAAAAATTAACGGGGCATAAAATTAAGTCGCGGGCAAAAGCATATAAATATATTGCATGCTATATTAAAGTTCCCAGTAGGGAGATCAAGTCTCGTGTTCATTTCTCTTCGCCACAATATTTTCCGCGTCGTGGCTAAGCCTCATACTCAACATGTTACAATACATTTAATATAAGATCTGCAACAATCTTTGCCTTTTATAATAATTTAAATCCGTAAAACTGTTTGTTTGAGTTGTTTCTTATTATCATTCTTTGGTTGGATGCTTGAGGAAAACCCATTTGTATATTTTTATGTTAGAATATTACTTCTTTAACAGCATCCATAAATAAACCTTAAGGCGTCGATACAAATCGATAAACAACCTACCCTTTACAAATTCCCCGACAACCCGTCGAAGCCTTGTAATCGATACGTTATCATCTAACTCGCAATAACCTTCAAATTGTCCGGAATTGAAAACAATAAAAAAGCACCCAAACAATAAACAGCATTAGGCGAATCCCCTAAACGATATTTTCCCCTATTCTCTGCCGCTATTACTGTGCGGACACATCGACACGTCGACACATTACACGCGCGAGCGACACGTCGTCAATGTGTCCATGTGTCCGTGTGATTTACATTCCTTCATTATATACGTATTAGAGTTTTATGGAAGGGTTTATAGATCGTCGTTCAACGTTATCGTCGCTTCATTGAATAACGTTCAATTAGGAACACTATTTGTCTTTTTTATGTAAAAGTTTATATAAATATCTTCATATTAACGTGATACAGTAGTTATTTAATAGACTATGAGTGACCGATAGTAGACGTAGTAGACTCAGTAGACGGTAGAGTGTCGTGTATCATAATAAACAAGTTAAAGCCTCAACTAATCTCTGGCGAGGTCGTCGCCTGTTCAAATTGCGCAAAGATTGCAGAGGCCGCCACTAACGTAGTTACAAACTCATCTGAGGGAAATTGATTGAAACACCAATCCTACTACTACCACGAGGAGCCGCTTATTGTTACTAATTGTTTTTTATGTAAACCAGGTAGGCTTGATAGGTTTACGTTTAATTTCTTTACTTTAAATAAATTTCTGACATATTTATGTTATTTCTTCTGTATTCTCGAGAACATCAGTGACGTCATATATATCTAATAATTCAAGCTTAATAGAAGAAAGAAGAACAAGAAGAAGAACAGAACAAAGCCCATTGATGTGAAATTGACTCTAGTAGGGAGTCCGTTCCCCGCGACTCCCTAATCGAGTCAGGTTGACTTCTTTGAGGCTTCTTCAACTGAAGAAAAGAAGAATTATAGCAACCATTTACTATTTAAAGAAGAATCTGTATATGGTCTATTGATAATCAAGAGTTTAAGAAGACCAAAATATAAGTTAATTTCATATAATATGACATTACTTTATACAGTAATAAAAGCAACAAAGTTCAATTAAATTTAATATCATTTAATGGTTATCATTATTACTTCGACACCTTTCAAATATATTTCAATAAAGTCAACTAGCGGTGACAGTTTTGTTGTTTATGTATTATGTTTAATTTAATAAAATACCTCAGTATTATTTAACTGTTACAATTTTCAATAATTCATTAATATTCAACGATATTAATTATATAAAATTAATACTAGAACTATTATAAAACAAAGAAAATATTATTATAACCACGTGTTTTATTACACAATGAGTGATTTTACTCTTAAATTATTGTTTTATATCTTGATAGAAATAGATTTTAACGCGGCCAGCGATGTATATATTATAAAAAATAACCGTTATTTCAGATTTGAATTATGGTTTTACATTTCTTAATTGTTAATAGTAGTACTAATAATAGTAATAAAAATATACTAGAAATATATGTAGTTATAATAAAATTCTTATAAGGTACATATTTAAAAATATATATTTATATTTTATTTTTAGTACAACTAAACTATAACGATACACTCATAATATAAAAAAATGAATATGGAAAAATTATTATAAAACAAGTTTAAAAACAAAAACACAATTTTTGTTATTTTATTTTAGAACAGAAATTAAAAAGTTATAAGTATACGTAAGATTATATTTATAGAACGTTTACAAAAACTAGAGCAATTAAATTAAAATGACTATCCGATAGTAAATACTTTTTATAGTAGGCTGTTGAATAATAAATCAGAGAGAATAAAAATCTTACATAAAATTTATTGTTCGTTTACTTGTTGTTTGAGGGGAATAGTATCAAGTTACTCGGGATATACAGAGGAGAAAAAAAGTAAATAAATTGGGAACTAAAAATAAATTAATAAAAAATTGGAATGGAAAATATTATGAAAATCTTATATTTTTTGTACAGTATACAGTATTTTTCTAATAATATTTATACAAATCTTGTCTGTCCGTGATCACGTCGAATCGAATTGTCGGGTATATGTAGTTTATAGTCAAAAATAAAAATGCGTAGTAAATCCGAAAATTTCATTAAAAAATCCATTTCATTTAAATATTTATATAAGTATGAAACTGAGTTCTTTTATATTTAATTATAAAAATAGTAATAGAAAGAAGTATTGATTTGAACATAGTATATGTTTTCTATAAAGAAATCTCTTTAAAAATCGTCATAATCTTGATTCGCATATAAAATATACAAATATTAAATAATCATTCTCTTGTAGTCCTTTCATAAAATATGAACACAAATTATATATACAAACTTTTTGTAATTGCTATACATGAACTTCTTGTTTATTTTCTAAATATATTCTTTATTAACAAAGGCAACTAAACCTAACCGTCAGTCTGTACCCGCTCGATGTCAGAATATCGGTTAATGAAGTCCCCGGGGAATATTTTTTTAATTTAAATATAAATTACCCTCCCGCGGCCCGCCTGCCAATTGATGATTATACAAAGAGGATTTTGATTTTTACTAAAATTTTCTGTTTTTATTAATCTTCTTACAACTTTCGTAAAGTCTTCATTGAATCTACAGTCTACATCTCCTTAGAGAATACAATATAATTTTATAATATTATTAGTTTTTACTCGCGACTTCGTCCCCGTTCTATTCGGAATCTTCTATATATATAAAAATGGATTGCTGTTCCTTAGTCTCACTAAAACTCGAGAACGGCTGAACGGATTTATCTTATCTTAGTCCTGAAATGTTCGTGGAGGTTCAGGGAAGGTATAAAAGCTAAAAAAAATTGATTCATTACTGGGAAAACCATAAAAACAGCCTTTTTCTATTTCCCATACAAATGTTTTTTTGACATTAGATTTGACAACTAACTAATATGTCATACATTCTATCGCACTTCAAAACACGGAGATTTATGGCCTACAGGTAAACTCCAAAAATATAAATAAAAAAACGTAATAGATATTTCTTGATTATAGGGCGATACGAAGTTCGCCAGGTCTTCTAGTTACTTATATATGTGTAGTTGACCGGACGGACCCTATTCCTCCTGATAGGTCGTAAATAATCAGATATTGAAGTTTATTAAGTTTTTTTTTCTGTTTCGTTTGAACAGAATTAAATATCCTATGTCCGTCTCCTGGTTCTAAGCTATCTCGCCACCAGTTTTCAACCATATTAGTACAGTCGTTCTTGAGTTATAAATAGTATAACTAACACAACTTTCTTTTATATATATAGATTTATACTTGAGAAACATCTCCAAAACCGTTTATAATATGTAATTTCTTTATGATATAAGAAGTGACGTCTCATTCTGTATTATATAAACAACATATTGGTAGTAATATCGCGGGTTACGCGTAGTTCTAAAACAATAATGTTGTAAAAGCTATATAATAGATGATGATGTTGTGGCGACGTTGTAAATTGAATGCATTCCGCTGGGAAATTACTGCGGACCGGAGAACAAGATTTGTCATCTCAGCCGATGAGATCGTGATACTTTTTTTCATTAGGATATATTTTTCAGTTTTTCCGCACCAACTATAAGCAATGTTCCTGTGTTAGAACAATATTTATAAACTATACAGGGTGACTGGTGAATTACTATCGATACTTGAGGACGTGATATTTGACAATCATATATGACAAAATAAAAATTAATATAACGTAAATATTAATAAACTTCTAAGTAAAGTTAACCAAAAGTTATGTAATTAATTACGCATCGGGTGAACACCCTACAGATTAGGTATACACACACACACACACTCGCGCGCGGCGGCGTAGTGTTGTATCAACACGCCGCCGCACGCGTCTACACTTGGAACACTTGGAACGTACCCACACTTTATTTATTGATACGGAAATTTGGTCAAAAATTAAGTACCTTGTTTTTTTTACATAATTCGAATGAGAATCATGTACCGAGTATTCTCCTTAAATATTGATAGTAGTTCACCAGTCACCCTGTATAACGTGATGTTTAGTGTCATTGGATTTATTATTGGTTATATATTTTTATCAATATCTTTATGACTTTTCAATATTTTATAAACCATTATCCGATCTTTTGAACTTAGCTTTTCGTTAATCTCGATCTACATTCGTGTTAGTTAACTTACTGGAACATAATATATGTTTGATTAATATGATGTTAGTTATTACTATAAGGATATAAACTTAGTTTATACCGAGATCTAAGATTATCGCGAGTTTTATTCATTTAAATGAAACTAATATTTTTCGGATGTACTACGCGACAAAATTTTTGTAAAAAACTAAACACTCCCGAAAATTACTTCCTTTCACCCGAAATTACTTTATATCTTTGTTTAAAATTAATCGATGCATTTCGGATGTAATAATCGATTTTTTTATATTATTTAACATACTACCCGGGATCACGGTTGTTAAAAATTGTTCGAAACGTCTCTTTATAGAACAATAATATAAATAATGAGTCTAGAATGTCCCATTGTGGTTAAATTTGAATGTGTTCTCACAAAAATCTTAGATATCATTATAACACTTTAAAATCCTTTTTATTAAAGAAGTATTTATATGAGAAATGGACTACGTTTAGCTAATTGAGTATTCTCGGGATAATTAACATCTCCTATTCATAGAAATAAATATTGAGCATTAAACAGCGTGATTTGTTAAATAAATATAAGACCTTTGATACAAATTAAAGCTTTTACCTTACTATGACGAAGTTGAGAACGATTATTATAAAAAGACTACCTGCATCAGCTTCACGATTTTTATTATTGTTTCCAGTACAAGATTCCCAAGAAGGAGGAGATAGCGGAGCAACAGCAACAGGAGCCGGACAACCCTCTGATGAGGAAGAAGAAGACGCCCGAGGAACTGGCTGCGGAGGCCGAGCTGGAGGACCAGGATGAGTTCACTAGTGAGTACACAGACAGACATACATACAGAATCTTCTTCTACCTGGCAACGTCCCAGCTATAGCCAGGGTCTCCCTTGCATGTTGTGAATAGTTTTGGCTACTTGTTTTTACGACCGGCCGCCTGCCTGACATCAACCCTCTTTGGGAATGCATTAATCAGTGATGTCTTAATACTCTTAGAAAGTACATATGACTCGGAAAAATCACATTGGTACTTGCCCGGACCAGGATCGAACCCGCGCCCTCGAGCTTGAGAGGCGGGCCTCTTAACCACTAGGCCACCACTGACTCAAAATACGACAATACTGAATATTATATAATAATAATAAGACTCTTACCCTGAACAGTATCCTTTCTTTGTATTCTGGTTGTCTCTTTATGAAAGTCATAAAACAATTTTACTATACTGATGACTCAGTCTGAACTAAATATTTGTCGTAATATTGCTTTTACCTACAGATGTTTCGTTGAAAGTATAGAGTATGGAGACTATATAAAGTGTGTAGATTATAATTTTTATAGTTCAGTGTGCCTCTTGGCAAAGACCTCCTCAAACAATTTCCATTGTACTCTTTATAGAACTGAATATAGTTGACTCGTAAATGAAAACAGTAGAAGATTTGTACTATTTCGAAGTCTCATTACTCAACAATATCAATCAAAACTTCGACGTTAAATACACACTGACATGAATACTATCATGACTTTACGTAACAGTGTACTTAAATATGCCAGCCTAGTATAAGTTAAAAATAGCTTTTGTTCAAAGAAGACGAGTTAAGTATGTTACGAAATGAAAAAGAAGAATGCCCGATCAATATTTTTGTTCAAAATAAAAAACTTATAATTTTATAATGTATGATTAAACACAAAAAAAATAGCCATACAAAGATTATTTGATGGAAATTATCAAAGTTGGATCCATGCTTACTAAACTTATTTTTAAATCCTTTTTTGTATTTCTAAATAAAGTTTCATGTCTTGCAAAGCATATATATAGTATAGACTATAGATCTTTGCACGATTTAAAAATATTATTATATGTTTATTTAAAAATGCTTGTAATATTTCAGAACTGAAGAACACCATAGAAACACAAGTGAACGAACTCAAGTCTCAGATCGAGAGCAAGTGCGTGATGCAGTGAACACGCGTCCACCAATACATGATGTAGCTGTGCGAGTCACCGTCACAACCCGCAACCCGAAACCCGACACTCGACACTAGACACCCGACACTCAACCCCCAACACCCGACATCCAGCCCCCGACACCTGACATCCAGCCCCCAAAATAATATTTCGTTCAGAGACCACCCCGCGCTCAAATTTTGTTGTAGGAAAAGTCTAAAGTTAATAAAAAACATTTTTTCGGAACGTAGTTGGCTAGTGGCGCGTTGGTGCTTGATAATGAGCAATAATATTTTTATACATTCATAAAACGAGAGCGGCCCTCGTCAGCGGAAATAGTCACGACTCTAAAACGTTAGGTCAAAAAGTCATGTTCGTATGGACCTACCGACCGACCGACCGACCGACCGACCGACTCCCTCGTCGTATGACGCTTGTGATATGTTGTTATTTAAGTGTAAAGTGAATAAATTTAATGCAATGAGGGTAGGAAGGTAATTTAATAATGTAATCACGCGTGTACACTCAACTCGACTCATCACCGCTCTTCTAAAGTCTGCTCGTAATTCGATTTACATTGAAATAACAATGTATTCGTCTCGATCGATTTGTTTCATCCAAATTCCTCTCGGCTTGTCTCGGTGTGTGGCTTCGCTCTGCTCACTTCGGCTCTTCGACTTTAGCCTGTGAATCTTTTGCATGCGCGCTTTGCAGTGTATCGATAGCGCCAGTCAGTGTCTGTGTGTTACTTTAGGTTACCTAGCCGTACGTACGTAACATAGCCTTAATGTCCACATCGAATATGATATACCGCGACTCCTTAAGTTCTCGCATGTGTTATGTAAGGTCGATGTTTAGAGTAATGTAAGTAGTCGAACGAGACCTCTTGTTGTTTTCCCGTGAGTCGTGTTAGCGTAGTTGGCGCGACTCTAACGTTTTATCGATGTTTTATGCTTAGGATAAAGTAACGTCGTGCGAGCGAATCTTTCGAACGATTACGGTCCGCCGTCGGGTCGTCGGGGCTAATGGTTCGAATCATTGTCTCCACTAATAAACTGCAAATGCAAAAGATTTGTTATCGTCAAAAGCTGTGATATATGAATATAATAAAGTATCGCCGTGCGCTGTACGCGGGACGCGAGCACTCACTCTCTCGACTCCTGCTCCTCTACCTTCACTCTGACGTCTTCTTCTTGTTTACGGTCGTCCAACTTCTTGTACACTTCGAGTTCTTCTACTAATTCTGTCATGGTACCAGCACATCATGTATTTCTATGGTTAGTTTTGTTTTATTCTATAGCAGCTTGCTAGTTGTTTGTTGAGCGTTGTTTCTTGTGCTCCTTCTCGGCAGGTCTAGTGCCCACGTCCACCCTAATGTAAATATGATCAGGTCCACTGCTCGCCGAGTCTTCGTCTCGTGATGAAGTCCCTCCTCTCTGCCACTCGATACTTTAAGCTTCTCGCTATAACCTTTGGTTGCACTCTGCTACAGTCATGTGAAGTCGGAGTCAGGCCGTCTTCTGAACTTCACTGGATCTAATAATGTTAAGATGTCTTCACCATGTACGTGTCTAGTCTAGTCTAGTCTAGGCGATGTTTATTACTATATTACATTTCTATATACGTGCATGGCTACTCTAGCTAACCTGTTGTCGTAGTAAATAAACAATAATAGTGTTAAGATGTCTCGGACCTGTTATAACGTGTAACAAGACCAATGTTTCCTTCTCTTCTCGGTCCTTCTATTTCTCGTCCTCTCTCTTCTTCTATCGTAGTGACTGTTCTGTAATCTTCGTTGTTGGCTCTCACGTAGTTATAGTGTTAGAGATGTTACTTTGGTACGTAGCGGTATCCTTAGATGTAAATCGGTATAACTAACTGTCACTAATTTATAATTCAACTGTTCTGAAGTGCATGGAGTGTGCTCTGACGTGTGAATAGTGTCGTTTTCTCTATTCATAGGCTGCCCTGTATGTGTAGGTGCTTCCGAAGCTCCTCTCGTTACTAGCTTTCGATGTTTTGTGTATAGTCTACGGCTGTTATCGTAAAGTATAAGTGAAGCGTTCGTCTCGGAATTTGGGTGATATCAAACGAATGTCGAGAGTTCTGTTGACGCCTATCAATGAAAAGGTTTGTGAACTATCATATTTATTTAGATACTAAAGTTTGTATTACTTTTAAAATCTATTTTATTTGTGTAATTGTGATGAATTTTTAAAAAGAGGTTTATACAAGGTAGACACGTAGTTTAGTCGTAATTGTAAATTATTTCATAGAACGCATTATCCAAACACTACAGTAGAGTAACTTTAAGCTCCCAATCGACTGACCACTTTCCAAATTTTTCCTAAACGTTATATATCAGTTGAATCGATCTTATGGCTCTCGCACTCAGGGTATTTATACTGTTAGTTCTTGCAGCCCGCCAAGCAAACACTTCCCTACCACCTTGCAAGAACTGTTTCTGATTGTTGTCTTTATATTACGTGCTCAATGAGTTCCATCATTTACATTTCCTATGACTTTTTGGCCTGCGATGGCGTCTCTGGATCCTATCTTGCACCGGTCTCTTCATCATTACACTCGGATCTGTTCACTTCGGACTTAGTTTCGTATAACGCAAATGAATTGACATTATTATATTGTGGCTGTGTGAGTGAGACAACATGCAAATGGCTGTGACAATACGCAGTGATGTTGACGTGCGTGTGTGTGTGTGTGTGTGTGTAGTGAACTGAGACTATTGTAGGTGTGAGAGTTAGTGCGGCTGTTCCCTTGTGAGGGAAAGATACGGTTTATATATCGTATCTTTTCCTCCCATCGTTTGGATGTGTGCGTGTGTTGGTGTATAAAATGTGGATACTATTGCGTTATTTCAATAGAAAAGATTATATTTCTTCATTTTCCTTTCAAATTGAAACAAAAACAAAATGTTACGACGTTGAATATATTAAACTTAAGTAATACATAACAACTTTACATGCACCTTAGTACAGCGACGCGTTTGCTAGATAGAGATACATTAAATCAAAATAAAGACCAAACCTCTGGAACGAATATCATAGTGAATGCGTCTAAAGATCTGATCTTTTTGTGTATTGAGTATATAGTATGGAGGACTGATTGTATCAAAGGAAGGTCAGAGGTCAAAGGTACACTCTGAGATCAGATGCAATGCATACAGCTACATAGAGACAACGACACATCACCGACACGAGCTTCACACAAGCCAGTATTATTGTTACGTTATATACGGCGAAGGTTCTTCTGCGCGTGCTATAGATAACATTTTGGATCAGAGACTTAACTGATGTGACTTTCGCCAACTAAACTCATGTTTCCTCGCGGCCAGGTCGCGTCTCCTAGTCCACTAATGTTCTATGCACGTCGTGGAAGACAGTTTTCCGTCTGACGATAGTTGGTAATGAGCGCCGTCTCAACGGTGCGTCTGTTTGTTCGTTGGAATAGTTATTGGCTAATTATAACACAATAGAGTGCATTAGCTTTTAATATTAGTGGCGTATAGTGTTACGAGCATACGACGTACGTCACTGAACGTGGTTTACTGTGTGTTGTTATAAAACATGGTTAAAAGTTTATCCTGGATTACATTTAACTTAGAGTTATGGAATTTAAAAAACGAAATCGAGGTTATTGTTGAAAATGTTTTAGGTAATTAATATCGGATTGAGCTTTCGTGACTCTTGTTGTTACTAGTTAGGTTCCGTTGCCGGGCGTCGTCCGAGTATCGATCTCTCTGTCTCGACCTTGAGTTACATACTTCACCGTCTCTTCACTTGTGTAGTCTCGTAAAGTAGGCTTTTTCGCTGCTATATAATTTATGAAACTGCAAAGCATTGTTAAATTTATTTATTGTATCCTTATTAGTTATGTATAAAGTTTAGAGGTAGCCATTTTCATATAAACTACATCGTGAGTGTGGAAGTGGTTTATCTACCATGTTGTTAAATAATAAATATACTACATTGTACCACCCCAGTGACTTTTATTTACTGACGCCTCTCCTCTACATACACAGAAGACAACAATTTAATTGCTTATTCAACATTATATACTAAAGCAAGACTAAAAGTCTAGAATTTAGACATTCTTACTTTCACCTAAAATTTATCTGTCAAATGTCTGTCATTGATTTAAAGAATGATTACTATTAATAATAAAGACATTCCTTAATACTACATACGTTAAATAAAACTCCATAAAGTAAACTATAGTATAATGTTACAATCTATTCTTATTTAATCAAGTATTGTGATGGCGGTCCATAGCTTGTTAATATTTCTATTGAAATCAGCGAAGAGTGACAGTATATCTTGTAAAGCGGACTTCAAGAGACCTGAGTTTGTTTTGTCAGAGATATCAATAGTCGCACTGTCTCCTGATAACTTCGTTTTTAAGACAATACCTTCTTCTGAACCAGTCTCTTTGTAATCTTCTAATTTGTCTTTATTTTGTATTTCTATCGGCAGTTCAGTTAATTTCTTAAGATTGTTAAATATTTTGCCTATTTTTATTTTTTCTTTACTAGTCTCTATTTCATTCTCCGACGAGTCTTCTTCTAGGTTTCTGTTTGATTTATTTTTAGATAAACTTCTACGATTCCTTGTTTTCTTTTCGTTGGAACTTTTCGTGTTATCTAAAATTTCATTCTTTAAAGAATTCTCCTTAGTTTTTGGCACGTCGTTGCTTTTTCTCTGCGTGATATATTTATTTTCTGTTCTTCTTGTTGACCTCAAACCTGAATTTCTTTTTATGTCCCTTAGTCTGAATAGTTTATTCTTTATCCGTCCCACTTTATCTTTGGAGAACTTTGAAATTTTAGCAAGACCATTATTTCCAAGTGACTTCTCGTAACTTTTCCTAGACTTTAATCTATTCAAAGCTCTAGATTTTCGTCTATTATTATCATCGTCACACATTTCTCGTTTCACTCGGATAAATTTGTTATTTTTTGTATCAAAGCTTTGGAATATTTTCTGGAGCTCATTGTTGATGTCCTCAATTCGTTTTTGTAAAGCTATATTATTCTCCACTGCACTAAATCCTCTTAATTTTTCGTCAGACACTTGAGAAGTAAAATCCTTATTTTCATGTATAGATCTTTTGGTTTTAATAAAATTATCTTCGTCATCGAATCGTCTATTAATTTCATTATCAAGTCTAGTTGTTTTATTATAACATGCAGCTACTTGGGCGTTAGCGAGTACCCAAAAACCCAAGGACTTAGGTGGCAAAGTGAATACAAGAGGTTTATACGAGCGACCGAGTTTGATGACTGGTTTTATGTGACCATCCCGAGTTGCTGGGCGACCGTTCACGATGATATTCCTGTCAACACAAAAATAATTTTAATAATGATAACAATTCTATGTGAAATTCTATACTCAAACATTATTAACAATTACTTGATTGATGATTTTCAAATATTTTTGTAGGTCAAACTTAAACGTTTACTTCTTTTCATATCATTTGTCAGTTTGTTATATCATCAATTCATGAACTTGTTCTAACTGAAGGTATTATGATAAAACCCTATAAAGACATTTCACAATTATCTAAATAGTAATAAAATGTTACCAGAATGTTTTGAACAAGAAGGTTTTTTAACATAACTCAGGTATGAAGGTGAAACTATGAGAGTTTCCTGTCCTATAAGCTTACCCTGTCATATCATGTTCCAATATAAACTGCAGGATATCTCCATCGTGTTGTGTGATGTTAAGAGTAAAGGCTGCGTGTTGTTGTTGGTCGTTGACCCCGTACACAGTAATCGCGCCCGGAACCGGCCGACCGCGGAGTGAGGAGCAGTGACAAAAGAGGGAGAGACCAGGAGAAGAGACAGGGGGGGAGGGAACAGGGGCAGAGACTGATAGGACACGGGTTCCGACCAGGTGCTTAAATAACAGGAACGTGTAGAGGTTCTGGAAATGAAATACAAATGTAATAGCGCGGATATTAGTCATAAAAATTTATAGTTTGATTAATTTCATAGTTTTATTTTCGGTTTATTAGAACCTATCAGAACCCACTGCTGAGTAAAGACCTCTTCTTCCATTGAGAAGGTTTGAGCATTAATCACCACGCTTGCTCAAGACGGGTGGCGATTTCAAACTTATAATTTGAAAATATAGGTCCAGCTCACACGATGTGTTCCTTTATCTGTCAGTGGTGTCTAAATACTCTTAGAAATTACATATGACTCCGCAAAATCACAATGGTTTTTGCCAGGTTTTGAACCCGCGCTCTTATGCATGAGTGGTGGGCCTTTAACCTCTAGGCTACCTACCATGACCCAGAAAATAATAAAATAAAAATATATTCGAGAATAATGCTAAAGTTTACCAATGAGGGTTCACAGAGCTCGTTCTCCAACTCCTGGAAATGTACAGTGAACCCGCTGGCTGCTGCTGTCCCTAGAGAAGACAGGCGGTCTCTGGGAGATGAGGCCTTGGATGACACCCACAGCGGAGTGTCGCTGCGGCTCAAGCGCTGCAGCAGCTTGGAGTGTTCACGAGGAGACATAGCTGATAGCTCCCGCGATGTGGAGTTACTGTATCGAATTTAAGAATAATGTTTAATAAGGACATAGTATATATGTATTTATAGTTTTACACAAGTGTAATTTATGATTAAAATAAGTATAACTTTTATACAATTCCATAATAGAAATCTGTATGTAGAAGATACCCAAAATGAAATAGGAAATATACGGTCTACTTCCTAAGAAATGTTGTATAAATCTAAAGTTACTTTGTTTACCTTATATATAAGATTATTGTTTTCTTTTCTTCTTTCATCATACAATAATGAAGTTTTTTCAACTGTCAAATTTTACAATTGTAATTATAAAAAATCCTTCTCTATTATATTGATAAATGTAGGTTGTTGTGGCTTAAAAATTAAGCCTTCGCGTTATGATTTCAGACAAAGTTTGTGTACTCTCAAAATACTTGTTATACAGTAACAAAGTAACAAAACAAAAGACAACATGAAGCTATAATTATGAAATGTTAAAAAGCGGCTTAAAATATACCAAAACTCTCAATAACGATAAAGTTCAAAGGTTTCATCATTTAAATTTCATTCAGAATTCGTAATTGAGTGTTGTGACTCACCCGTCCAAAAATATGGCGTCCATCATATCATTGGACGTGATGACGTAATCTTTAAAGTCGTTCTTGGAGTGTCCGTTCAGACAGTTGGTGACGTCTGCTCCCACCACCTTCCACTTCCCAGACATACCAGAAGGAAAAGTCTCCACAATAACACGGAGAGTTTCCAAATCATTAAGATATTCTTCGATAGTTTGATTTCTACATTCTGCAACATGATGAAATAAACGCAAACATGTTGAAGACATTAAGAAACTTATTAATATCAATGTGATCTTCTTTTCAATGATCGTTAGACTTAAGCTGAGCTTTGCATTTGTGTGAGTGAAAATAAAAGAGTTAGACAAAAAACTTTTAGAATTAAATTTTATTATATTTTAAATAGATACATAACATAAGTGCTATAAAATAAGCAAAACTTGTAAAAATCCAAATGGAAATAATATGAATCTTGTGGATTTTTTTTTTGATCAATAAGAATTTTGAAAAAACTATACAAATTCTTATTCACTTGACATTGCGTTTACAACATTTGATATTGCTACCATTACAAAAGGTGAAATGCGGAAGGTGCGGGGCGGAGTAAAAACAGAATAAACCGGTTCAAAACTAGAAAAGAACGTGGTATTTAAAAATTTAACATCTCACCTACACTATCCGTGTACACTCACACAAATGCAAAGCTTAGCTTAAATCAAACGCACTATACTATACTATAACGCAGTTTTATATATCCATATATTGCTCACATCCACGTGTTAAAGATGACGAAATAAAAAGCACAGCAGGGAATACATGGACCAGAAAAACTCAGAATATAACAGAGTCGAAGGAAATAGAGGAGTTCTTTGCCAAAGTTGGGCAATCAGACCAGGTTTTTGATGTCGCTAACTCGTTATAATTGTTAGATTAAGAAACTCTGTATATTTGTGTTCTATAACTATTAATAAGGTCTGAATAAATGCTTTTATTATTATTATATTCCTCACCGTAACCCAGTTGCCAGAACATTTCTCCAACTTGTTGTTTTTGTGCTGCCGTCAGCATGTCGAGGGCTATGTTGGCGTCCCACATCGCTCCGGTCCTGTGATGATTGTTGAAAGCGAACACCAGATCGAAACCAGAGTTTTTTGCCCATTTTGCAAAACTCCTCCAATCAGATTGTCTTATTTTTATTATCTGACCCTCTGGAATGTTTTATTAAGAACATGAAATAATACTCAATATCAGTGTATATGACGTCACGGAATATGAAATAAAAAAGAATATATGTTTTCAAATTGTCTAATTTATAAAAAATATCTATATTACATCTCGTCTGCCCATAAAGATTGTTGAAAAGTAACCGAAACGTCGGGAGTATGTAGTTTTAACAATAATAAATACGTGCAGAATGATCCGCAAAATATTAATTTCATTATCTATAACAGTTTCACTTTACTTCTAACTTTATTTTTATAATGTAAGGTATTTAACCCTTTTCACCACTGGTTATTTCTAGACCCTCATATACACTCTTGGGGGAGCTAGGTCCCGTGTAAATTTCGTATTTATTTAATTGAGAATTAATAATGTTTTCTCTAGAACACTTTCATTACAACGCTCACCGCCAGATTCTTCACTAAACAGATGGTGTTCGATATCCTTCTGTTGTTGTATGATGATGCTAGAATTGAGGAAGGTCAGGCTTGAGGTGGAACTGCCAGCGACTCTGATGAACGACGGAGAGAGAGACGAAGCTATGCACAGACACTGCTTACTGATGAACAAAACAATACCATTACGAATATACATACATAAAACTGGCCTAAATAATAGAAAAATATTCAATTACAAGTCATATACATACATATAAATATACATTGAATGAAAGGAATTGTCTCATAATTAACATTACATTTAACATTAAAGATCATGCGACGAAAATAATATATTTAATTCAAAGATTTTTATAAGCGATTTTTGGATGGCAGCAATTTTTATACTCTTTTTGAAATCTTTAAAAAATTTTCATCTCAAAAGAGTTTAAAAGTAATATTTTAAGATTATAATTAATAATATATTAATAAAGAACTCCACTACTTAAAAATTATAACACAAAATTAAAATGGCAATTTTTAGGGATGAAGAAAATAAAAAATATACTACTGAGACTGAGACTGTCATCTCGTCTGCCCGTGATCACGGTTACTGAAAAGTAGCCGAAACGTCGGGAGTATGTAGTTTTCTAATCAAAAATAAAACGCGATGTAAAATCCGAAAAATATTAGTTTCATTTAAATGAGTACTCGCGAAAATCTTAGATCTAAATATACTACTTAGTACTTATTAATTATAATTATTTAAAGTACATCTTAAAGATGAATGCATTCAACTATGACAGAAACTCTAAAATGAATGGACATTAAAATAGTAACCCAGCATCCTTCAATTTGATAACGAAAGTTCAAGATTTAAACCTAACATACCCTCACCACAAGCTCTCGCTCTGCCTGTAATTACAAAAAACCGTAGCATTGCATCATCGCCATAGACAACAATTCTAGATTTCGTGCTCTAAGTAGTTTCTTTTTGAAGCAAACAAGGAAGGAGAAAATTTTATATGAATTAGAATATCCCAAACAACTATTGGAACTCGAAATATGTCCAATTGTTTGCGAGTAGGCCGAATTCGAATAAGGAGTGACGTCTTTCACTAACTAGTACAGAGTTAGAGAGAGAACAGATCTTGAAGAAATTTATGCTTCAAAACAGATTGGCTGGACCGTCAACCCCCAAATGTCTCATACCTATTTCAAAGTAACGAAATATAAGTAAAAACAAAAAAAAAATCTTGCAAAAGCAAGGTCTGTCTGAAAACATAAAGAACGATACTTACTTTTTAATCTTTTCACTGGAGAAAAACAGGTACTTAGGATCTATAGTGAAACTTAAAAATTTGTTGTCAATTTCATTCACAAGTCTGTCCGTGCGAATGTTCACGTTTAGTATTTCAGCGCTAATTATATTTGAAGACAGTAACACTGTAACTATTGAATGTATGAACTTGTACTCCATATTGAATGTCTTTAACTAACTTCATAGTTTCCGTACTTGCATTTTTATAATTTGCATTTTATTAATGTTGCAGTCAGATCAAGAATTGAAAAATATTACTTAATTTGCAGAAATGTGTTATGGTACAGTGGTCCTATTATCTCTTTATTATCAATATTTTTTCATGAAATAAATATAAAGGCAAACATTTACCATATTTTTAATTTAAACTATTCTAAAAATAAACAATATAAACAAATAAATATCTCAACGCTGAAAATACATCAATTGTCCTAATTGTAACTATAGCTACAACATTTATCTGCAAACTCGGCAGTAACAAGTTTGCAAGCCATACATTATGTTATTTTGTATTTTTGTTATTAACTCCTTATTTATTTATATGTTAAGTCACGTCTTATTCCAAATAATGTTTCATGAACATTGTTTCATGGCGTCCTCTCTATCTTATCTACTTTAAGCCGATAATATTTAACACAATATCAAATATTATCAACAGTAAAAGTTTTTATCTTTCATCAGTAACTATTCGCAAAAACTAGACAGTTTCATCAAAAACCGTCTGGCTGAATTCAATTTATTATTCTTCAATTCTACAACTTTATTAATTGCATATAATTCTTATTTTTAATAAAGTATATATGTATAGCTATAAAATATATATGCAAGTGTAATTTGTGGCATTGTTCTAAACTAAAACATGTCCCGTAAGTCTTAATAATAAACATGTACTAGAAAAACGCAATGCACTCATTATATAGAAGTCTTACAAATCACGCCAATTTCAAAGAATAATAGATTGTAGTATAAAATCAATTCTAACAACTCAAAAAAAATTGCGTTAATTGACCCAACAACATTCTTTAAATCTTTTCCAATTAAGCATTACTGATTTTCTTTTTGCTTCTGTTCTCAACTATCATATTTTCCGATATTACAATCTAGATATGAATTTACATAAAGTAGAAAAATAAGGAAAACTTCTTGACAGTGCTTCAAGGTTCTAGGATATTTAATATATCTGTTAAGCCAAAATCTGCTAGGAAAACATGACCTTACATTGAAAATAATGATACATGACCTTACTTTCATGCTTGGGTGACGAATACTGATTTTATTTGCATTATTTCTAGATTTAATAAAAAAAAATATGTCTAAAGCAATTCTCATTAAATAATGAAAATATTCAAAAACAATGTAGGATTTGTGGATTTAGAAAATTACACATTCTACAACTTTTTTATATCTCTTTTAACTTTGGTCTTAAACTGTAATATTAAATTATTCAAGTCTAATAGTTTATATGAAATGATTTAAAATTAAAACTCAATAATTCATAACATTTTGTTGCCTCCAAAAGAAGAAAAGATCACGTTATTTACTCTAAAAATATCAGCATTAATAATTATTGTAAATCAAATCATCAATAACTCAATTGGGTATAAAGAAATAGTGAAATGAAGTAAACATAAAATCTTTTTTATTTTTAAACTAGACCTCCCAATGACATACCACTGACGTACGTCATTAGTCATATCATATCACCTACTGTGTCGCCTTAATATATAATTTATTTATCAATTTAGGTATATGTGTTTTATCGTAGTATCTCGCGTTAACAACAAAATTATGACGATTATTCAAGGCGTGCTAAAATATCACTTCATAGTGAGCGCATGATGGTCGAAAATGTGCTTAAAACATTTCAAAAGGACAAAGTAATGTTTATCAAAGTCACTTGTTTTATTTTGAAGTGAATATGGATAGTGAGACTATAAAGACGGAAAGTGTGAGTGAACAGAAAAAGGAGTTAGCGCCAAATTTACAGAAGATATGTCTCGTCTGCGGCGATAAGGCACTCGGTTATAATTTCAATGCCATTTCTTGCGAGAGTTGTAAGGCGTTTTTTCGTCGTAATGCTTTAACTAATAAGGAGTTCAAGTGTCCCTTTACTAATAATTGTGAAATAACCCTCGTAACGAGGCGTTTTTGTCAGAAATGTCGTTTAGAGAAATGTTTTTCTGTTGGCATGGTGAAGGAGTTTATTATGTCCGACGAGGACAAGGCGGAAAAGAGACGAAAAATAGAAGAAAACCGCGCCAAAAAGAGACAACTACAGGATTCGGATGATAGTGTGTCCAGTTCTAAGAATTTTAGACGAGATGTTGAGAGTCCTTACACCACGCCGGTACAAGAAAGTACAATACAGTATGATGTTTTAAACAGCACCACATGCAGCCCGCACAGCTCAGCGGAGTCTCCTTTGAGCACTGATGTAGATTCTATGCCTACGCCAGCCTACGGCCAATATGTGCCAGTGCAAACAGAGTTATTCACAGTGAAAGGCTACCCACCGGAGGAGAAGACAAGTCCAAACCAGAGATATTATGAACCCCGGCAAGAACATTACATGTGTGACAGTATGGATGGCATTTACGAACAAACGAAACAAAATAGTATAAGGTAAATAACTACACTAGTAGTGTGTCATACTTATAAAGACAGTGAGTACTTAGTAAATATAATAACATAAATATTTTAACACCTCACTCATCTTATTCATATATAATTACATATATTTATAATCTATTTCAGTGTCTTATTTACTTATAGAACCAATATACTATCGGTTTGGTTTTTAGTTCTTTTCATGTTTTTTTTGTAATAAAAATATACCTACATTTCTATTATAAACATTAATATTTCGGTTATTTATATGTAATTTGTTTCATTACTAGTGACTAAGAGATGGTAAAGTTTACCAAGGAATTAGCATGTTGAATCAATTATCACATGTTCAGAACATCTATACGTTAATTAATATTTTTTAATGATGTCTTATACGGAGGCACTCATGATAATGGTCATATATTATAATACATATTAGGTATTTGTATAAATTAATGTAACAAATTTATTTATTTATAAGGGAATCCGTTGATACTCGGTAATCTGGCAACTCCTCTAATGTAACTTAGTCTATTATTTATTATGGAATTAATATTTTTTCAAGTTTCACTATTTATGATTGAACAAAATAATTAGATCTAAGACTTTCTTTTAAATTAAACTAACCATGAACATAGTTGCTGAAAAGTAACTGAAACATCGAGAGTATGCAGTTTTTTAGTATGCATATAATCTGATAAATATTACTTTCATTGAAATGATTGAACAAGTTAAAATTTGTATGCACAACCCACTATTGGCTATTGTCTTGATTCTGATTTCTATCAAGTGTGTATTTGTCTACATATGAGATAGTATGATTTGTCCTTCATAGTAAATATCTATTGTATGTGTTTTATCATTTGATCTTTAATTTGTCAGATTACAAGAAATTCTTTTGCCAAAAAAAATAGACTATGTGGTTCTTAAGCAGTATGCTATCAACAATCAAATTAGTGTAAGCCGAGCCGAGCCTGCTGTGCATAATATTTGTATAATAGGGGTCAATAATCAACTACATGCTTCATATAACATAATATTATAATTTTATAGTTAATACACACACACATATATATGTATGTATTTATAAAAACTAAAACCCCTAGAATAGTCATCATTATTCCTCAATAATTTTTGTTGTCCCAGTTTCCTACATACATATAATGTCTCTTGTACTCATCTATTATAGTTCACTAAAGCTCCGGAACAATTCACTTCATTCATCAATACATATAATTAATATAAAACATTGTAAGCGCTTGTTCCAGGTCCATCTTGACCAACGGCGAAGGAGTCTCTCATCAGCAAGACTCGGAGCATGTGTGCGAGGAGATGCCTTCAACGAGCAACCCAGAAGTTAATAAGGCCAGGGACATACTACAAGACGTTGAGAGGTAAGGTCATGTACACATGATAATAATATTATAATTGCGAAAGTTTGTGAGTGTGTGTGTATGTTTGTCACTTCTTCACGCTCAAACGGCTGAACCGATTTTGATAAAATTTTGTATACAGGAAGCTGATGTCTAGGAATAACACATAGGCTACTTTACATCCCGCAAATCCTCGGGTAACACCGCGGGGCGCAGCTAGTAATAATATAATTTATTATGTGTATTCTAGTATTCAATGAAACTATAGAATTTGTCATGTATGTATGTATTGTGATAAGTAGCAAAACTGAATGACAGCAACTAATATAATAAAGTGATCTACCTACATTACACTTAATATTATTATTATTAAAACAATACTGAGCAAGCATAATTAACGTAACTTTCTTTTTCTGTTTATACTTGTAAATAATTTTAAGTTCTTGTAAAATAGTTGCAAATAATGCTGTATAAATGATTGAGAGACAAAAAAATGTTAAGTAATATACAAAGAAAGTTATTTTTTAAATATAAGTTTCTAATTTAGTATTTCGAGCAATATTTTCATTTGTAAGAAGTTTGTTGTGTTATATTATACTTGTATGTAACACTAGATAAACATACAATGATATAAAAGATATGAGGAAGAAAATTAAAACATAATTTGTAAAGGCCACAAGATATACAGGGTGACTGGTGAATTACTATCGATACTTGAGGACGTGATATTTGACGATTATATATGACAAAATAAGAATTAATATAACATAAATATTAATAAACTTCTAAGTAAAGTTAACCAAAAGTTATGTAATTAATTACGCATCGTGTGAACATCCTACAGATTAGGTATACACACACACACACACACGCGCGTTTGGCGGCGTGGTATTGTATCAGCACGCCGCCGCACGCGTCCACACTTGGAACGTGTCCACATTTGATTTATTTATACGGAAATTTGGTCAAAAATTAAGTACCTATTTTTTTTACATAATTCGAATGAGAATCATGTACCGAGTATTCTCCTTAAATATTGATAGTAATTCACCAGTCACCCTGTATATGAATAGTAATCAAAGTTTATCAAACAAGTTTTTTTTATCTCATTCTCTTTAAAAATCACACGTTCAGAAATGTAAATAATGCGTTTATTAATATCAATGTTTTTTTAATGTTTGATGAATTTTTTGTCAATGTATTTACAGGATAGAACCAAACTCTATGGAGTCAATATTGTGTGAGGCAATCAAGTTGGAATTCGGGGCTTACTCTTCAGTTAATAGCTGCAGTGGATCATCTAGAGAATTGAATGAGGTACACAGACAAACATACAACTATATATACAAATATATATCTATTATGATAAAAAATATCGAATGTTGTACATGTAAGGTCATTTGAAAGTAAAAGTAATTAAGAAATATCTTATTATAAACATTTATAAATATATACTTAATTTTTGTTTCAAACATATCATTATCTTATCATAAAACATTGATAACCAGGTTTCTTAGAACGCGTGACACATCAAGTTAGTGAAAATTGTATAGAATGACTTAAATATTTTTTACTAGTTTTTGAACTATAGTAGTTGCAGTATAGAAGTTATTTTTGGGAGTATGTATGTATGATTCGTTATTGATCATTGTAGGTGGAGAGAGCCAAGCTGAATGAGTTAATAGTTGCTAACAAGGCGCTCCACGCTCCCATAGATGACGACGTGTCACAACTCATCGGCGACGCGGCCAGCGCCGGACTCAAGGTCACTCACACTCACACGAAATTATTCACTTACTCACTGAAACTCATTCATTCCCTCAAACTCATTCATTCACTCACTCAAACTTATTCATTCACTCAAACTCATTTATTCACTCACACTCATTCATTCACTTATTCAAACTCATTCACTCACTCGCACTCATCCACTCATCCGCACTTATCCACTCTCTCAAACTCATTTACTCACTCAAATTCATTCACTCACGTGACCTCACTAATTCACTTACTCAAACCAAATCACTCATTTAAACCCAATCACTCACTCAACTCATTTACTCATTGAGCTATACGTCGTCTCGTGTTCCAGGTGGGCGAAGGTAAGCACGACCCTCGCCTCATAACGTTAGTGAACCTGACGGCCGTGGCCATCCGGAGACTCATCAAGATCGCCAAGAAGATTAACGCCTTCAAGAACATGTGCGAGGAGGACCAGGTGAGGAACATATAGAATGTAGTGTGGCAGACGGAGACAGATGTACTACTTGTATAGGACTGGGTAAACGAGGTGTGTCCGAAAAATAACGGCGTTTTTGGAACCAAATATTTGTGTACATTTATGTCGTGCTTACAGTATCGCCCCTTATTTAGTAAACGTGAAATAACGAGTCTATTACAGTGCTGAATAATAGAATCAAATGACATAGTATTTATACTAGACAGAATGGTATCGTCCAAAATGCTATCCATTCAATACGACCTATATAATCAAATCTCTGTGACATCATCATTAGTGACTCTTCTGATCGTAATCCAGCAGCACTCATAATCATTGCTTTTATTTTTTCCACACTTTCCTTTGGGGTGTTCGTCTTCTGTGTTTTTTACTCTTATACTACTCTGAATTTCTTGTTTTACTGATAACAGACTTATCGTAGGCCTTTGTAAACATTCCCCATACTTTGTTATATTTTATTTTCTGTCATAGAATCTATTATAAACTTCTTTTAACAAACGAACATCAAAGAAATATTATACAAAGACGTCTAACCTTTGTGGTTACCACAAACGGTAGTGAGCAATGAATACAGATGAAAATTTTATCATACCTCAGGGTCATGCATACCAACATAATACGAAAATTATATTTGGGCTCTTCAAACCCTCGAAATTTAAACATTCTTGTTATTTTTTTAGCACACTTCGTACTGCTGTTTCAAATGTAATATATTGAACTGATTCGGATTGAACCGTCCAATATATTTATTCAAATCTTCCGAGTAGTTCCGTGAAGAGCACAGATTAAAATGTAGTTACGTAAAAGTACAGATGGCGTTAATAATTGATTTCAATATAAAGCTTATTTAACTAATTCCTAAAACCGATTCTTGACACCAAGAAGTCGCGGTCACTAACGAGTGGAATGTCACAAGCGTTTCATCTGAAAAAACTATTTCATTTGAAGGAGCACAGCTGTGTAACTCTTTGCCTCCTAAGTGTTGTCAATTCAAAATCTCTAAATATATTTAAAAAAAAATTAGGAACCCATATATTAGATGATTTCACTGATCTTGTTTAATATCACCAATGTTTATTATTTGTAGTCTTAATTGTAGTTATAATTTTTAAAATTTCCTTTGTAAGCGAACTTTGTTCTTTTTGGAAATAAACTTCTTTAAACCTAAACCTATGTGTAACGTGGTTCCAGGTGGCGCTACTGAAGGGAGGCTGTATAGAGATGATGGTGTTACGGAGCACCATGACCTACGACGGACAGAGGAACCAGTGGAAGGTAGGGGCGAGACGATTAACGTGACGTGACGCGACGTGACGTAACTTGACGTGACGTTACTTAACCTGACGTGACGTGATATAGTAATGACAAGTGACTGGTACTCGCGGGCCATATATAGGCAGTTTGAAAGTTAGAAACGATTGGAAATCAACCCTTCATGTGTCACAGATATCGAAAAGAATATTTCGATCATCACCAACCAGTCCGCGTTCATTATACAGTGTGTATGAAAAATTGTGTCAACCCCCTTAACTGCGTTATCAGTATCGAAAATGGAACACAATCAAACAACTTACACTTACAAACTCTTCAATAAATAGTAAAATTAAATATTAAATGATTATTATATGTAGAGTAACCAAATGTTTGTACCCACTGGTATAACTCGATGAGACTCAATGGCGTCATCACACCTGCTGCGCTACTAGTGACGAACTCGAACATACATTCACATTATTGAAAATATCGATATTTAAAAAATCATAACAATAAATAAATATTTAATATTCATATTATGTCGATACTTATTTTGATATATCAAACATTAATATTATTTTTGATTGTAACACCATTTTTAACAGAAATAGATTAACGATTTATCCTAATAATACAACATAGTTAATTTACCTGAAGAAGTTCCAAATTACAATATTGATTTTAATAAAAGTTATTTTACATAAAATTATTTTAATGTGAAAAGCATAACTATTTATAGCAATATTGAAAATATCGGTAGAATATTTATCGATATACTTAATTTTTAAACTTGCAAATCTCTATTCGAACAACTAACAAAATAATAATAATAACGCTGGCGGCCCGGCGCCTGCGATAAATTGCCGCGCGTGCGCCGGCGCGACTATACGCCGCCTTTACTGTTTATGGGTCAAATGTTTGAAACGTTTTTTCAAATAATGTCTATTTAAAACTTATTTAGCCTATGCACTGTAACTGACCTCTGCTTGGTATTTTTTAAGTTATTTTTTATAATAAGCTTATACTTATATGTATACATGCCTTCAAGGGTTGACACAGTTTTTAGAACACGCTGTATAACATATAAATTTAGCTAATTAGCATAAACAAAACATTTAAATATAATAGACGAGTTCCCCACCAGTCAACCGTGTGTTGTGTGTGTGTGTGTGTGTGTGTGTGTGTGTGTGTGTGTGTGTGTGTGTGTGTGTGTGTGTGTGTGTGTGTGTGTGTGTGTGTGTGTGTGTGTATATATATAAGGTCGTGTGTGTTGTCCACAGCTGCCCCACAGCCACAAGCAGTACGGCAGCATCCAGACGGACGTGTTGAAGCTGGCCAAGGGGAACATCTACCGCAGCCACCAGGCCTTCATCAGCTCCTTCGAGCACAAGTGGCGCACCGACGAGAACATCATACTCATCATGTCCGCCATACTGCTGTTCACGCCCGACCGGCCGCGGGTCGTGCACCGTGACGTCATCAAGCTGGAGCAGGTATCACACTCATACGTCATCAGACTATCAGAACCCACTGCTGAGCATAATCTCTTCTCACATGGAGAAGGTTTGAGCATTAATCACCACGCTTGCTCAAGACGGCTTGGCGATTACAAACTTATTATTTAATAAGTCCAGGTTACCTCACGAGGTTTTCCTTTATCTATCTGTGGTGTCTAAATTCTTTTATAGAGTACATATGACTCGGAAAAATCACATTGGTAATTGCCAGGTCTCGAACCCGCGCCCTCATGCATGAAAGACGTTTACTCTCATATTGAGTGATATATGTCTACAAAATTTTATTCAAACGTCGGGACTATAGGCTCCCCTTGCTCAAAATTAAGACATCTTTTGCTAGACGCTTCAGTCCTTTCATTGAGTCGTTTATTTACAATAAAGTAGCCAACGCTTGTGGATATTAAACATTGCTCCGTTAAACAAGCCAAAACAAAAATTATTTCTTGGCTCTCCTCATTGACCTATAATACCACCGAAAAACTTTTCTTGCACTTAGTATAGTACCTATTCATAAACATAAGACCAGTTGTAAGTTAATTCTACTTAAATTATGCAATGTATGCTAAACAATTATATAATTTATATTCTAAGCCGAGCGACAACTATAAACATGTATTGTATAATGTTGTTTTTTGTTAATAAACATTTTTTCATTTTCATTTTTCATATACATAGTATATATATATCTGCAGAGTTTAATGTACATACTCTGTACCGAACGTTCCAGAACTCATACTACTACCTCCTCCGTCGTTACTTGGAGAGCTCGTTCGCGGGCTGCGAGGCGAAGGCCACGTTCTTGAAGCTGATCGCCAAGATCTTGGAACTGAGGAAGTTCGCCGAGGAGGTGACGGGCGTGTACCTGGACGTGCACCCGCTGGAACCGCTGCTCGTGGAGATCTTTGACCTCAAACACCACGCCGCGTGATACACACACACAACACGTTATACATGTAGTAGGGGATACTGCAAATGCGTGTAACTAACTAGCATTGAAAGCAAATTATTATCAGAAGATAGTTTGAACTGAAATATTTTCTAAATTAACGACCTATAAAGGTAATTTTTTCATAATTAGTAATTATTTAATTACGCGGATTTGCATTATCCACGACGATATGTAGGTATAGAGAAGAAATTATTACTATCGTTCTTTCATAGATGGCGTTTGAATAAAATGAACTTATAATATCAGCTGTACATATTGATTAAACCGAACCATTTTAAAATTGTTCTACTACATTTATTTTATTTATCTTTTGTTTTGAACGCATCTGTTGTGATCGCATGTAAAGTTGACCTACCCTTAGTGTGTTAGTTGTGTATGTTAATAAAAGGAGTTGTAATATATTATATTTAGTTGTTAAGTATATAGTTAAGAGATTATCAAACCGAAAAGTGATTCGATTTATTTATTTCTAAGACAAATGCAATAATAGTTTACAATATATGACTTTTGTTTCAACTTTTAAGACACAACCAAAGAAATAGTTCATTAACATTAATGCTGTTTATTTCGTATCATTTTGTCTCCACATGCCAAATATCTAACATCTACTATATTTAAAACCTAAGCGAGTGTTACAAGCTTTGGTTGATTTCAGAGCAACTTTTAAATTCTAATATATTTTTATATCTGTAAATATAAACGGTTATTGTTATAAATATTTTTCTATAGTGTTTTATGTATGCAATACGATATGGATTAAGGAAATGCAAACTAGAAAATAAAGTGACTTTTATTTGGACCAATCCCATTACTATATAGTGTGAAAACAAAAACAAAAAACAAACAAACATAAACTCAATCATCTTGGTAATAAAGTATTATATGTATCAATCAGTGAGCGCGAGTTTCATCTCTAGTGTGTAGTCGTTTATTTCCTCGATACAGTCTTCAAATTCTTCATCATCAGCGGACCCCTCCCCTCCCCCTCCTCCCAGGTCTTCATCATCACCAGTCATGACGTCATTTCCGTTTCCCGTTCCAACCAGTGTATCATTGGACACATCTCCCACTAGTGTCGTGTCCAGCGCCTCCTCCTCCTCGTATATTCCTCCACTCTCCCTCCTCCTCTGTTCAACTTCTTCAACATGCGTCTCCAATATTTCGGACACTTCCGCCAACTAGCCAACAGATTCATATAACAATGGTTTTATTATAATTAGCCTGGCCGATGGGATACTTTAACTTAACAATAACAAATACGCGGTTGCTTGTAATGTATTACGTTACGTGTCAAGTATACTCGTGTATTGTAGTCTGTTCTCACCGTGTACTCCTGCTGTAGCTGGTCCGAGATCTCCTCGATGATGGAGTTAGTTCTGTTGTCGACCCTCCCCGCGTGCTTGTTCACATCGTCGATGTGTCGGTACAGTTCCTGCTCCTCCATCTCGAGGGTTCTGTTCAACAGCTCCGTGGCCACCGAGTCCTCGATACGAGCGTTCTCTGCCACGTCCGCATTCACGCCTGTTATTAAGATATTTCATTAAATTCAATCTTCATAGGTATTTAAGATTACGAGTAAACATGTAACTGAAGCTAATTCCCAAAAAGAGGGTTGATGTCGTAAAAACAAATTGCCAAAACTATTTAAGTACAACATGTAAGGCAGAGCCTGGCTATAGCTGGGAAATTGCCAGGTAGAAGAAAATGTAAGTGAAGCTATGCGGGATAAACTACTTTCTTATATTACTAGTTTTTACCCGCGACTTCGTAAGCTTTAATTTCGTAATTAGTACTATATGTATAGCTGACCGGGTGAACTCTACTCCAACCTAAAGGCCATGAATAACCAGATAATGGAATTTATTAGGTAAGGTTTTCTTTTTCGATTGAACAGAATTAAAAATCCTAACGCGTATCGCAAACTATGGTCATGACCAATGATGCCGATATTTTTTTCAATATGCAACAAGAAAAATATAAATTTTGTTTGTTATCCTTCAATTGACGATTGAATAAAAGATCTTTGTAACAAAATGAAACATAAGAAAAATAGTGTGTTGTACAACTTTTAAGCCATAGTGTACTCGTATATAGTGTTTGATTTATTATATTTAATAATCGTTATTATTGACAAATAACCTTGTGAGGGGAATCTTTTATCTTCGTAGGAGTTGATGGTGTTTATGATGCATCTTTTGGCTTCACACCGCTGTTTACTGTCGTGTGACGTCACATCGTTGGTCGGCACGGATTTGTTAGCTGAAACTATTATAAATTATGAGCTGCTTGGAGAACCAACCATAAGAATGCGGGACAGAGAAATAATGACTTAAAAATCAGCGGAAACAAATTACAAAAATTATTACGTTTTCTTTTCAAAACGTTTTATTTTATGCATATTTTTTTTTCCGGGACTTCGTCTATAACTAATGATTATGTACTTCAAATAACTAATACGTAAAACGACCGTCAGCGATATCTGTCGTCTAAGACACGGGATTTCTATCTAAATACTTGTACAACTAAGCTATGATATAATATATTTCAGTGCAAACAGAGTGAAAGAATACATTATAATATCTTTAATGTTATTTTGATTCCTAAGCTATTTCAAAGATAAGCTACATCTACATACACACAGCTATTAACTCGTAAACTTTCACAATTATAATACATAGTTATTATAAGAATTATACGTGTTGATTCACCGGTGTCATGTTTACTAGTGCGTGAAACATTATTATTGGTGTATTTTTCATCTCGTCTAACTCCAGCTGAAGTCGGTCGTCTCAGTTTAACATTCTTGTAGTCTGGAGTGTCAGGCACATCACTATCACTGTCACTGTCAATAAGAATGGTCTCCGTGCCAGCGGTTGAAGCTGAAGTGTGTTATAAATGTGTTAAACTCTTAATTAAAATATCTAGTATAAAGATAATGCTGCAAAAAAAATATTTATGCGTAAATTATTTGTCTTCAAAAACAATAATTTAATAAACAGGAAATACTTTACAAATTAAGAGTTGTTTATGGTAACTTTTGTACTGTATTAAGAATAATAAACAAAGAAATTACTTAAACTGCTATTAGTTTTGTATTTATGACCCGATTATAAGAAAACTCATATAAAAAATTTGTGAAAGCTGTCCTCCTTAAGATTAATCATTTCTACAATTAGCGACCATATTGGAGAAACATTTCTACAATACTTTTTTGATTTCTATTACATTACAAAGTCCAATTTAAATTAATAGTCTCTCACGCGTCGACTTTGTATATACATATATGATATAAACCTTCTGTATCTACAACTTCTTCTCCTATCTCAATATTAACTTCGGCGGGTGTTTGTTTGTGGACGTACGAGAACAACACCGCTCCCGGGACCTGGGTTAGTTTCGCTTTATTCTCATCTATAAACAACAATAACACAAGTACTCATTACGACTCTGAAACCCAAAAATATATCTTCAATGCGTAGTTACTAGACTAACACTATAAAAAACAGTTACACCATCCACTTTTAAATATTTAGTTAATTGATAATATTGCAATATATCAAACCTATACCAATGATTATTTGAAAAAATATCTTCCTGTTTCAGTTTTATTATATTATGAACGCGAAAGTATCTCTGTCTGTCTGCAATCTTTTCACGCCACAATAGCTGAATCCATTTGATGAATTTTAGTATAGAGATTGATGTTCTGGAAAGGACATGGGCCTTATATCTCCTCACTGACCTGGCCTCTCTCCCCCTGTGAGTTGGCTCAAAGCGATCCGGTCGAACACATTATCATGTCTGTACTCAGTAACATGACACCTGGTGACCCGTTCGTGGGCAGGAGGAGCCTCCAGTTGCTTGTAGTGGGCCTCCATGGTGGCCGCGTCGTATAACTTCTAAACACATAAAAAAAACATTGTTTTTTATCAACAGGCTTATTACTTCAATAATATAAGAGATTGTTGTCGACAAACAACAACAAACCTGTTTTCTTGAACTAATATTATAGATGTTAAAGTTTTGAGGATGTATGCCGTATGGATACTTTTTGGATTTAGATGGATTTCGAACTTTCAATTGACGTAACTGAGACAATTTTGAGACAGTATGTGTGACTTTCTAAAATGAAAGGTAGTAGAGCCCAGCTGTAGTCAAGATCAGCTCGAACATGTGCTGGCTAGACCGGGGAAGTACCACCCTCTCACGGAAGATCGGCCTCTCAAATGGCTTTGTTTCGTCCGATAAGTGAGATAGCCGGTTGCACTTTTCTTTTCCTTATTCCTCAAAAATCAAGTTCGGCAACGAATCCACAACATATATATATATATATATTGCACATGGGCGACAGTGGCTATTGCCCATCAAGTACGCCGAATACTCATTTGAGGTCTGCTTCTCTCATAAAAAGACGTAATCAACAATTCATTGACAGGTGTCTTAATAATAAACCCCAGTACATACCATCGGGTCGACCGCTGGTAGCCCCGCAGCGATCCTGGCCTCTCGCTCAACCTGTTCCTTCTCCAGTTCTCTAAATATTTCCTCGTCTTCGGCGCTCGGCTTCAAATCTTCATCTTCATCACTCTCCTTGGAGTCAGGATCCTTATTCATATGTTTCATGTAATTCATAAAAGCTGTACCGTGACCTTCACTGTGGAGGACTAATGAAAATAATATTAATTATAGCACCTTTATAAACACATGATTTATATCATCTACACTTACTGCTTCTTCTGCGTACACTAATATTTTGTGTAGAAGAACTTGTAACATCTGTCTCGTTTTGTTTTTCTTTATTTTCGTTTTGTTTTTCTTTATTTTCAACATCTCTCTTTTCATTCTCTTCTTTATTTTCATTGTCTTCTGGTTCCTCATCTATCACTTGCTTAATGGTAACTCTCTTCATTTTCTTAATTTTTTTGATATTTCCTTCTTTTTTAAACACCTCAGTCTTTGGTGGTGATACAATCTTTGGTCTTTCATACGCCAGCTTCTTGTCGTGGTCTATTATCAAGTCACCTTCTTCAGTAATTCCGGTAAGATTTATAACTTCTGGGACGCATTCTTCTTCCGTTTTCTTTGGTCTCTTGTTATATTCTTCTAACACTTCAATAAGTGGTTTTGGTCTCGCATCAGTTTTCATTTCTTCTTCAGTAACTTCACCAGTGTTCAACGCTTCCTTTAAAATTTCTCTAGATTCTGTAACATTATTTTCAAGTATCATATTTTCTATTCTGATTTCGATCGAATACACATAAAAATACTTTACCTTTTAATGTCTGTGACACTCTCTTAGTTTTAACGTGAGGTGGTTCATTGAATAATAGATTACTGATAGCTTGTAGCTCGTTCGAAGTCTTTCTGTAATGATAGTGTTATTAATCTTTTACCTTGTCAAAGGTCATCATGGAGTACAAACCAAAGCTTACATGTCTCCGGTCGAATTCAAACCAAAACCCGACCACTGTTCCTCCGGTGTCTGTTCTTCCTTCAGTTCTTGTATGAGATGTTTGCCACGGTCCACCTGCGACCATTCTATTTGTCCCATCTCTATAACACCCTAATCATTAATATACTTTTAAAATGTTACCTTTTATTTATTGTTAAGAACATAACCTGTTTTGTTTTCACTGGAATCGCTGTCTGAATCACTCTCGCTGGTGCTGTCTTCAGCTTCCGTCCCGGAGAGCATGTCCGGCACGACACCAGACTGTTCTTTCTTTTCAGTTTCGTCTAATTTAGTATCAGGAGCCAATTCCTCGCCACTTATCACTTTAGTATCGATACTGTCATCCTGTAAGCAATACAATACTGTTACAACAGTATTACTTTAGGAACAGTTGTTACGTACACCCAACATGTTCAAAATTAAATAAATATCGGCGGGGGCAACATCGTTGTATGGATAAAATATATAGAATGAGTGACGCTTTGACTCCGTTGAACGAACACCAAGCCATGTTGTGTGAATCAGAAGATTCTTGATACACACAAGCTATGGAATGTCATTGCTGTCCTAACATCGGGACATTCATGTTTTAGGTGTAGATTATAAGTTTTAATATGTAATTTTTATTTTAATATACATATAAGTTATGTAGTTTTCCGTGTACTTCTGGTCGCCAGCCTACTTAATTCAGTTAATATTATTTTGATGTCTAAGTGTACCTCAAGCACGACTGGTGGCAGGCCGAGACTCTCTCTCTCCTCTCGTTCCCGAGCCTCCCTCTTCTGTTTGTTCTCATCTCTCATCTTTATAAGGTAGCGGACACTCTGCATCACCTTCTCTTGATCTTTGGCTATCCAACTGCGTTTGATAAATATTATATTTATTACAAGTTGTATTCAAAATAGTTCATAATATTCATCTAATACAGCTAGCATTGAACTAGGTTTATGTACGGTCCACATATATTTTAATAATTTTGTATTATAGATAAGTAAGTATAAGGAGTAACTTTGTCCCCTTTTAACTGATTTCAAAAACGAGGAAGTTCTTAATAAAACTACATGTTTGTTATGATCTTACTTGTTCGATCGAAAGCCGCTCTTCAAAAATATTTTTTTAGCCAAAAATAATATATAAAAGGGAATTTTATGTAATGAAAAGTAAAAAAATACTCGTTCGTTACTTAACTTTGAATTTAACTACTCTATTCAATAATTATTTAATATTTTATATAGAACAACAATTCAAATCGAAAATATAAAATGAAAAATTTATCAAGAATCGAGATTCGGACCCGCAACTTCCAAATCATCTGATTCCAGTTGCCTTACCACTTAAGTTATTATGTCCTGATTCGTTTTGACGAATTTTCGATTTGTAGTAAGACTATACTATATAGTAGGCTCTATATATATCAGGTTTTGCCCGCGACTTCGTCCGCGTTAATTTCGTCATTAGTAATATATTTATATGCATTTCATACGAGTCTAAGTCTCAACGGTCTAAGCCTTATCGTCTCACCGGCGTCTCTCAGCTATCTCTTCCTGGACTCCTCCTCGCTGCCAGGCCTCAGCGCAGGCTCTGTCCCGAGGGAACACGGGCCGGTTGTCGAGGTTGAGGAGCTCCTTCAGACGGAGAGTCAACGTCTTGCGGTAGGCGGGAATGTTACGGACCACAGGGTTACCGGTCAGAACTAACACTGGATCAAGACGATCAATTAAGACTCTACCAATATTCCTTTACGCTAAATATGAACTCAGTTATAATGTACTAGCTTTCCGCCCGCAGCTTCGCCCGCGTCCTCAAGGCCAACTCTATCTCTGTACCAAATTTCATTAAAATCAGTTCAGTGGTTTAGACGTGAAAGCGTAACAGACAGACAGACAGAGTTACTTTCGCATTTATAATATTAGCATGGATTCAACATAATTATTTACGTGAGATACTAAATGTGAGTTGTCATTGTAACGACTTGCCTACTTGTTGTTCAAGCATAATCACTTTAAAAGTATAAATAATAATCTTACCTTTCAAAAGCGCCATGTCAGCCAATACGTCCACAATAAGAGGATCCTCTAAGCGATTGTAAGATAAATCTAACACTGACAGATTGTTGCATAATCTCAATGACTCCAAGTCCTCTGCAAAATTAAGATATTTTACAAAATCCTGATTTCATTAAAATAACATATATTATTAATGAAGGACTTTTAAGATTACAGACCGACAGTTGTTAACATGTTGTGGCCAAGACTTAAAGTGTGCAAGTCAGGAACGACATCTAAATTTTCAATCTTCTTAACATAGTTGTGATCCAAGTTAAGTGTGTCAAGTTTCGGACATCCTTGGAGATTCTCGATTTTTCTAACAACGTTATAGTGAAGGTAGAGACATTTCAATTCCGACAATGTATCCAAACCCTCGATACGTTGGATGCCATTATTTTCCAAGAAAATACATTTCAAACCAGTGTACTCTTCCAAGTTTTCAATTTTGGAAAAACCCTACAAAAATATACGTATTTTGTTAATATACCACAAACTTTGTTTATGATGTGATGAACAAAAGATTTACCTTAAAATGTAAATATAAAATATCATTAAGATACGGTGTCGAATACAACTTGTGTTGTTTACAATGATTTTTTATAAACTGTTTTGTCATCCTAGGACCTTTATCTTCTATTTCCTTTTCAAGCTTTAACTGGAATTCTCTTTGTTTCTCTTTTTCAGCCTGTTCCTTCTTTATTTCAATTTCTTTTTGGACTGAAAACCACAGACAAAACATGAATTTCTTTAAAAAAATCTATGGAATGGTAAAAACTAGAAATACCTGTAATCTCATTGTCAGACGAAGGAACTTTAGTATTATCATCTTTATTTTCTTCAACTCCAACATGGTCTCCCATAGCTCTATCGTCGTGTTCAATATGCGGTGTTTCAGACACTTTTTTCTCTTGTAACTTCTTCTTGCCCTCTTCTCGCCTCAATAGATTATTTGCTAGTCGTAACACTTCTTTATTATCCTTCATTTTGTCCTTAATATCGTACAATAGATTATCAATTCTCTTGTTCCTTTCCATATGTTGCTTCTGTAAGTTGTCTATTTTGGTTGTGTTCAGCTTTAAATCTACGTCCCACAACTCCTTGCGTTCACCTACATTACTCTTAACAGAATCGCCTGTGTTATTTTTCTCTTCATCGTTTTTGGAGTCGCAGGGGTGTAGGATTTTGTGAGATTTTTCCAAAATAACATCTACTTCTTTAATAAAATCTTGACACTCTTTACTTCTCGCTACATAGTTTGATCGACTGGTGCTAACTCTGGATTCTTGGCATTCTATTTCTGTGTTAATTTTTGATATTGCCTGATTTATATTATCTATATCACCCAAAGATACAGAACTTAAATCAGAATTATGTCCCTCTCTACTTCCTTCTATTTCTTTAACCCGTTTGCGGACCTCTCCTTCTTCTTTCATCTTCTGGTATGCGATATTAGATTTTCTAGAATTTTCCAATGCTTCGTTAACGTCATTTAATAGTTCATTCATGGTGTTAAGTTTGTTAGTTATATCTTCTCTTATAAGAGTGCTGAGATTTTCTGCACCTTCAACAATGTTTCGAGCCAAATTTTTCATTTCTTTGAATTCTAATTCATTATTTTCCTTATTTTCATTCTTGCCTATTTCAAAAATGTTTTCTAATGCATTGTGTAGTGTTTCTTCCATTTTCTCATCGAATTTTTCTTTGGAATCATTACTTGGAATGTCATTGTTTTCAACAATATGGTTTTTGTTCTCAATTTTGTCGATTTGAACAGAATCTTTCAAATTATCATCTAAATCTTTGTTGGGAATTGAATCGCTCAAAATATTATCAATTTTTAAGAGAGCTTCTTCAGTATCTGTTAGTTTTTCTAGCATTGCTGATTTCTTTTTGTCAAGTTGTTTCTTGACTTTCTCCTCTGGTTTTCGGTTAAGGTTTAGTTTTACCGGGTTGTCTTGTAGAGGTATATTCATAGCTTTATTAATGGCATATGTTTCTTTAACGTCTTGCAAAATAGAAGATTGCTTTGACGCTTTAATCAAACATGATGAAGATTCTTTTAGAATAGGGTAACTTTCTACTTCATTAGGCTTACTCTTCTCGCTTTCTGATATATTAGGATCGTCATATTTATCAGCTACTCTCAGTAACATCTCTTTAGTCTCTTGAAACCTTGTTTCATAGGATTTATTTGTACATTCTGCTACACATTTATCAATAGCTTCAAACTCTTCGTCATCACTTGAAGAATCTATCATACTTTCTCCGTCTTTTCCTTTATCAACCTGATCCTCATCAGTCATTTTGTTCTTGTAATTTTCTACTGAATTAAATAAAGCTTGCATGTGTTTGTATTTTATCCTATTTATTTCATCGGGATCGCCTGCAGCTGATGCCAATTCAGCTTTTATTTCATTATAATTAGAAATATTAATTTGATTTAATGGTACCGTCATATCTCTATTATTACGATCAGAGTTAATTACAATTTGTATTTGCTTTGCTTTTTCAGCTAAAATTGGATTATTTTTAGTGACATTTTTAATTTCCTCGTCAGATAATGGTTTAGAGTGGTCACCAACTTCCGTGAACGGTTGACCTGTCATCACTTGATACTCAGTTCTAACGCTGCCTGGGGCTGATGCAGCGATGTATGGCTTGTTCTGTACTGATTCAGGCAATGCCTCGAGCTCATTTTCTATTATCTTATCCAAATCTTTTTTCTTTATATCCAGATCTTTAAAAAACTCTTCAAGTTCAGCACGTTTGACTTTCCTATACTTATCATCAACTTGAACAGTCGGCGTAGCCATTATTTAAATATCACGTTATAAAGTACGAAAAGCATGTTATACTTAAAATATTCTACTAACAGTAACTATGGTTACAAACAGTGAAATATTTTTGTTTTGTTTGATCAATATTTAAATATAGAATCATTTCTTGCATATCAACTCTATTAAATTAAAAAAAAATAGATTTTGTTTGGCTTTTGAAATAGTTATCTTGATTTTTAAAGAACCACTCAAGAACCATATGAGCTCCTGTACCTGTTCCACAAGTGATTGGACATGAGCCCAAACAAAATGAGAATTTACTTTAATAATAATAATTGAATACTATCTACAATACATCCAAAGTTTGCAATGTCAAAAAAAAATTAAGTATGATATATAACAACGAATAATATTACTGGCGAAATTAAAGATCAGGACCAAGTTACAGCTGACGGTGATAGATGTGCAGAATGCGATTTTGAGGTCCCATATCTATGATGCGAAGGACGGGGAATGAGACAGCACAATTCCTTGCGCGTGTTTGGACCTCGACCCGTTTCCATAACCCATCATAAAATTACGTTATCAACGATAAAGTTACATGGCGGACTCATTAGACGACTTAATAAGTTGTGCTTACAATTTTTAAGTACTTAAATGCTTCGCTCCATTAGATTACTCAGTATTTTAAATCGACTATAGACTCCATTACTGAGATTAGATGGACCCCTAGCCATGATAAATCTATAAACATTAACATGACTCAGACTCTCTTTAAATATCATACAGAAACATGCCCTGTTTAAAGAGATTTCACTTATAATTGAGAATTTATAATATAACTTCGCTCCTTAGTTAAATTAATTTACAAAAGCATAGATATACATAATATATACATTTATATTATATATATACTTAAATATTTATGTTTAATCTTAAACAACTGATGACATAAAATCTAACTAATGTGTTTCTGACTTAAATCCGTATCGGTCTGTCTGTTATCAAATAGGATTATACAGTTGACACTTGACAGTAAACGTCAAATATAAAAATAATGATAAAATTAAAAACTAGAAATCAGTAATTACAGCATTATTAATAACTAACAACTTCAACCGTTAGTGCTACCTGCACTTGTTTGATTATAAAACTATAATATCCTTTACCTTCCAATCATATTAAATTTCATAATGACCGATGAAAGAAACTTTAGATCATCGTATTACGAAAAAGTCGGATGTCGAGGTGTTGAAGAAAAGAAATCCTTAGAAATACTGATGAAGGAAAAGCCTTGGGATAAGGTTAAGTTAAAACAGTTCTGTTTGCGATTCACTGTGCCCGCTGCTTATAGAAATTTAGTATGGAAAGTTTTACTTGGTCAGTTTTCGTCTGTACCGGCTTTTCTGATGCTGTTTAAAATCTAAATAAATTCTACATTATACTCCAGATATCCTCCCGGTGTATGCTGACTCGCATACATTTGTAGCGGAGCAGAGAAGTGATCAATATAATGATATGCTTTATGCTGTTGAAGATCTGCAACTAGTGGATATGAAAGCTCCTCGAAGTGAGATTCTTCTGGCTATGTGGCTGCTGGAAAACGAGGAAAGAAAACCACCAAACTTCCCGGAGACTAATTACTGTGTTAGCATCATTTTAATTTATAGCTCTTGTGGCAAGTCAGAATTAACATAACTAATATTTGTACTGTTTAATATACTGTAATATGTCAAAATCATTCACGAAACGCTATCAACAAAATATTTTAAACATTATTTCATAGTCTGCAGATACATTCATACCGATAGCAAATACTCTGCTAGAGTTGTATGAAAACGAGGTTGATGTTTACTGGCTGAGCAAAATGTTGACGGATGTTGTGTGGAACATGCAGAAGGAACTGCCTCGCTTGAAGGAAGCCTTCCAGACCATGCTCGAGAAGGAAGACGGGGAGCTTTACAAGTATATTAGTTTCATGAACATTAACTATATCTTTTTTTGTCTCACACCTTGTTATCATTACATTTACATGGTATTTCAATGTTAAAAATTACAACACATTCAGAATATATTTATTATACATATTAAAATTGATAATTATTATAATGATAAAAAAATAAGCAATAAATTAAACATAGCCATTCTATGGCACAAAATTATAAAATTGACACCATATATTATTTTATCTAATATTCTTTTCCAGTCATCTGGTTGAAGTTCAAGCTTTAGACAAGTTGCCTCTCACAAAGTGGTTCAATTGCTGTTTTGCTGGTGTTTTAGATGAAACATCTCTTACCAAGTAGGTTGAAAGGTGTAGATATTTCACAATTATAAGCTAGCAAAGATGTTCGGTTTTTATGCTTATGGAGTTTTATATGTTCTTTTATGGTGTATTTACTTAAACATTTGAGACTCCAAATATTATGTACAAATTTCTTTCACTTGCATGCACACCATAGATGCAAATAAGCACTGCATACTCTACCCTTATAACAACTAAACCTATATGTATAGTTTAATTCTTACTTCCATTTAATTAAACATTATGAAATACAAATGTTTACAGACATTTAATAAGTCATTTGAAGCATGATTTGGTATAAATGTTATCTGAAAATATTAGTTTCATTTAAATAAATACACAAAAAAGTCTTAGATCTCATTAGAGGAGGAGGAAATTTTGATGAAAATTGTTTTTTTTTTTCAAACATATTCTGCTTACCTTACCCAAATATCTAAGTATGCCCCTGATTTCTTTGAACTAATGTTTAATATTTATATAGAATCTGGGATAAAATCTGCAGCGGTGCACCAAAGATCCTGTCTTTCGTAGCTGTGATGTTAGTTGTTACTTTAAGAAGAAATATACTAAAGGCAAAGACTGCTGAACAAGTATTGAAATGTGTGACAGAGGTAATATTATGAAGATTATTTTATACCTAAAATTATTATCAACATTAAACAGTCAGTGGTGGTCTAGTGGTTAAGGGGCCCGCCTCTAGTAGCCGAGGGCGTGGGTTCAAACCTGGCTGGTATCAATGTGATTTTTCGGAGTCATATGTACTTTCTGAGAGTATTTAGACATCACTGACATACGGTGAAGGAAAACATCGTGAAGAAACCTGGACTTATAGTTTCACAATTATAAGTTTGAAATCACCAACCCGTCTTGAGCAAGCGTGGTGATTAATGCTCAAACCTTCTCCATGTGAGAAAGAGGCCTTTGCTCAGCCGTGGGCGTCTGGATAGGCTGATGATGATGATGATGAAAATATGGTTCAAAATAATCATATCCCTACTAATATTATAAATGCGAAAGTAACTCTGTCTGTCTGTCTGTCTGTCTGTCTGCTACGCTTTCACGCCTAAACCACTGAACTGATTTTAATGAAATTCGGTACAGAGATAGAGTTGACCTTGAGAAAGAACATAGGATAGTTTTTATCCCAGACTTTTGAAAGGTTCTCTTGAAAACGCGATATAACCGAACTCCACGCGGCGAAGCTGCGGGCGGAAAGCTAGTATATGTATATTTTGGTGTTGCTGACGTTATATAGGTCTAGTTAAATAAATTAGTTTTTGTTTTAAATATATTAATTAATTAAAATTTTAATCTATTCTTTAGATTCCCGAGCAATGTGAGGAGGTAGTTGCCAATAAGGCAATAGAATTATGGCAGTACTACGCACAACCACAGAATGACACCCTCGCTAAGAAATGATGTATGACTTTCTAATGAGGAGTCTCATTAGAAATAAAATTGATTGTAAAAATTGGTGTTACACCGCAACCAAAGTGACTGTATAAGTGACAGTATTAGTGATTATGAATCTAAAAATTGTTAGAAATGTAGTTTTTGTGGTCTAAAATGGTTTTGATCTTTGTGATTATAATAATAAGCTTAAATAAATATATTATTAATGATGTCCAAATTATTTTTCCTTGGAACACCTATAACAGTACTAACAAGTTAATGTTTAAAAAATAGAAAACATGTTCTTAATTTGAGGATTTTATCCATGTGAAAGCGATTATATTTCGCCAAATTCATAAATCATTTAATATGTGACGATAAAATAATCTATTTTTAAAACTAATTATGATAATCAACCAAATTTAATTTACGCTTAGCCAAAACAATTCAAATTTAACAGATATATTTATGTATTCATATCAAATATTTATTTATCTTATATATAAAATTCTCGTGTCGCGGAGAGAACTCCGAAACGGCTAGACCGATTTTGATGAAATTTTGTGAGCATATTGAGTAGGTTTGAGGTTGGGTCAACATCTATTTTTGATACCCCTAAGTCATAAGGGTTGTTCACCCATAATTGTTTTTTGGTTTAATTTTTTTTTTATTATGAACTATTAAAAATACATACAACCCAAAATTTTGACTTTTTCATCACCAACTCTTATGTTTTTACATGGCAAAAAAACGTTTGTTGGGTCAGCTAGTTTATTATAAAAATCAGTCCCAGTCAGCACCTAATGCCTGTTAACAAAATATATTTTAAAATAAAGATACGATATAACTAATATACAAACATTGTATGTTCAACATGTAGTAGAAACTCATTACTCAATATTCAACTGGCAACACCTTAATACTCGCCATTTTGCGAGAATGTCAGCCAAATCATCATCTAGCGTTTATAGTTAATTTTTATTTAATTTAACATAATATTAACGTTATTCTGCTTTAAAAACGTGGTATATAGGAAAAGTTCAGTGAAATGGATCGTTTCATAAGTATGTGGAAAGTCAGGGAGCTGGCGGACAAGGTGTAAGTAGTGACAATATTTTTTAATTTATGCTAATCGTGATCACTCTTCTCAGTAAATAAGTAAATTCATAGCTTTTTTATACCTAAATTACGTATAATTAAGTCTATTAACATTTTTCATGAGTATAACATTACGTTTTATCCGATTTTCTAGTGATTTCGTAGATAGTTGTTATCAGCTATGGGCGAAGTATTTTCTCTTAATCTTTTCTTGTACTAATCCGTACGCTCACACTCTGTTAATGACAATATGATAATCACGTTTACATATAAATAATCACAAGAATACTTACTATATTCATCACAATTTGTAATCATCTAGAAATATACATTATTACAATTATTGTATAACTTGCATTATATTTTACTTAAAATTAATATACCAAGTGTTAAATTAAGCCTCTCGTACATAGATTATGAACAATCCTAACATGTTGACACTGAACATGGGTGAAACAGTAAACATCTGGCTTTAGTATTACAACATCCTACACTGAAAAACTACTTACAAAGTTACTTTCACCACAAAATAAAAGACTGTGGCAGATATGTTAAATATGTTTCTTTATAGTTTTTTTTAAATATATTTATAGTACATTATTATTTTTCACAATACTTTCTAAAAAGCAAACATCTCATAATACTGTATTCTACAACATCCACAAAAAATGTGTATTTGTTGGAGGAAAAACTTAGTTTTTATTGCCGTAAAAGGGCATAAGTAACACTTCTTAACATATAAGGGCATATATACATTATTTAATAAACTAGTAGGTTTACAAAAAAGTTTATCAAGCTTAAATGACATACATATTTGTCATAACTGCTATGCAAAGTTACAAAAGCATCAGTTGTCGCATTAACAAGATATATTGAATTCAAACTTAAAATACCTCTACTGAACAATTTTCATTTAGCACATTGGCACTTATACATAGGAGCCATCAATTTTATATTAGGTATATGTGTATCTTTTAGAGCATATTGTAGTGTATAATAATAATTATAATATTGGATAATAATTAGCTAAACAATGTAAAACAATATTCACATATGTATAACACTGCTATCTACATACACAAAGATGATTATACCATACATTCACTTAGTAAAATTATTCTGTATATTTACCAAGTCCACATAACATTTCATACTTATAGGAAATCTTCTATTTTATCAAATACTGTCAATTTTCTTTTGTTCATTATATTTAATGAAAGCCGCCAGTGTTCTGTTTACAATCATTGATCAACAATCTCTGAGACTATTTTTATAAACACACACACACACACTTGACAAACTCACCACTTAAAAAAAACCTTTATTTACATAATAAAAGACTAAAAATTTCCTAATTATGTTCATTTGTATATAATTCAATAGTATTGAACAATTTTATTTAAACTTTGGCTTCATTCCTTCTAAATTTATAGAATATTTTAACATTGTGAATATTTCTAAGTATTGTAGCGAATTGTAATATAATTTTGTTTACTGAGTAAAGAGAACAAAAGGGTGTGTCTGATGAAGTAATGGCTTTCTGTAACAACTTGAGATATATTTATAACAGCTAATACACAATGTATATAAATCATTATTTAAACAACTCAGTAAGTAAATAGTATGTTTCATGACTTTGTTTATTAAATTATATATTAGCTTTCTGCAAGCAGCTTCGCCCGCGTGGAGTTCGGTTATATCGCGTTTCCAAGAGAATCTTTCAAAAGTCTGGGATAAGAACTATCCTGTTCTTTCTCAAGGTCAACTCTATGTCTGTACCAAATTTCATTGAAATCAGTTCAGTGGTTTAGGCGTGAAAGCGTAACAGACAGACAGACAGACAGAATTACTTTCGCATTTATAATATTAGTAGGGATTATCTGAAAAAGATTCTCCTAAGCATGAAAATATTACATTAAATTACAGACGTCACACAAGATATATATTGATAAAATATAAAAAGGTATTAAAATATAATTAGTATTGCAACACACACACATATATACATATATAATATATATATTATTAATTTGTGTTATACTACTTGTTAACATTCTGTCTGAATGCCTGAATACTTGTGAATACTCAAGGTCTCGCTATAAATTGTGTTCATACAACCACCATTGTCCACATTTCGGGAGTCACCAAACTGTTAAAGTATTTTTTATTATTTATAATTGTAATCTATCAGATACAACACATGTCTTATCTCATACACAACCTTGTGCCCCTTTCACTTGTGGCACAATAATAATAAATTAATACCAGATATTCAACATGTTACATAAAAAATATATTCATGTTTCATTCATAATCATAATTTTTAAATGATTTTTATATTCATGTGAGTATTCATGTGAGATAACAGCATTCATTGTTAAAGAAATTTATGCAATACTAGTTTTTGCCCAAGGATTCATCCGTGTTTTTTCTTTTTCTATCGAACAGAATTAAATATCCTATGTCCGTGTCTTGGTTCTAAGCTATCTTTCCGCCAATTTTCAACCATATCCCTACAGCTATTAGTGAGTTATAAATAGTATAACACGACTTTAATATATGTATATAATTTCAATATTCTTGTCAATTTAATAAACATATATACATATTAAATTTTATTATAACATAAGAACGAGCTATTTCTGAATTCGTTTAATAAAAAGGGAATTCAGTGTTTTAGGAAATGCCAGTTTAACAATGACCTTGATGTTCAAAACTATAATTGGTTATTTAACGTGTGTCAGTTTGGGAAACAAAATAATATTAAAATGTTCGTCATGAACAGTATTAACGAATACATTAGAAGTATGTCCGTGAGTCATAAATAGTTCCTGTCTGCGACTCTGCTCGCGTTTTTATTTCAGTAAAAAGAATAATGTGTTGGGAAAATGTTCCTTGCTACCATTTTATAGTTTACAAAGTAGATAAACTGAACACATATACATATTATGTAATTTCAATAGTATATAGTTATGTTTGATTTACATACTTGTGTCACAAGTATGTAATGTTTAAGGGATGTTTTTATTATCCCCTTCAAGTATTTAAAACTTTGCTAAAATTAATGTTGAATACTAATTTTCTATAGTTTTTTTACTTATGTAGAATATAAAGTCACTTTCACATGCAGAAAAAAACAATAAGAATAAATATATTCAAGATACCTTAAAATAAATAGAAGATTATAATTACAATTCCTTCCTGGTTTCTGAATAGATTTTGCAACACTTATCTTAGTGTATATAAATTAAAATTTAAATATTCTTTTAATTTGCTTAATGAAAGAGGAAATTGTATCCTAATTAAACAAATATACATAAAACATATTTTTGCATCAAAGACTAGTTGACTAATTAGTTCCAAGTCCTTTTATTGAATTAAATGAAACTAATATTTATTTTTGATAAACAACTGCATGCTCTCGACGTTTCAGCTACTTAACAGCAACAGCAATAATATATTTATATCATAAATAATAAAATGTTGTTCTGCTAAATAATTGTGACACTTAGTTTTAAGATTTACTAATTGAAAATTGTATTTGTTTAGTGTACACATTGTTGGAGAACCAAATAAATAAATAAAGAATAAAATAAACAGTGATAAAGTCGCTTAATATATCCGAAAAATATTAGTTTTATTATTTTTATTTCTTATATTGATGTCATGTTGTTCCCAGGACGAATGTAGTGATGAACTACACAGAAGTAGAAGGCAAGGTCCGAGAGGCAACTTCAGATGAGGCCTGGGGACCCACCGGCCAGCAGATGCAGGAGCTGGCCCTCGCTACCTTCACATATGAACACTTCCCGGAGGTCATGTCCATGCTGTGGAGGAGAATGCTGCATGACAACAAGGCACATTGGAGAAGGACTTACAAGGTGATAATCATACATACACAAACTGAACTATATGACGGATTTCTAAATAGATAATATAGAGTTCTAAATTCTTTAATTAATTTAGAAACAATGTATTTATTTAATAACTATATTCATAATGTATCACACACAAAGTGTCTTTATGTAACAAAACAACTTCTTTATCAAAAACAATTTACAATTTAGCAAGCAATTATTTCAATTTGCTAAATCATAAAATTATTAATTTCATGGTGAAGGAAAATATCGTGAAAAAAACCTGGAGTTATAATTTCACAATTATAAGTTTTAAATCACCTGGCAGAAAATGCTGTAATAGCGTTAAGTCCGCCCTTTTTACACCTCTGTTTGTGCAATAAAGAATAATAAAAAAAAAAAACCCTTCTTAAGCAAGAGTGGTGATTAATGCTCAAACCTTCTCCATGAGAGAAATAGGCCTTTGCTTAGCAGTGGGCTCTGATAGGCTAAAAAAAAAATTCATAATTATATCTTATTTAAATGAAACTACATAATAGTTTTCGTTAAAAAACTACATATTCCCAATAATATTTTTTACAAAAATAAAGTCGCGTAGTATAATACGAAAACTATTAGTTTCTTTTCAATGAATAAAACTCGAAAATTTTAGATCTCATTATATCCTATTTTACCTTACTGTTCCCTTATTATCTATGTAATACTATAGTTGTATGTATGTATGTATGTATTTGTGTTCCAGTGTCTGCTGCTCCTCAGCTACCTGGTGAGGAACGGCTCCGAACGAGTCGTGACCTCTGCCAGAGAACACATCTACGACCTGAGGTCACTAGAGAACTACTCCTTCGTTGATGACCTCGGCAAGGACCAGGTATCAAACATATATGTTATATGGAATAGATTATTATATGTAAATAGATCGAGCATATTGAATGTATTAGTAAGAATATAAAGATTTTAGTCCAGACTTATCTTTGAAAATTTTGATGGAATTTAGCTGATGTAATAAGTAAAAACAGGGCTGATGTAGTATTTTTGTATTTAATCAATTTATGTTTGCCTCAATGAAGTGTAAGGCTGTCTGTTTTTATAATATACAGTTAGTTTATATAATATAGTGACTCTGAATATTATAATATGTGAATTAATATATGTCCGTATGTCCCAGGGCATCAACATAAGGCACAAGGTCCGCGAGCTGATCGACTTCATTCAAGATGATGACAAGCTGCGGGACGAGAGGAAGAAGGCCAAGAAGAATAAGGACAAGTACATAGGTGAGGCTCCGGAGACTACTACTACTACTACTACTACTACTGATACTATTATTATTGATTTTATTTATTTTATTTAATAGGAAGCCAACGTGATAAACAAAAACTTACAACTACATTATAACATGATGGAACATAATTGTTTACAGTTGCGTATCATCACTTACAGGCTAACTCAACATGGTTTACATAATGTTTAGATCTTACTCCAAAACTTACTAGATACAATAAAAAAAGAATGGTGAAAAATATATGTATATAACAACAAGAAGGAATATACAGGGTGACTGGTGAATTACTATCGATACTTGAGGACGTGATATTTGACGATCATATATGACAAAATAAAAATTAATACAACATAAATATTAATAAACTTCTAAGTAAAGTTAACCAAAAGTTATGTAATTAATTACGCATCGTGTGAACACCCTACAGATTAGGTACACACACTCACACACACACACACACACACGTGCAGCGGCGTGGTGTTGTATCAGCACGCCGCCGCACGCGTCCACACTAGGAACACTTGGAACGTGTCCACACTTTATTTATTTATACGGAAATTTTGTCAAAAATTAAGTACCAATTTTTTTTACATAATTCGAATGAGAATCATGTACCGAGTATTCTCCTTAAATATTGATAGTAATTCACCAGTCACCCTGTATTATTATTGGAAAGGTGGCAAACGAGTAGACGGTCTATTTGATAGGCAGTAGTCACTGTCGCTCATAGTCATCCGCAACATAGATGTTACGAATGTATTACCAATTTAAGTTGTTGAGGAAAAGGGTATAGGGGTATAGGGAAATAGCAGGAAAGGGTGGGAACAGGGCAAAAGCAACCGTCTCTCTCACTCATCGGACGAAACGGAGCCATTAAAGGCTACTTCACGCCGATCTTCTGTGAGAGTGTCGTACTTACGGTGTAGACAGAACATGTTCGAGCTGTAGTAACTTAACAGCTAGGTTTTACTACCTAGTAGTATTCAGTCATTCATGGAGCTTATATAAAGTAATGTTATGTTACAGGAATGTCTTCAGAGGCTGTGTCTCTAGGCGGGAGGGGAGGGATGGGCGGAGGAGGCGGTCACGGGGGGTGGGGGGAGTACAGCGACCGGGCCGGGGGGTGGGGTGAGTTACATACGATATACACGTGACGTCATGATAGATAGATAAAAAGATTTAGACACTAATGTGGTTGATAGTTAGGAAGATTTGGACGCTAATGTGGTTAATTACTGGGCTTGAAATGTAACGTCTTTGTAGCTTTAAGTCACATTTAATAATAATAGAAGATTTTAACATAACATAAAGCTTGGGCCAATGGGTGATCCACCATATTTGGATGTATACATGAGATGTTTTATAAAAGAGACTTTACACTAGACTTAATTCAATAATATAGCATACACACTATATTTATTACACTTCAAGACACTAACGACAGTAATTTAATATATGATGCTGAAGTAACTAATGTACCATCAAAATAAATTGTTTCTTGTGTAAAACGAGTAGCCACGCATGGTTCGGTGGTTATGGCGATAGTGTTGTTAATAGTCCACAATACGAAAGAAGTATGAATGGAACTGATATTAAAAGAGAGCTTATAATATTATTATTACAATATTATAATGTTTCAGATGATAAAGACAGAAATGAAGACGATTACGACAGAGAGGACTCGGACGGCGACGATACACACAGAAAACATAACAAGTATACATAATTAAGATACTATATACAATAATATACAGGGTGTAGTGACTGACATACATACATCATTACAGAGAGAACGTGTATCGAGACTCTGAAGTGATAGATGAGTGTCCCACCGCGACACGGGACAGCGAATACAATACACGAACACTGAACATTAGCTTGAGAAGCCCTGTCAGAAATAAGCAGAGCACTCCTGTGAAGAAGATCGATCTAGGTGAGTAGAACACCCTGTATATACAAGTTTATTTATTTGGTAATCCAACAGTTAAAAAAAAAAGTTTTTATACATAAGATTCTATATTAACTATTATATAAAACATAAAATTAAAACCAAAATAGGCTTACACAGGTAACTTAAACATATTAATAACTAGAAGACGGTAGCATAAAAGTAAAACTTATAGTATAAAAGTAATATAAAGGTAAAACTGTTTACGGGTGGGAATCCCATAGGTATTTGCATGATTGTGTGTGTGTGTGTTATTTTGAAGTTTTATCTTTTTTAATTATAGCTTTTTAGAAAGCTAGTTTTGACATGCTGAACAGATCAACTTATGAGTATTGTGAATTATATGTGTGGACCATGCGATTAAGGACAGAGTTGTGTACATAGTTATTGTTTAGTTCAGGCGTGTGGAATAGTGCTGTATATCGTGTGCGGCGATTAGAAACTCTTAAATACAAAGCGCTCAATAAATCGGTGCAATCTATATGTCCGGTAATTATTGCGTGTAGGAAATACATATCATAATGTCGTCGTCTCGTTTCCAATGTTTCATTATTATATTGTTTACATATATCAACATAATTGTTAAATTCTTTAAAGCCCTTAAAGCAAAGAAATTTTATGAACTTTTTTTGTATTCTTTCCAGTTTTTCTTTGTAAGTTATATAATTGGGAGACCATATACTACAACCGTATTCTAATTTAACCGTATTCTAATAATATAATACATCGTACATAAGTAAAATATAAAATTTTTATGCTTTCAATACTATTAAAAGTTTGACATATTCGTTTTATATTAGTAATGACTGATAAGGCATATAAGCAATTAGGCTTAGTTCTATATGCTCTGCCATCAATAATTTAGAATCTAATTGAATTCCAAGGTCACACACTGATTTAACTTCTTGGATGGGCTTGTTATCAATATTATAGTTATATTCAATACTTCTATGCTTCCTAAAAAATGTAATTTTTACTGTTTTTATAATATTAATCGTTATTTTATTTTTTTCGTAGTAATGTGAAAGATTGTCATGGTTGCGTTGCAATGCAACGCAGTCGGATGTGTTACTTATTACTTTATAATTTTTTTATCACCTGCGAAAAGTAAAAAACGGGAGTGTTTAAAACAATTGAATATATCATACAGGTATCGTTATAAAGTAACGGACCTAATAATGAAGTAGCCAGATATTGAACAGCTGTATACATGGTGAAGTAGTTTGAACATGTTGTATACTCCGTGAAGTAGGCAGTTTGACACGCTGTATACACCGTGAAGTAGGCAGTAATGATAATCAAACTTGCTATTTAATTTTCAGGAGCGGCGGCCAACTATGGCAAGACCCCCGGGGTCGCGGCTGCCCCCACAACGACCCCCGCGACACAACAGTCACAGGAACTATTGGATGAACTGTTCAAAACATGCGCACAGACGGACCCCACGCCCGCCGGGGAAGACGATTTTGACCCCAGGTATTAGACAGAAAATATGTATATATATTTATTTATTTATTGGATCGCCAACAGAGTATACACAAATACAACCATTAAAATTATTACAAATAAGATGCTATGTGCTACCTCAGTTACAGGCAACCACTACATGATGAAATAGTAACAGAGTGCATTTAACAAAGTTAACATTTTGTTTTAAATACATTTTAGTTTAACTAGAAAGTAAAATCTAACACTATATAAAACACTGTTATCTACATATATTATGATGGTTATAACATACATTCACTTCGTAAAATTTAAAGAACACTTATATATATATATATACACAGTTGAAGAAAGTAACCGAAAAGTCGTATGTCATTTAAAATCTATATTATATATGAAAAGGAAAGTCGTTAGTTACACTATTCATAATTTAAGAACGATTGTTGTCATATGGTTGAAAATTGCTGGGAGATAGCTTAGAACAAGGAGACTAATATAGGATATTTAATGCTGTTCGATTGAATAAAAAAAATAAATAAATTCGATATCTGGTTATTTACGGCCTCTAGGACGAATTCGCCGGGTCAGCTGTACATATATTACTAATTCCGAAATTAACGCAGAAAAACAAACGGGCACAAACTAATATTTTATATGAGAAGGCTTATTAGAGGTAGTTATGTGTATTATACGTTGAATATACTGAACGAATTTGGAAAGAACTTTGTAATGTATCTTAGATAGAAAACATTTTAAAAGAAATTTATACACGTTATATATAAGACGTCGCTGTATAGATGTCGCTGTTAGCTTGTTACTATACCATTTTGTTTAAGTACACAATTAATTTTTCTCTCAACCTAAATGTGAACTTAGCAGGGACGAAGTCGCGGACAAAAACTAGTAGCAAATCTTTTTGTATTAACATAAATCTTATATATAAAATTCTCGTGTCACAATGTACGTTTACTTACTCCTCCCGAACGGCTTGACCGATTCTCATGAAATTTTGTGAGCATATTGAGTAAGTTTGAGAATCGGCCAACATCTATTTTTTATACCCCTAAATGATAAGGATTGTTTACCCTTAAAAAAGTTTTTATTTTTGGATGAAATTTTTTGTTTTAATTTTTTTTGTATAATGTAGCATTAAAAATACCTACAACTCTAAATTTTTACTTTTCTATCACCAAACCCCTTTTTTTACATATCAAAACAACGTTTGCCGGGTCAGCTAGTGTTATTATAACATAAAGCCTTTAATTTCCAGAGCGGACGAGCCTTCAAGTAGACCGGTGAAGAGCGATGACTTTGGTGACTTCAGCACAGCCTTCAGCGGAAACGGAAACGACGAAGGCTTCGCGGACTTCACCAGCGCCTTCCACAACAACAACACACAGACAGGTTTATATATATACATATAATTACACCTGTCTTTATACACTATAAATATTGACAGAACAAAACTTTTTCTCATGAAAATCAAATTAAAATAGTAGATGAGTATTATTGTCCTTTGACAATGAACAGAACTGTTAGTGATGAATTTCATCTGATATTTATTTAGTCAAACAAGTTACGAAACTAAATTTCTTATGTAAATAAAGTGTTAAATAAAGGTTTGTTATATTTACTATCCGAATGGACCATCAATAAACATATTATATTAAGATTTAGTTGTAATTTTTTTTATCATTATTATTCTATAGACATTTTGTTCTTTCTATTTTTGTTTTGTTATATTTATAAATAATAATTGTAGTAAATTGTATGTTTGATACTCCTTACTGTAAATGTTCATGTTATACTTTTTTTTATTATTATCATTCTAATGTAAGGTATAATACACTCCATGTCCAAATAATTGTGGGAATTATTCTGGCAAACTGTTTTAATACAACCGAAATTATTTATTGTTATATAAGGTGAATGTTTTCCGTCAAATAACTATATAATGTTTCAGTTTCAGCTCCCACCTCCAACCTTCAGCTCCTGAGTGAGCTGTCTCCTGCGATGCCCAGCTTGACCCCGGGACTAACTCCGGGATTATCTCCGGCCTTAACTCCTGCCCTCGACCCACTCTCCTCACACTTCGACAGCGCTCTCAATATATCAGGTACGGTATAAACATTATCTATATTATTAGTATCAGAGGGTACATGTGACTATCGTTGACCTCCCCGCTCCTCCCTATTAGTTCAAGCATGTGTATGTGTTGTGATCGATCATTAACTTGTGGGCACATTCAGGTATTATTCATTTCCAGATGGTGACCGAGCGACACACAGCGACCGGCTCAGGGCCGAGATGAAGAAGTTGGTTAACATATTACACGTGATGGAGAGGATCAAGAGTGAGGGGGACGTGGCTGATGTGATAGGGCGGATACAGGTTATAAAGAGATACCTGCCGGGACCTGTGACCGTGCAGAAGCTGTGCAGGTGTGACAGCAGCCTCATAGACCACGAGGCGCTGGAGGTGTTCTCACAGCTGCTGGGCAGCATCGTGAGGGTCCTACTGCCGCAGTGGCCGGAGTTCAGGGACGAGGTGGTGTATCTGTTCACGGTGGAGGAAGGATTCGACGTCAGTAACGAGATACTTACGAACCTGTGCGGGTATGTGAAGGAGGACAGGAACGATGTAGTGTTGGAGGCTCTCGGGTATGTAGCGCTCAAGTTCGCTAAGAGCGACGCTGTACTGGCCTCGATAATAGACTGCAGCGTGGCCGGAGAAGACGTGAGGCTCATGATAGACTGGGAGGGATACGTACAGCTGTTGACGACTCTACCAGAGAGGATCGCCAACAGACTGGAAATAAAGACTCCGGTGGAGCTGTCTCACGAAAACTACTCGTACATCCTCCTGTTCCAAGTGATCCGCTCAATAGACTACATGTGTCAGAGCAACTTCTATCAAGGAACTCAGTATAACTTATCATATTTGTCGTACCTGGTGTCCAAATACGTCGTGTACTATATAAAAACGGAGGCCGTTCTGAAACTATGCGACATGTTGATAGCTTGGACCGACGATAACAACGATGATCCGTACAGGTTCGTGAGGAGGAAGCTGATACAGACGATGTTGAACAAACTGAACAGACAAGCCATCGATAAGATAGCGCTGATACTGCTCAAGAGATGTCCCATCGTGTACAACTCGAAGATACAACCGATTAAATTACTGTTAGGGAATAACCTGGAGCTGAGCAAGGACTGGCACGAGATACTCACCTTCAGGATACCGTTCTACGTTCATCCTCAGAACTTTAGAGACACCACCATCATCGAGAACCTGGTGTACTACATAGCGACCACCAAGAACGCGCTCGACATACTCACCAACCTGATAGTGACGCTCGCCAAGACCTGGGCCGACGTGCACCTCAACAACGTGATCAACATCGACCACCACATGCACACGTCCGTGCTGCTCGTGCTGGCCATCAAGTACAGGATCGTTATGTGGAGGCAGCGGAGGGGCGCCTGGAACCTGCACGAGATCAAGAGGATGCTGTACAAGGGCATGTCCAAGCATCTGGACATAGTCACCACCGAGTTCCGCTGTGTGGGGATGGCTACGGTCGAGATAGTGTGCAAGATGTTGGTCGAGGTGGACGACTCGGACCGCGCGGCCGTCGACAGGCTCAACTTCGAGTTCGACGAGCTGGGACAAGTGTGCGTGGACATATACAACACACTGGTCACCATCACCAACAAGTGTGTGTTGGACGACCGAGTCAAGAGACCCGCCGCCGAGCGGAGATACATCGACGCGCGACAACTGATGGACCTCATAGCGGAGAAGGTCACCGACCACGGAGAGAAGCCCGTCCAGAACACGATAGTGACGTGCGCCGTCAAGGGACCCGAACAGACCAAGGAGATCGTGAAAACCATCATCTCTGCCAAACTGGACGCTCTGAAGGGAGCCAGGAACATGGACCTGGACTCGGACGACGACCTGCAGCCCTACGACATGACCAACGACGTGAGCCTCGCCTCCAAGAAGAAACCCAACTACCTGAGGGATCTGCTGGAGCTGCTGCGGGAGGCCAAGGACCAGGAGTCCTTCGAGGCCGCGCTTAGCTCCGCCGAGAACCTCGTGAAGAAACAACTGAAGCACGAGGACGGGAAGCTGGCCGTCGAGCTGCTGGACCTGTTCGTGCACCTCGAGGAGAAGTACCACGTGGACAAGTTCAAGAGCGTGAAGTTCAACACGGCCGTGAGCATCGTGTGTAGCCAGCCGCGGGTGTGCGCCGAGCATCTGTGCAAGGAGGTGCACAGCGACGTCGGCCGCTACTCGATCTCCACCAAGATATTCATGTTGGACGTGTTCACGGAGGCGGCCGAGAGGATCGCCGACATCAAGACGGACCCCTCGTACGAGATACACAAGAAGGCCGAGATCATCATCGAGGCCAAGGAGCTGCCGCGCGACGAGCTGCTGCGGCGGCGCCTGCTCAAGAAGACCAGGTTCATCCACTCCAAGCGGGCGCACCCCTTCTCCAAGGCCAAGAGGAACCAGTTCGCGGCCGTGGCGGACCACTTCTTCTACCCCCTCATCGCGGGGTTCGGTTACCGCCAGCTCACGCTGAGCCACCACAACATGAAGCAGGACATCGACAACCTGCTGCTGCTGCGCTACCTGTCTGCTGTGGGCAGCGTGCTGCTGGCCGCCAAGAACTGCCCCAAGTGTCCCGCGTACTGCCGCGAGATACTGCAGATGGTGCTGTACCTGCGCTTCACGCCGCACCCCGAGCTGCAGCTGTGCGTCATCTCCATCATCGCGGCCATCGCCCTCGCGCTGCCCCAGTCCATGCTGAAGGGGGAGTTCTACGACGTGATGATGGAGCTGTGCTCGTGGGTCATCGACCTCTTGACGCACGCCGACCTCTCGCACCGCCTCGGAGGACCCAAGTCTGAAGCCACCGTGTTCGCGGGAGAAGTGTTGCATCTCATACAGAACGCTATGGGCGAATGAATGATCTGCTAGGGTTAAGATTAGTTGTTAAGATAGTCGTGTACCACCGAGCTAGTGTTAGTCATACTACCGTCTCCATATAACGTTACGATTTAAGTAATAAATGTTGTCGATCTCATTTTTTCTTTTAGTCACATGTACCTTCCTGTGTAACTGTTGTAACATCGGTGAGTATGTATCTGTTCGCTCGTCTAATCGTGTGTGTGTGTGTGTGTGTGTTCATGTGTGTGTGTGTGTGCAGGTCTACAGCCGAGCCTCCAGCCGTGTCTCCTGCAGCCGACTCCTCCTGTTCAGCCGAGCGCGGGTCTCTCTCATCAAACTGTCGGTCCGAGCGTCAACAACAACCATCCTAAGCCGACCCCTCGTCTGGGCGCCACGTGGTCGGACGGCGCCTCTATCATCGACGTAGACAACCTGCTGTCCCCTCGCTCGCCCAAGGCGGGGCCCGCGCCCTCCATCAACCAGCTCAAGTCGAACCCCGCCAGCCCCGCACACAGGCCCGCCTGGCCCAACAACAACAACAACAGTATCATCACCACCGACGACTTACTACAATGACCACACACACATACATACACACACACTACACACGGACCGGTCACCAGCTACCGACATACACACATACTAACACGTGAAAATGAATGAAAACGAAACGTTCCGTGTGCAGTGTGACACACGCTGAATGATATTAACACACGGACCAGACTATAATACATATATATGAAGCTCAAATCATTCCTAATGTATTTCAATATATATCACTAATGTAATGTCGGAACATTCATACTATATACTACACACCCCTCTCAGTCGAGTGACAGATGTATAGGGACATATGTAGTGTTGTTAGTTAGTTTTTAAATAAATTAATTATTATCATTATCATATCGGAGTTGTATTTTTGTACGATCGTATGACATGTACTTACCGTCACGCAGCGCCGGGGGGCGGGCTAGTGTTCTTGTTTTAACTGTTACTTTACATCTACGTATTATTATCACTTACAATTAGTTAGTTTTCGTTGTGACGTCATTACGGACCGTCTCACGTACAGATGTGCTCTTTTGGTGCATTTTTTTATTAAAACTAATATTTACATACATTTATATATAATGAATTAGGTCAGAACTCGGTGCGTCGTTGTGAGGGACGTTCGTTTTGATAAGTATTAAAAGATAAACGGCCATTATGTTTTTATTTAATCTAAGTTCTGTTCCAGGTTGTTCTTACTTTATTTGTTTTAAGTAGTTCTTCCATTTAGAGATTTGAGAGCAATAAAAGTTTAGTTTTTATTTGTTTTATAAATGTTGTATATTCGGTGTGTTCGTCGCACAAGGCTTAGTGTAAGTGGTTGATGTATTAAAGTTGTATCATGTATATATACGTTGGAGCGACGTACGGACGGATTATATTATTAATAAATGTAAATTTAACTAAAAGTCTATCATTTATACGATCCCACTATATTAACACATTCCCAAAATTTCGAATACTTTACAACAGCCGTGATCAAGGACAGGCATGATAAAATTTAACATTGAAATTTGAAAGAAACTTATAAATTCTAGTGCCTCTTTTTTCAAGACGAGTTGGTTTCTATGTAATTAAATACGCACTAAATACAAGCATAAAGAAATAAGTATGATAAAAACACTCGCGTAATCAATTGTATACTTTGATAATGAAAGTAAAGATATGATTTATCCAAATATTACTAATTGTAATGTATGTATATCTAAGTATAAAATAAATATATTTGCCCAACAAAACATGGTTAATGGACATCATTACTTATTATAGTCAATACCTTTACCTCTTTTTTATTATAATTAAAAACTGAACAGGAAATACGTACTTTGTATTCAACATACTAAGGTTTTATTAATTAATATTAATGCGGTCAGGAACCAATCTAAATATTAGAAGCTAACAGTGGAACAATCCCTACTTATATTATAAATGCGAAAGTAACTCTGTCTGTCTGTTACGCTTTCACGCTTAAACCACTGAACTGATTTTAATGAAATTTGGTACAGACAGAGTTGAACTTGAGAAAGAACATAGGATAATTTTTATCCCAGACTTTTGAAAGGTTCTCTTGGAAACGCGATATAACTGAACTCTACGCGGACGGAAAGCTAGTTATAAATTAAGATTTAGGGAGTCACTAGAGACAGTTTTATAAAGACATCTAGCGGACATTAAACATACTGAAACAACGATCATATTCAAATGAGACATACATACTACATGTATGAGAGACGACTGAACGACTAACACTTAAGAGATGCACTAAAAGAAAATTGTACTCATTATTTATTAAACTTGCCCTCGGAACTAGTACTAGTAATCACTGAAACATAATAAAAATCCTCTTAATTTATTGATATCTAATTAAAGACTCCCACTTATTATTGTTATACATATTTGTATAATACTAATAACACAATATTCTTAGTAACTAATGTTAATTCCCCTCCACTACTCAGAAGTTTGCTTCTAATGGATGTATTTTTGTTCTGGATCTATCTTTGGTTCCAATGATCATGCTGAGAGTATATTCTTCATATTATTTCCTTCTAGTTAATATATAAACATAATCTAAATCAGATTCATTTTTACATAAAAATATACATATTTGAATTACCAAAAAACAAAATACTCAGCTAACCATCTTTATGGGATAAGGACATTCAACACAGATATTACATTTAACTGAACTTTTGTGTTTGGTTTTTGTTTTTTTAAATAATCAATAAACAATCATTATAATTGAATTAAAGCCTTTAATTTGTGAAAAATTGAGCGAATACAAAACTAAATCTAGTGTTCCTTAGATTAACATTAATATAGAGCGACCTTACTCGGGATCGATAAAAATAAAATACACTTACACCTTACAGCTGCCGTTACACTAGAAGAGAGAATCAGTCTTACAGCAATCAAATAAAACAAATAAAAAATGGAATGAGTGCAGCCGCAGCAATTAAATTATACTTAAAATAATTAAAAATAATCAATTATCATCATTATTATTATAAAAAAAGACGCACAATTTAATATTCAATTAAAACATTAAAAATAATATCCATACTTGTTAGTGGAGATGCTAAATTCATACTGATCATTTAAGATTCATTCACGTGTATAATTATAATGATTCGTGACAATAATTTAATTGTTTTGATTATTCATTAGTTCCTATCGTGTTAATACTGTGTGGCTACTTAAAATGGACGAATTCCGTTCCCATCACAATCTCATCACTCATTTTTATCTAGATGGAACATCATTCCGTCATCAAAGCTTGCTGCGAGGCTGTAATTATTAGCTCTCAATACATCCCAGGCTCTATTCAGCACGTCCTTATCAGCTGATCGTACATCAACGACTCTAAGTCGGAGTCTTTCAAAGGGCAGAGCCTCTAGGGCTCCGGGGGCTGCGGGCCCGTCTAGTGAAGTATAATCAGCGCGGGTCGCTTCTGCTGCTAATAGGACCGTCAGTAGCGGTAGGCAGAGTACTCGTGAACGAAATACAGAGCCATCTGTGTCTAGCTCCGCATAACTAACTTCCCGAGGATGAGGCCCTGGTGAAAGGCAGGCGTGGAGCGTTTTGGAGGCTCGTAGGGAGAGGAAGTCCCTTGGCGCAGCCCTAACCGCCAGACCACGCCACCCACGAGCCTCCAACACCAAGGCTGTGGGGTCCCGCGCGCCCGATGATAGAAACTCCACGAGAGTCCCGTTATCCTGAAAATATAAGACAGTATTTTACTTTCTAGTTGTTTGTTCTTCATGCCCTGTATTTAAACTAAAATGTTAACTTTGTTAAATGCACTCTGTTACTATTTCAGCATGAAGTGGTTGCCTGTAACTGAGGTAGCACATAGCATCTTAATTGTAATAATTTAAATGGTTGCATTTGTGTATACTTTGTTGGCGATTCAATAAATAAATAAAAAATATAAATATATCATCAGATATGATTGATCAATCACCTTCATCCTATCACAATCAATTCTTAAGTCTATTATATTATACATTCTTATTATATAAAGACTAATGTTCATAACTGATATGTATCTTTGAATATTTGCTAGGAGTTGTTAATGAACAATAATACATATATATAGTAATAAAACTCACAATCTTGCCCAGTATCCTATCTAGAACTTCAACTCGTGGCGTAGTAGTGGGTGGAGGTGATGAAGGTCTTCGAGGTCTAGATGCTAGGTGTTCCTGTCTCTGTCGGACGTACTCCACAAATGTTGGGGACTCGGCTGAGATGCGAGCCAGCTCATAGTCACGAGACATGTTCAAACGAAACTGTTGAGCTCCCAATGCTGAAAACACAAACCATTTATATATCAATACATTTATATACTCCTACAAAGCCATTTAACAACAAAGTTTCTCTACATGGAATGGATGAGAAGCTATTGTTAACATTCTTATGATACACTCCAGTAGAAACATGAATTTAACTAGTTTTTATCATTATAGCCATATTGAAGTAACATTTGAATTTAAAACTGTAATAATTCCAGCAATATACTCAATATTCAGGAGATAGAAGGCTCCTGTCTTATGTTAATATTTTTTCCATACTATATTCTCTATTATATATATTTTTATATAAGTATAACTCACCGACGGTATCCATGTATATCAAGAGGACAGTCATAACAGTGACAAATGTTAGTACAAACAACATGGCCGGCAACAGTTTCCTATACAATTCATTTGGTGGTGTTTTTGTGAACGAGGGTATGAACCGAGGAGATGATACAGGGTTGGGTGTCACAACCTTCACAGGCCGAGGGGCAGCGTCTTTAAGCTGCTCGGGAGAATCAGCAGAACCCTCGGGGAGTGGATTTTCTTGTGTTTTCTGTTATTAAATAATGTACATGTGGTAAATAAATTACAAATAAAAAAATACATGATCTCTTGTTATTATTGATTTTCTCAATGTATACAGCTGTATTAAAAACATCTCATGGTATTTATTAAATATTAGGATTTAACTTTAAAAAAGGCTGCAGTCTTGTTTGTTTATACACTTTTATATATATTAGACTGATTTAATGTCATTGAATGAAACAAATTTTGAAATTTTCATAAATAATTTATAAACACTAAATCAAAGTTGCTTATTTATATTTATGAAATTTTAAAGAAAAACACTTTTAGTAATGGTAGTTATTATTAAAAATGTAATTAATAAAATCCAACAGTACCATATTTATTTTGTTTCGTTCAAATAACACTAAAATTTTCTCATAATACTCGCCAAAATGAAGCCTTACATGGCAAAGCAGACAGGTGGACGCGCTACAATTTTTTTTGTCGTTTTAAATTTTTAAATATCGCTAAAACTTTAAGTGAAAAGAGGTTTTAATCAATAATAACAACTTCACTTACCTTTTCAGCCATAATTACGTAAAAGTGTAATTATTTTCACTATCATGTAAAGTTCTAACACTTAATATTACTGCATTCAAAATAAGGCACTGACGTGATTAATTATGCACCACCGAGTAAAAAAAAGTAAATAATTGTATATTATTTATTGTATATCAACAATCGCAGTAAATTACAAACAATAAATAAGAAACATCTTGATCGTGCTTCTTGATGCAGCCCTAACATGCGGTGACTCATAAGTCAACAACGCTCAACGCGACAGATTATATTTAAATATTCATATCACGTATTTTACTCTCATAATTATAATATCAAAACAAAGAATACTTTTTACCACTTTTACTATATAATTTAAAAAAATATAGATTTTATGTATGTCCTAAGTTATAAATACTAAAATGAAAAAAACAGTAAAATAGATATTATGTAAAAAAACAAATATCTCGTCCTGGCGTCGAAGATAAGAACTAGGCTGAGAGGGCAAAATTAGAAATTAAAATAATTGAAGTCCCTATTAAAAGATATATGTTTTCGAATGAGCAGTTAAAGAAAGAATAAATGATGTTTTCACTAAACATATCTTCTACCTGGTAATTTCCCAGCTTTAGCCAGGGTCTGTCTTATATGTTGTGAATAGTTTTGGCTAATTGTTTTTACGACCGGCCGCCTGCATGACATCAACCCTCTTTGGGAATGCATTAATCAGTGATGTCTAAATACTCTTAGAAAGTACATAATATGACTCGGAAAAATCACATTGGTACTTGCCCGGGCCAGAATCGAACCCCCGCCCTCATGCATGAGAGGCGGGCCTTTTAACCACTAACCACTAGGCCACCACTGGCTTTCACTAAACACATCATAAAGTACATATTATTATTTGTAAAACGAAGTCTTCTCTTGTTGTCCCCTTTTTCTCTTTAATACTTTTAGGCCAGTGCAGAAGCCCTTAAAACTAATGAAAAGTGAAAATAAATTATAGTAGAATGAAACTCATTAGAAAAGGAGGATAATATTATAAAAATTAAAGGAAAAATAATTTACGGGCGATCTGAGGTCGGGAAGGGTATGGGGATGGGTATTTAAGGGTAAAAAATGGGTTTTCTCGATTTCCGGCAAAACTAAAAGTCGTACAGAAAAATCTTATATGGCAAAGTTGTAGGTAATAAAAAGATCAAAAACTTTTGTACTAACATTTTTTCACATAACATCAAATTTTATGTGAAAAATTCGAAAAAACAAGTTTTTTGGTTTTTTATTTTTATCTCTTCCAAAAAACAATTTTTTGTCACGTAATTTGGTGAAAACTTGTCTTTTGATGTTCTAAATGCACTGTAATTTATTTGATAAGAAATATTTATTTTTTCAGCTTATTTTGAATAAATACCGAAAAATCAGATTCATTTTCAATCGAAAAATCACCCGTCAAAATATCAGCTTTATCAAAAAATTTGGTGTGTTTTCTCTTCGTTGAAATGTCTATTTCCCGATGGTGTAGAAAAAGATATTAATTTCTTACTTGCAGTGCCATTTTTGGATAAAATAATCATTTCCCTTTTAATAAAATGACACTCGATATTGTTGGCAAAATGCTCTTTCCATTTATTTTTAATAGTTTTAGCAGCTTAATGTAAATTTTCTGTAAATTACCTAACAGTGGGAATATCTGGAAATCTTCCAGAGTCCACAACCATTAAAAATAAATTAGAAAGAGCATTTTCAAACGATGTCGAGTGTCATTTTATTAAAAGAGACATGATTATTTTATTCAAAAATGGTACTGTAAGTAAAAAAACTTATATTTTTTTCTTCACCATCGGAAAAGAGACATTTCAACAAATAGAAAACATACCAAATTTTTGAAAATAGCTGATATTTTGATGGGTGATTTTTCAATTGAAAATGAGGCTGATTTTTCACAATTTATTCAAAATAAGCTGAAAAAATAAATATTTCTAATCAAATAAATTACAGTGTATTTCTAATCAAGTAAATTACATTAAAAGGAAAGTTTTCACCAAATTTCGTGACAAAAAATTATTATTTGTAAGAGATAAAAATAAAAAACCAAAAACTTGGTTTTTCGAATGTTTCACATAAATTTTGAGGTTATGTGAAAAAAATATTAGTACAAAAGTTTTTGATCTTTTTATTACCTACAACATTGCCATATAACATTTTTAATTTTGTCGGAAATCGAGAAAACCAATTTTTTACCCTTAAATACCCATCCCCATATCCTTCCCGACCTCAGATCGCCCGTAAATTATTTTTCCTTTAATTTTTATAATATTCCCCTCCTTTTCTAATAAGTTTCATTCTACTATAATTTAATTATGTTCTAAAAGCTATCGGCACTGGTCTATTATTAAAGCTAGATGCACTAACTTTTCATGTTTGTAATTTCAAGTAAATGTACGGGATACCTATTATGCCCAATGTGTAACAGAAGAAGATAAAGATTTTTTTAAATCAGAACAATAAATGCTGTATCTCACTTTTAAGGTTTTCAGTCACATCAGTAATATGGGAATATACGTTATTTCTAATTTTTTTTTTATACAGGGTGACTGGTGAATTACTATCAATATTTAAGGAGCATACTCGGTACATGATTCTCATTCGAATTATGTAAAAAAAATAGGTACTTAATTTTTGACCAAATTTCCGTATAAATAAATAAAGTGTGTACACGTTCCAAGTGTTCCAAGTGTGGACGCGTGCGGCGGCGTGCTGATACAACAACACGCCGCCGCGCGAGCGTGTGTGTGTGTGTGTGTGTGTGTATACCTAATCTGTAGGGTGTTCATACGATGCGTAATTAATTACATAACTTTTGGTTAACTTTACTTAGAAGTTTATTAATATTTATGTTATATTAATTTTTATTTTGTCATATATGATCGTCAAATATCACGTCCTCAAATATCGATAGTAATTCACCAGTCACCCTGTATATCTCTTAGTTTAATTATACTTTGTAAATCTAAATAGTCAGCGTTAATTAGTATGGTGTGCACAACGCAAATTAATCTTTCTCATAATAGTCTCTATCATCTCTATGTACTCAAAATTTTTCGATTTATTCCATTTAGAAATTCTTTTTTATATTTATTTATAAAATATCATATACATTGGCAAGGTAAACTAAAATATATCTAAGTACGCTTATTTCGAAATTTACTTTAGAGTTCATACCATTTACATAATACATGCAATCATTCAGATGATAGATACATATTAAAAATTTAACACAATAGTCAATATTTATTCAAGTCAATTGAACAATAACCAGAAAGGATTCTTTGATAAATTTGTGTTAATCAACTGATATTAGCGGAACGGAACTCCGCAACGCGCTTTTCCCTATCTCCCACTCCTCGGCTGAGTGTAACGCGACTTTGGAGAGGTAAACGGAATAAATCAAGGCGATGTAATAAATTTAAAAACATGTCTCATTTTAACTTTTCAAATTTCATATATATACCAGTGCCGATAGCATTTAAAACATAATTAAATTATAGTAGAATGAAGCTCATTACAAAAGGAGGGGAATATTATAAAAATTAAAGGAAAAATAATTAACGGGCGATCTGGGGTCGGGAAGGTATGGGGGTGGGTATTTAAGGGTAGAAAATGGGTTTTCTCGATTTCCGACAAAACTAAAAGTCCTATAGAAAAAAGTTACATGGCAAAGTTGTAGGTAATATAAAGATCTAAAACTTTTGTACAAACAATTTTTTCACATAACCTCAAATTTTATGTGAAAAATTCGAAAATTCAAGTTTTTGGTTTTTTATTTTTATCTCTTACAAAAAATATTTTTTTGTCACGACATTTTGTGAAAACTTTCCTTTTGATGTTCCAAATACACTGTTATTTATTTGATAAGAAATAATTATTTTTTTCAGCTTATTCAGCCTCATTTTCAATCGAAAAATCAGCCGTCAAAATATCAGCTTTTTTCAAAAATTTGGTATGTTTTCTAATTATTGAAATCTCTATTTTCCGATGGTGAAGAAAAAAATATAAGTTTCTTAGTTACAGTACCATTTTTGGATAAAATAATCATGTCTCTTTTAATGAAAAGACACTCGACATCGTTTTGAAAATGCTCTTTTTAATTTATTTTTAATAGTTGTGTACTCTGAAAGTTCTCTAGATAGTCCCTCTCTTAGGTAATTAACAGGAAATTGACATTAAGCTGCTAAAACTATTAAAAATAAATTGACTGATTTTTCGATTGAAAATGAGGCTGATTTTTCGGTATTTATTCAAAATAAGCTGAAAAAATAAATATTTCTAATCAAATAAATTACAGTGTATTTGGAACATCAAAAGGAAAGTTTTCACAAAATTTCGTGGCAAAAATTGTTTTTTTGGAAGAGATAAAAATAAAAAACTAAAAACTTGGTTTTTCGTATTTTTCACATAAAAATTGAAGTTATGTGAAAAAAATGTTAGTACAAAAGTTTTAGATCTTTTTATTACCTACAACTTTGCCATATAACTTTTTTCTATAGGATTTTTAGTTTTGTCGGAAATGGGGAAAACCCATTTTCTACCCTTAAATACCCATCCCCATACCCTTTCCGACCTTAGATCGCCCGTAAATTATTTTTCCTTTTATGTTTATAATATTCCCCTCCTTTTGTAATGAGCTTCATTCTACTATAATTTATTTTAACTTTTCATTATTTTTAAAGGCATCTGCACTGGCCTAATAATACTTATAAATCTTTATATATACAATTTTTCTGTGAGTGTGTATTTCACTGAACTTTTCTCAAACGGCTTGACCGATTTTAATTAAATTTTTTGTGTGTTTTCTAAGGGATCTCGAAATGGTTTAGATTCACAATTTGGTCCGCTGGACTATGTTTTTTATATTAATTTTTAATTTATTAGTAGTTGTTGATACAAACGTTTTTTTTTACATTGACTTGACAACTAATATGTCAATCATTCTGTCGCTTTTTAAAACACGGAGATTTATGGCTTTAATAGGTAAACTCCAAAAATATACATAAAAAACGTAACAGATATTTCTTGATTATAGGGCGATACGAAGTTCGCCGGGTCTTCTAGTTTACATATATGTATTTTTATTATATGTGCGTCGTTGTCTTGACCAGCCATATAGACCAGCCATATATACCTTTATTGAATTTTAAGGCGCGTTTTGTTTCTAGAGTTGACGGTTGCTTAGAAAACCAACATCCTAAAGACCATGCCATCAAGATCATGAAGTATTAGCTCACTACCGAACTTATTAAGAATAGGATTTGTAAACGGTAGAATTGGGAACGAGAGGTGTAACAGCTACATCTCTCTACAGTCTACTAAAAGAAGGCTCGTGTATACTCCATTCAATACAAAAAATGCAAAAGTAATCTCGCTTATTATTCACCTTTGAATAGAGTGACATTAAAGTTTAACTCTCTTTTTAAAAATACTAATATTGATATATTCTCGGGAAGACGTCTTGAATTCAAAAAAATAATTTAACAATATTTAATTAATTAAGCTTAGATTTTACTTTCTAGTTATTTGTTCTTCATGCACTGTATTTAAATTAAAATGTATTTAAACCAAAACTTTAACTCTGCATAACATTACATGCACATTACATGCATTCTGTTACTATTTCAGCATGTAGTGGTTGCCTGTAACAGAGGTAGCACATAGCATCTTAAATGTAATAATTTAAATGTTTGTATTTCTGTATACTTTGTTGGCGATCCAATAAATAAATAAAAAATAAAAAACTTGGCCTGTCCAAAACTAACAGTAAAGGTCATTTTGAGAATGTATTTTTAAGGCTGTGGAGAAAGGAACTTCAACATAGGAGATGAGCGTTTAACGCGCGTTAGATAGGGTCCCTTAAACCTACACCTGGGTCACAAGTCCCAGTCACTGTTGAAGCTCCTCTCACTACAAAGATGGACCCAACACACGCACCGTGAATATATTGAATGATGAGAATGTTTCGGCACAAATTATTTTTTTTAATAATCACGTGACAAAAAGAAACAAAATGTTCTGTTGTTAATAATTTTTGATTAATAGGTATAATCTAATAGTAATATTAAATGACATGCTGACTGTTCATAACTGCTTTAAAATTTTAACCTTACAAAACATATGGTTGCAACGATTTATTTTTAAAATAAAATTTTATTATTTGATTACTCATTACTTTTATTCATTATTAAGAATCATTAGTGATTACTATTATAATGTACTTTAATATTTGTTTTTAGTGAAAAATCATAAGGTTTTATTAATAAAGACCTCGACTTATGTGATAGCACTAAAAATTGAATCCTACTTATGTTATAATTGCGAAAGTTTGTGAGTGTGTGTGTATGTTTGTTACTTCTTCACGCTCAAAGGGTTGAACCGATTTTGTTAAAATTTTGTATACAGGAAACTGACGTCCAGGAATAACACATAGGCTACTTAACATCCCGGAAAATGTTCGACTTTTCCTCATATAAGCGAAAAACCATATTTACTTACTCGAGAACTCAACTCCTAGCCAAAACGACATTATCGCTATGTACCTTTTGCCGGTCTATATAGGCACGATCGACAGCCAATAAGCATTCCTTTCGTTAAAAAATATATCTTTAGATAACAGTTTCATGCTGTAGTTAATTTCTTAAACACTCCCAAACTATTCATGTTAACGTAAATCTTAATTTTTATAACATTTCTGTTATTTGTATTGTCCCATTTGTGGGCTTTCTTTAATATATTACTAATGCCGAAATTAACACAAACGAAGTCGCGGGCAAATCTAGTACTAATCATAAACGAAGGTTTTAATACTTATAACAAACGAAGGTTTTAATACTAACTAGCTTTTGCCCGCGACTCCGTCAGCGTGTAACTCCTTGTATATTAAGTTAATGAATTGGTAATATTAATTATTATTATTTATTTTGGTAATATTGTTTAGATCACGTTCGCATAAGGCTTAACCCTTTATAAGACACAGAACTTTAAAATATTTTTTATTTTTAAACTTTATAATAATGTGTTAAGGTTCAAATTCTGGTGGCAATATAAGTGCCACTGCCTTAATTAAAGGTAAGATAAAGGTACATATACATACAACGAAAATACTTCCGTGCAAAACTTCTGGGTAAACTATATTGAAAGTTGACCCGTCCGGTACATGAACATAAAGATTTTTAGAACTGCTAACACGGGAAAGACAAACATACAACTGACTATGTGTGAAACAATTGACACTCAGATCTACTTCAGTAACACGAAAAGTCTGGAATTGAGCCCTGTTAATTGTCATTACATAAAACACCGGTACTGGGAATTACGTCCTTTTAAATGGTAAACCTGACCTTGTTTAAAATAAATAAAAGCATCACAGGTAGAACACGGAATAAAAATGCGATTAGGAAGAATTATTTATTGTTGACTTTAATAGACACAAATCAACAGCAAGTTATTGTCAAAATCACAAGTACACGATGGCATAAATTGTACTCATAATAGTATACAGGATGATCAGTAAAGGTTCTGTAAAAAGCGTTATATTATATATATAATATGGATATAGTAAATTATAATATACGTAAATATATTAATAATTTACTTTGTTTTTATATTAATAATATATTTTCTGACATGTTCAAATTATATACATGATGTATATAAATATAAACCATACGACTGGGATGACTTTATGTTGTAGTCCATGAAAAATTATATTTATTTAGTGACAGAATAACTATTAGTTTTTATATCATAACAATTTTTAATTTTTAAAACTTTTACAGTTGAAACGATTACCGATCTCATTTTATGTAGATTCTATGAGAAGCTTAATAGACATTATTAAATGTTCAATATCTATAACTCTACAATAATGATACGTCGTGCTAATTATGATGTTATTGTATGCTTAAGATGATGCATCGGAACTCTTTACCCCTTCAGGTAAATAATATGTCTAAGTAACAATACGGAATAATATGTGATTTCAACAAAGCGTACCAATATATAATTTCTAATAAAATTGTATTAATATCAATCAAATATATATTTTTTTGTCAAAATGTATAATTTTCTTCGATATTTTACTATTGCGTGGACAACGAGAACTGTTTATCTAAAATGTACAATAACACATAACTGCTATTAAAAATCTTATTATTAACATAATTTTGTGCATCAACATCTACGACTACTGAGTGTAAAATTATAGAATTTTATTCTATCCATTATAACTATTCTAATATATCGAATAAAATTTATTATCATCTAAACAATATGTAAATTGTAATATTATGATAAAGTTTCATATTTTTATTGTCTCCATTACATTATTTATTGAGTTTATTTTTGTTATAGTATTTTTGAAATATTTAAAAATTTAAACATTACTTACATCGAGTCAAAAATAACAAATATGAGCGTCCCAAAAGCTATTATTTTATGAATAATTATTTAAAAGCATAGTAACATTTTTAGCATCTGTCAAGCATAATTTTAAAATTCATATTTCATTCGCAACAGTAACTTATTGTCTAGAATATTTTTTTATTATATAAAAAAGAAAGTATCAAACACGAATTACATAATATCTAAATATTTTAATAAATGACGAATATCATAGTGTTTCATACAATATCTATAGGTATGTATTTCAAACCACTCCAAAATTACTTATTAGTGTATCTAGAATTATATCATACAAATTAGCAATAGACATAATTATTGTCAAATTTACTGTTTATTGTCTTTCTTAGTAATATATATAATAATTTTAATATATAATCTATATACTTGTATATGTTTTATTGACTGAATAAATCTGTTTTCATGTAACAATTTGATGGACTTTTTATTTCGTATTCAATAAAAATAAACATTGTTATTCGGTTACTCTATCATTATAACTTTTAAAATTTCACTAATGTTTATGTTTGAGGCCCTTTAAAATAATTTTGGCATTAAAAATGACAAGATAACAATTTTTGTTTTTTATATATTAATTAAATTATAATGAACTTACATATGTCATGAAAGCATTATTATTGTCCTTAGTTTCTTGATATTGTTTTAAATATCAACTAGTAAAAATCATACAATTACTTATTGAATATATTTTATGTAAATATTAATTGTCAAATAGGAAATATTTAATCTACCTTACAATGTGAAAACATTAATAGAATATTGATCTAACAAGTTCAGGGTAAAGTAACAAGTACCAATTATAAAACACAACTAAGTGGCTCAATGACCACATACAATACATTATATAACCATGTATTTGTAAAGTAAATATTTTTTTCTAGTTTATTCTATAAATTTATATGAAAATTAGTATTTTATTGTTCAACACATTGTAAGAACATTATATGAGAACTTGAATTATTGTCAAAGTTTCATTTCATCACCATCAAATGAAGATTTAAACGTTAATTGATTTCATTTACTCTAATTATCATAATATAAGCTAGAAATGCCGTACCAGGCACAATAATTTACTGAAAAACAGTAATAATCAATTCAAAGGTTGTCAGTAATGTGACTTCAAAGTTTATAATTTTTTTAAAAGCTGTTTAATCCTAGTACATAAAGTTTCTCAAACACGATAATAAATGACTGATATGAAAAATTGATATAATGTAGATTGACATTATTTACCCATTAGTATAATAATTATTGTTATAGTCTGTACAACGAGCCCCGCCCGGTCAGTCCAGTCCAAAAGTAATATAAATATTATTGTCTTACATTCCAACTAACATTCTAAACACTATTATCTAGTTATTGTCGAAAATTACATCATCAATCACAAAAGTTGCAAATATATATATAGATATATAATAATATACGATATAAAATGTATAAACAAATGATCCGTTTCCGAACAGAGCTCGCGGTTCCCGAACGTTTATCTGCTGAGGGCTGTCATGATGACAGTAGATATGACAGTTACAATGACAGCTGTCAAGTGGCTTCCTTCATTCACGATAGCGCTCTTGTCTCCCGGTATTGGGATGGGGGTCCCAGGGTCCACCACGTGGATTTTCCATCCTAGATTGTTATGAGTGTAGCACTGGAAGAAAAAAATCATAAATTTTAAAGTACTTTCTTTGAAACGAGTTTAAAGTTTTTTAATTAATTACAACCAGGCTATAATCGGAACCATTATTCCAACTTAGATTTCATGAAAGAAAAAATATTATTATATTATATTTAATATTTCATGAATTTTGGCTTTACTTTGCAATTTTATATTTTACAAGACGTTTCCGTCTGTCTGTCCGTGATCACGGTTATTGCAAATTGAAAAATAGTCAGACGGGAGAAACGTATTAAAACCGTATGATATAGTCAAGTCAGTGGTAGCCTAGTGGTTATGGGGCTCGCCTCTCGTTGCCCAGGGCGCGGGTTCAAACCTGGCAAGTACCAATTTGATTTTTGGGGTCATATGTACTTTCTGACAGTATTTAGATACCACTGACATACGGTGAAAGAAAACATCGTGAGGAAACCTGGATTTATAGTTTCACAATTATAAGTTTGAAATCACCAACGCGTCTTGAGCGAGCGTGGTGATTAATGCTCAAACCTTCTCCATGTGAGGAAGAGGCAGCTCAGCAGTGGGCGCTGATAGGCTGATGACGATATAGTCGAAAAACATAGTTTATTTAGATATTTTCTACCATAATTGACCCAAGAAGGGACATTAATGTTTGAGGGTGATTATTTCCGTGTCATTAAATGTTTGTTAGTGTTACTTGGTAGTAGACGAGGTCGGGCGTCTCGTGAGCGACTGTCCAGTTGAGTGTCGCAGGCTCTCCATCATTACACTCAAGCTGTAAGGTCCTCATATACTGCTCGAAAGTGTCAGACACCGCGGACTGGTCAGTCGTCTTGTGGGTCCACTCGCAGTATCGACCAACTAGTCGAGAATATACATGTTATAAAACCAACTAGCACTACAATACTACCTATGTTATTGAAATAAGACATAATTTTCGGATTTACTACGAGTTTGCAATTATTTTATTACATACTTCCGATATTTACGTTATTTTGCATATATGATCATGAAGACGAAATGAGGAAGTCTCTAGATTCATGACTCCGTTAAAAATAAGACGAAACCTCTTAGCATTCAATGGATTCACACGGCCATATAACATATTTTTTTGTGGTGTTATGAAAACTTTTACATGTAATTATTCATATTAATACAATGAGACGCCTCCAAAGAAACAAATTGGTCAGATAATTGGAAAGTTCTTACAAAATTAAACACATGGTTCAAAGCAATGAAGTATGAGATGTTATCTCTTAGTGTCACATACCGGCCGTAGGGTATGGATATCCCTCGTTATCGAAGGCGACTCCCGCGAACACTCTCTGTCTCCTCTGCTCCTCGGGTCTCTTCTGACCGAACCCTCCCTCCGACGAGTCACTGATGTACAGCGGGTGGAATCTGGGAACATTATATGTTATTATCCACCTTATTCCAGTAATAATATGTAATAATTTATTTCAGACTAATTACATCCATATTAAAAATACATTAAAAGCAGAGTGTTAGTAACAAAAAACTTAATACCTAATGTTAGTACTATAAAATTATAAAACTAATATACTAAGCACTATTAGACCTAGTATGTAGTTGTATCCATTGATACAATATCGGCGTGTTTTTCTGTGTCTTTCAACAAACACATTCAGCATTCCGTTGGAGCCGCGGAGACGCGCTAACATTATGATTATTCCGTTCTAGGCACATTTTTTTGCACGTGTGATAATTAGCGAATTAATGTGTACCGTCCATAAATAGATCTATGAAAACTTAGAGTAATCTGTTACGCAAGCATAACCAGATATTAAGTTTACGGTATAACAATGAAATAAAGTACGGAATGCTGACTCTGAGCTATTGGTGGGAATGGGAAAGTGAAGTGGACACCACACGCCTTGCACCATCGGTGGGTATGCAAAATGGGATTTAACATACATTCAGTCTGGAGTCAACCGTTGACTTACAGTTACTATTTAAGATGTAGAAAATTATAAGACTTAATTATAGAATGGCTCTTAAGTCAATCGCTGACTTAAAGACCCCGCTCTAGCTAGTAGTTAGATGTAAGTCTTAATTGTTAAATTGAATATATTTTATATGTAAAACAGTTTTTTCTTGCATCCTTCGCTGCCACCAAACGTAATTAATGAAATGATTTTTACATCCGTTATTAATATTTATTAGTAATATATTGTTAGCCATGGCCAATACATCCGAGTGTTGGACAAAACGCCATATACTTATATAGATATTATTTTTCTTGTATATATGTATGTGTGAGTTCTTACTTAGCCGGGTTGGTCCTATCGTCTCCACCTTCCACAAGGAAGGTATAAGTCTTCCCACGCTCCACGTATATCTCAGGGATCAGTTGGTCGTTAATGTACCACGCTATACCCCACGATGGATGACCTGATATTAAAATTCACATAATTATTAATTAAAAATGTTAAAGAAATATATTTAATTATAACATATATATATAGTTAGTTACCATAATTCGAGTATCCATTACTGATATCATTGTCTGCGTGTAATTTAAACATTTATTTAGATTAAACCTTGATATTAGCGAAGTGTTTAGTTATAATATCGTCAATGTATGAATGTTCTCACCAGTAATAGGTGTATATCCTCTCCTTCCTCCAGCTGGTCCTATACGAGCTGTCATGTTAGTGACTCCGGCCAGAACTCGCGGCGTCCAAGGAGTTGGACCTGCGGCGTCCAGTGTTGCTAGACCCACACATGAGTTATCGTTCTGGGGAAGCAGAGTTCTAATATTATTGGATGATATTTAACCTTTCAATGGCTAACAGATATTATATTATGGTTTGTGAATTTTGGTCGTTTGTTACACCTGAAGTGAAATTTGTTGTAGACTAAAATGAGATAGAGAGTAAATATAAAGATATTAATATGAGCATAAAGGAGGAAATAGAAAATCAATGTAAATAAGAATTCCTTGTGGAGACTAAGACCTAGTTTAACCATATATATATATGGTTCGGGTCTAAACCTGAGCTCCAAAGTCAAGTTGCACGTCGCTTCTGGTGGTGTCCATGAAGGAATGTGCGTTAGCTTCGTATCTTGAGTTGAGAGGTCCGAAGGCAGCGATGACGGATTGGGACCTCGAGGTCAGAATCTCCTTATCCCTCGTGTGTTCGGTAGCGGCGAGCGGCCGGCGGTACGTTATAGTAGTGACGCCGTCTTTCTGGTTCCCCGATACTGAAATTATGATTATCATCCCACTAATATTATGATTGCGAAAGTTTGTGAGTGTATGTGTATGTTTGTTACTTTTTCACGCTCAAACGGCTGGACGGATTTTGATAAAATTTTGTATACAGGAAGCTGACGTCCAGGAATACTAATATTATAACTCTGTCTGTTACGATTTCACGCCTAAACCACTGAACTGATTTTAATGAAATTTGGTACAGACGTAGAGTTGACCTTAAGAAAGAACATAGGATAGTTTTTATCCCAGTCTTTTGAAAGGTTCTCTTGGAAACGCGATATAACCGAACTCCACGCGGGCGAAGCTGCGGGCGGAAAGCTGGTTATCGATAAAAGGGAAAGGAAATAAGTGAAAGATTTTTATTGAAGTTATGGTAACTTACCAACAGCGACGTCTTCGCTGCCTCCGAGTCGTGCGTCAGGACACACTCCTCGCTCACCGTCACACTGCGCCAAGTGACTGATTGAGTAGTCGAAGGCTCGTGGCTGGTTATTCCTACAAAGATAATTCAAGTTCTTATATTTCACTTCCCTTCTACCTGGCAATTTCCCAGCTTAAACCAGGATCTGCCTTACATGTTGTGAATAGTTTTGGCTAATCGTTTTTACCACCGGCCGCCTGCGTACATCACACGTACTGCGTACCCACATTTTGGAAATGCATTAATCAGTGATGTCTTCTTATATTTATCCTTCATTATTGAACTCTTGTTCTAGTCATAGATGATACTAATGGTGTTTTTCGCTAAATTATCTCTTGTATAAAGAAAAACAACAAAGAAAGCAAATAGTCAAAAACGCAAATGTTATCGAATCTTTATACATATGTATAACGTAATAATTTTTGCTATTTGTGTCAGGGAGTTATTGGATACTAAACGTCTTATCGTCTACCAAGATGAGAATAGTTAAGTACTTACCCAATTTTTGAATATTCTGAATATTGTAAATGGAATGTTACTTATATCCTTAATATTAATAATATATTATAATATGTAATATGTTATAAAATTCATAAATAAAGAAAGTTAGTATTACAGTCGACATATATAGAGTAGAGTACCATCAATTGTCAGTTAAGTCTAATCCCTACTAATATTTTAAATGCGAAAGTAACTCTGTTTGTCTATCTGTTACGTTTTCACGCCTAAACCAATAAACTGATTTTAATGAAATTTGGTACAGAGATAGACTTGACCTTGACAAAGAACATAGGATAGTTTTTATCCCACACTTTAGAAAGATTCTCTTAGAAACGCGATATAACCGAACTCCACGCGGGTGAAGCTGCGGGCGGAAAGGTAGTCTTCATATATATTTTTTTTGTTCCTGTTTATAAATATTTACATACTTAGTGTCCCAGAAGGCGACTACTACATCAGCTCCCAACATGGCAGGTCTTCCTTCAGCTCCTGACAGTCCGAAGGCCATGTAGTGTTCTTTACGTAGACGAGCTGCTAGTGTCACTTGAACATGATCACCCTGGAGAAGAAATAACAGAATATTATTATTATTTCCGGGATGTAAAGTAGCCTATGCTTTATTCCTGGACGTCAGCTTGCTGTATACAAAATTTTATCAAAATCGGTTCTGCCGTTTGAGCGTGAAGAAGTAACAAACATACACAGACACTCACAAACTTTTGTAATTATAGTATTAGTAGGATATGGATAAAGGCGAAAGATTTATACGTTTTGAAGGGAAACCAGAAATTTAATAAATTTTAACAATAGGTGTTAGGAATTTTCGTTACAGAATTTCTGGGTTCCGTCTCCACGCTCAAAGCCCGAGATAGAAGCTATGCAATAGCTTAAAAGAGTCGATTTAGTGTTCAGGTTCTGAAAGTTTTCTTTGACATGATGTATGTTTTTGTTCATGTAAATTGATCTACAAATTTTGCCATGTTTTATATTTAATACAATCTTTGATTCAATAACATACTTGTACAATTTACTTATTTATTTCTATTATCAAGTAACAATGAGTCATTTAAAAAATAATACATAGATTATTGTGGCTTATAAGTGACTTTCGGTATCTTTGCCTTTTGCAAGAGGATAGAATAATAATAAGAATATCTTCGAATGGTATATTTTCTTAAATATCAAGATTTACTTTTGCTCACCTGTTACTTACCTCATCGGTTGTCTAATAATCAATTAGTAAAATTATCATGAAACAGTTGACAGTTGAAAAACATCATTAAAAAAGGAATTCTATATATGTACCTTCTATAGGGCTCTAAAAATAGCGTTAGTATGGTATTAAGGATTTTCCTTTGATTTAGTATATAAATAATCAGATTACACGAGCTGAGTGATAGAAAAGAATTTCATTCACTCATTAAGTTCTCGAGGAATTTCGAGGAAGCGTCAGACTTATTTAGTAGAATTAAGGCAGTAGCAACTTCACAATACTACTATTCATCTACACTTCTATAATAGATGAACTAGCTCTCTTACAAGTTGTATTAAATTATAAACGCCAAGCACATATCGTGAGAAGTGCTCACGATGAGAATTTTCAAAGACAAGACACCATACTAGTGTTAATAAGTGAATATTTTCAACGGTCAACTGTCTCAGTAAAATAACACAAAATCTTTAGCAGTTCAATAGTGTACATATTAATATTCAGTGATTAATTTATAAGGAAACACTTCCAAACTAGCGTTAGTCTAAACTATAACAATATTCTTAAATTACTTGCTAAATTTCAACAAAATATTTTCCTATAATTTGAATAAATTACCTTAAATGGCCGTCACTCGCTTGTAAATAAAAATTAACGGTCTATTTAGTATGAAGACTAGAAAATAATAATAAAAGGCCTTCAGACTGGCCGGATAATGTAATATAAAATAATATTTGATCAAATCACCTGAACTTCCCATCGAACTTGCAGCCGCTTGTCCAGAATTTCCTTGCAATTATTAGCGGCGTTAAATGGTACTTGGGATGTGGTGGAACTTGTCTGGAATCAGTTATACTATTAATATCTAGACTTAAATGTTACTTTTGTATTACGAACTCGCTTAATAATAGGTATTCTAGTTTAATATATTCAATTTTCTGAAATAAGTTAAGCTGTGGATGAGAAGGATATACAAAAAAATAATAAAATATGGTAAATTATATGTATAACAATTGAGAATTGTATCGTTATCAAAGCAAAAAAAACTTAAAGTAAGATGTTGTATATAGGTTAAGAAAAGAAAAGAAAGTAATAGTTTCAAAGATGAACAAAATGGACTTACATTAACATGTTAAACAAAATACAAATGATTAGAAGTTAGGAATCAAAACTAAATTATTTGACAGTTTGTTAAGCATCATAAAGAGGTTGAAGACTTAAATTATATATGGTTATATGATAAAGAAGATTGAAATCATTCAAGTATGGTTATAAAACAACTTACCGGATTATACCACCAAGCAGGCTGTAAGCAACAATTAGTACATCCAAAGGAAAGCGATGGAAAAACAGCACATTTATTAATGTTAGTTATTTATTAATAAAATTAACAGATCAATACACATATAATTAATATATTAAATATTAAACCAATTGAAAAATGGTGATTTTAGTGTGTTATAAATGACAGGGAGGCGACCGGTTTGATGTGGTTTTGAAGGTTTGATCTGGAAATTAATGATTATATGATATTAGTCTCCCGAGCCGGCTGTCAATAATGTTAGTGATAAACGAAATTAAATTAAACATATGAAGTAACAAATACATGGACAAAAATGAAATAGAAAACAATTTGCATAATTTTCGATCAGCGCCATCTAGTAGCTATAGAAGAAAACTAATTTCTTTAATGCGATATTTTGAATCTACCTAGCAAAACAATACATATTTAGTTAGCTCTCCGCTTAAATTTACTTATTAAATCTCATCAATAAAACTTAATTGTGTCTTATTATCGTTATCACACCAGCAATAAGTTTCAAACCACGTATTTTTATACCAACAAAATCTCGCTGTATCCTATACATCGTATGTTTGTCCCACCACCATCACCTGTGGTTATACTCACAGTAATCTTGGTCTGTCCTAGCGCCGGCGGTACATCCAGATCCTTGGGTATGTATACATGTCCGAAGTTATGTCTGTACTCCACACACCACACAGCCAGCCAGTCAATGTCGTGAGCTGATAGTGAACCAGGCAGAACCAACTCTATATCCTCGCCCTGGTAACCTCGGAGAGGGCTGAGGGAACCCATCTCGTTAGGCACCTGAAAGAATTGGTTCTCAAATTAATATACTACTAGCTGCACCCCGCAGTTTTCCGGTATTTTCGAGATTTTTGGGATGTAAAGTTTTAATATACAAAATTTTATCTAAATCGTATCAGCCATTTGAGCGTGAAGAAGTAACAAACATACACACAGTCACAAACTTTCGCAATTATAATATTAGTAGGAAGTAGGATTTAAATAGCTAAAATTGATGAGAGGAATTCAGGCAGATAATTTCAAACTGCGTATTGATTTTAATTGAATATTTCGTCCTTTTATTCGGACTTCCTCAGTAAGTTAATCATACTATTTAAATAAATCCACAGTTGATCTTTTGTCCTAGTAATAATACGAGTATATATGTGAAGGTGTATGCGGATGTATGTAATGATTTTTATTTGTTGTTCTAGGAATTATGGAGAAACTTTATAGTAAAATAATTTAGATTTAAGGTACAGAATATATCTTATCCCTTAAACCTGAGTAGTTGTTGTTGGTGTTTTTTGCATGAAATCACGTGATACAGAGGGTCTCTGAAGATTGGTTATCTAATCAATAATTTTAATGAACTTTACACATTTCTCTCTGAATTCATTTCGAGAACTAAGCCGACAAGTTCTAGGAGTTAGGACTCCATTAATAGACATTTTTTAATGTATCGGGGAAATTAAATGTATTTATTTCGTAACAAAGATTTTTCAACTAAAGAAATACATAAGAAACCAAAAGTAAGAAACTGTAAATGTAAAGGAATATAAAAGTTGTGCTGGATCATAATACAGTGGATAATATACTTAAACTTAGTGTAATAAATTTGTCACTAGGCAATTTGTTAGGGAAATTTGATTCTTGAAAAATATATACACAGAAAAACTAATAACATACATATTAACAGAATATATAAATTAATTCTACACAGTTTAGTCATTACAAAGACTAATATTACGTTCTTCAACGTTAGTCATCTTAATGACGACATAGATCATTAAAATTTGTTCTAAGCTAAACTAAACTACTTAAAATCTATGTTATATATAATAAATACTCACTTTAGTCCCAAACGGATTCGGTTCACTTCCATTACCGACCCAGAAGTAAGCATCAGGGCCGGCGCCGTCGTAGTGTAGGTTGGGGATGTAGAAGGTCTTAGCGTCTAAAACACTGATGTTCCCTGAGCGAAGACCGTGAGCTAGACGCTTAAACTCCGGGAGTACTCTAGGACGAGGAGGATCAAGACCTGGTGGAAGGAACACGTCCCCGAAATTCACCTGGAAGGTACAACATAAAACTACAGATTGTATATTAGTTTATTGGAGAAAAAAAACAGAGCACAGGAATGTAATAAAAAATATAAACAATAAAACAGTAAATTAAAGACAAATAATACCTGAGTCCTTAAACATTCCTCACTAAGAAATATAGATAAATTAAATTGAGAGGCCGCTTGGGTACGTCTCTAATAATACACTTGATAAAAGTGATGTATACAAATAAAGTGTGTAAATTTAATTTAAGTATGTGAAGGGAGTGATGGTAAATGTGCATAGAATATTTAGCGCTTAAATTATATGAGTATCATAACAAAATACAGGAGATATTAATCCTATGTCTATGTATGCAGATAAGAAATAATATATAGAATAAGAACCCGGAACTACAAAACTAAACTAGTTTTTGCACTCGAGTTCGTCTGCTTTAGTTTCAAAATTGGTGACCACGCGAAATCTATTCTTACAGACAGTAGATAAGAAGATTTGATCGATTTTTTTTTTCTTTTACAATTGGATGAAAATCCTACATTCTAAGCTATCTCTACGCCAATTTTCAGCCAATCCCGTACAGAGGTGCTTGAGTTATAAATAGTGTAATTAACACGACTTTCTTTTATAAATATAGATTATCTGTCAGTGTCTAAAATGTAATTATATCATATTTTTAATACTAATCGTATATAAGGATTGATAAATATAAATTAATACGAACGAAGTAGCGGTCAACGACTAGTTATATATTATATTGTATCGAATTTAATTAATAAATAATTAATTTGTGCATGACCGATGTATCCATATTATTAATATTACCAGAGATTGCTTTATAGGAAAATTATAAATGAGCTTAGAACAAGTTTCGCGTATTATATTCCATACGACGATTTTCTCGTCTGTGTATTATTGAAAAACTGCAAACGCCTCGTACCTAGTATGACCATGAAAACATGGACTAAGGATACTGTCAAATATAAATAGTTTTAATTATCGTATAGTATATTAATAGTGGTATCATTAACAGATCACAAACCCCTAGTACGAGTTTAATAGTAACAATGAACTTTATCTTCATCCGTCATAACTCAAAAGCTGTTGTATTAACAGAACTGAATGCCGTGCGCGCGACTTCAATCGATACTAGCATTTCGAGTCACAGACAACATATTGTACTCACGACGCGATTCTACAATCATTTATTTATAGCAACCAAATAATATAACGATTTAAAATACATAATATATAAATAAGACTATGTTTAAATTTATTAAACATTTGATTCTTTTAATTATATACGCTTAATGAGATCTAAGATTTTCGCGAGTACTCATTTAAATGAAATAAATATTTTCAGATTTACTATGTACGAGATTTTTTTATTTGAGAGGACATTTTCTCTGCCCGTGATCACGGTTGCTGTAAAGTAACCGAAACGTCGGGAGTATGTAGTTTATAGTCAAAAATAAAAAAATCGCGTAATACATCCGATAATATTAGTTTCATTTATAGATAGGCTTTTTTAGCTGTCATTTGTTCCGTCAATATAAGTATTAATTACGAAACATTCAATATTATTTAACAATTATATATAATATAATTATTAGTGCTTGTTTTTATTGATATATAAAACCTTTTTGTTAATCACAAAATATTCAACCTCAATCATACTATATCAAAACTTGAGTGCGTGTCGAAATTATAATTAAAAAAAAATAGCAAAAGAGAGAGTATTGTACACATGAAAACGCTTTTAATTGTCCATTGTAAGTTTCTCCACGGCCAAGGATGGCCTACAAGAGGCATTGTGATCTAAATTAAAAAGCCAGATGTTTCTTTATTAACCTTGACTGTGTTCTGGCGGGGAAATGAAGAAAAAAGTGAGAGTATCTCACAGTCGCACTAATTACGTTAAGGTCACGAATCAATTGTAATGATTTTCATTAAAATTTAAATAACCTTTGATATTAATAGAGATTTGTTTCTTAATACAAACAAATTAATATGTATTTATTATCTACACAAGAGCATCCACAGAGTATATAAAATAATTTATAATTTATAATCTATGTCTAATATTGGACTTGTTTTTATGACTCACAGTAAATCTTCTACACCACACACTGATCCACTTGATGTCTCTCAGTCTTTTCCCGGCCGGCAAACGAAGCAGGATGTCAGAATTAGTATGTGACGATAATACAGGTGGATCACTGGAAATAATATTAACATATAAAGGAATAATCGACAAATATTACAAATTATTTTTAGTCTGTCATTATAAGAAGTGGCATTTTTGGCGGGAGAAATTTTCTTTCTGTAAGACAATATACAATGTCCACTTAACAATAATAAAAGCTACTCTTAAAGAATCTCCTGTATGTTTAATTAAATTTTACTCAAACTCTGACACTTTTGTAACAAAAGAATTTATTTCGACTGTTTATTAATTATTTTTATCTTTAAAAGACAATAATACATAATAAATAGAATTAATAAGTGATAATAATGTCACTATTAAAAATATATAGAATAGTTTTACTTAAAAAGCGAAATATATTATCTGTTAACTTCGTGTCAACAAAAGAAATGACAATTTTTTTTTAAACTTCCACGACAACGGTTCGCGCGTCATGCGATGTGGCCATCACTATAATTATTTTCCATTTCATCATTAATTGATATAAAACCTTTTTAGTTCGTACTTCTTTAATATTTGACAGTTAAACCGTTAGACATATAATATGTTAATGTGTTTTGAATACAATATTCGTTTCTCATTTGTTTAGCCAAAGTGATTTAATGACAGTGCCTTTATAACTTTCGCGTATTTTAAAATGAATTCTGTAGGAATATTAATATTACATATCTTTAGGTTAAATGTAGTTAACTTGATGACTGTATAGCAAATTTTGTATGAACTTTTAGTTGTTGTAATATGATACTGTATGTTCATAGCGTGTAGATCTTTCATAAATACCGTCATGTCATATGGTAATAAAAATAGTAGTTTAATAAGGGGAAATGTTAAAACATGAGGTTTATTTTTAATATGTATTCTAAACAAGAGTTTTATATTAAAAAAACTAAAAAGAAACAGTTTTACATACATTTATTATTACACATGTCACGTGATACTATTCGTTTAATTCGTCATGGCAACACTGGTTTAAAGATGTCTTTGTGTATTTTTTTATAAATTATTCTATACAGTTGTCTATTTTTGTTGGGTCTAAACTCTCGTTTACACGTGTTTCACGTTCACAAAGAGGTGAATTCCGTTTTCCGCGTGTAGTGTCATACTTTTATGTTTTTGTATTCATTAGGTCTTTCCAAACTCGACAACATAACGTTTGTAAATTAATAAAAAATCCGGTATTCATAGTTATTAAGGTTCATTCAATAAAATAGACTCCTATTCATGAAAATTATTCTGGTTAAATACGAATATGATATAAGTTAAATACAATCTTAGACAAAAATGTTTATATGGATACAAGCAATGCATAAACAAAAGAGTCCCCTCCAAAATTTCACAGGGGTTTTCAGGACAGACATCTAAAAAGCTAGTTTGAATGAAATAACGAAATACATCTTACCGACTGGGATAATCTTCAGGGTATGGTACCAAAGTACCTTCCGGTGAAGGCTGAGGAGTGTCTCCCACCCAGAAATACGCGTCAGGGCCAGTTCCATCATAAGCGAAGCCTTTCACGAAGATAGTACTCTCATCCACCGCGTACACAGTGCCTCGAATACCGTGCGCGTATTGTGTAAGCCTCCCGATTACACGACCGTAGTAGGGCTCCGGCCGGCGTAATGCTAACGCTCCTGAAACAAAAGTAATTGACATACCGCTTTATTGAAGGTTTTGTAAAAGTAATATAAAAGTAAGAAATACAATACAAACGATTATTATATTACAAAGTATACTTTCAAGAAATACATAAGTAATTGTGCACATATACCCGTGGTTTATACTTATCAGAATAAGTCTATTTAAAATCATTTAAAATTACCAAATAAATAATTGTGAGAATATACGTATGTTTATGAAGGATCAACTCGGTTTTTAAATTAACAACGACGGATTACTTCGATATAATTAAGATTTGATATCCACATTTTAATATCGACCGTTCAGTTTTACATGTTGTAGCTAACTGCCCATTTTCAATGTCTGACACTTGTCATACTTAAATGACAAGTGTCACTGACATTTGACGTTACAAAATAAATTGTGATAGATAATCTATAGAATCGATTTTTACAATAAATAATCGATTTTTACATTGAATACTCGTAGTAATAAATATGAAGGGACGGTTTAGGGTGAGTCGTTATTCTTGGAGCGAGTTGATACAATCTCAGAGGTTTGTAAGGTCGGCTTGGAGGCGAACAACTAGATGCTATACAATATAAAGACATCTTTATATATTGTCTTCACTAAAATGACATAATTTTTAAACACGTTTTTATGGTAATTTTAATATAGTTAGGAATATTTGTTTTATTGTAAAATAATAAAGAAATATTATGTTTTACTAGGAATATAAATCAATGTTGTTTCTTATGAAGTCAGTGGTGGCCTAGTGGTTAAAAGGCCCGCCACTCATGCACGAGGGCGCAGGTTCGATCTTGGCCCGGGCAAGTGCCAATGTGATTTTTCCAAGTCTTATGTACTTTCTAAGAGTATGTAGACATCACTGATAAATGCATTTCCAAAGAGGGTTGATGTCAGGCAGGCGGCCGGTCATAAAAACAATTAGCCAAAATTATTCACAACATGTAAGGCAGACCCTGGCTAAAAGCTGGGAAATTGCCAGATAGAAGAAGATAAATCAATGTTGTTTGTTATAATTTTATTTAAATAATTTTGGTTGCATATACAACGGTATTTTATTATAAGTATTATTTTCCACACTACCTGATCATTCAGTTACTTCACAGTAGTCATAAGGGGAAAATATAAAATCTTTACATATAAAAGAAAGTCGTGTTAGTTATACTGTTTATGCCTCAAAAACGACTGTGAATTTTGTTTCAAATTTGATAAAGAGAGGAGCTTGGACAGTGTAGGTGAGCGTTTAACGTTAGATAGGGTCCCTTAAACCTACACCTGGGTCGCAAGTCCCAGTCACTGTTGAAGCTCCTCTCACTACAACGATGGACCCGACACACGCATATGAATACATTGAATGATGAGAGGTTTTCATCTGTTCCATGTGTATGTGTTAGATGAACGTCTTGACCCACATTATAACAAGTTATTCCGCTTTGATTTAAGTCCAACATCTGATTCAAACATCAATACAGCCTTATTTGTAACTAGCTTTTGTCCTCGCCTCCGGTCTTAGCTGCTACAATATATGCACTGAATAATTCATTATATTATGACCCTCAGATAATGAATTACTATCTTTATAGTCATAGAAGTTGTGTAATATAATCACACATTAGAAATATCTTATTCATAACTTGTATACAGTATTTTTTAATCTATTTTTACAACTAGTTTGTCATAGCTACTTTGTCTGTTTTGAGTGAAACTTATTATGTTTAAAGCACAGGTAATTTACTATTATTATGTAATTTCAATAAAAAAAGTTTTCCTTAAAGATTTATATGAAAAGAAATTAAAAATTCCTTTTTATTGTTTCCTCGTTTTTGTAACCCAAAACATGTTTTAATAAATTTGTACTATAGTTTTTTTAATACATATGTATTTAATAAAATAAATATATATTTTATGTTTAATTCGATTGTAAACCCGGTATTATTATTTAATAATATCAATAATAATAATAATGTTTTATAACTATAATCTCAGACCAACCTTCATCAACTTTATAAAACATCATCGTATTATATCTAAAGCCCGGCGCTCGTCAAATCACTTTTACTAAACAACTTCTTCGTCCTTTTAGAAACAATATTGAATTAAATTTTATTTAGAATGTTAAACAGTTTGTCGCAACTTAATAAATATTTTGTAAGGCTAGAATACAAACTAAATGTATGTTCTTTCGTGAATTTTCATTAATATTATTGAGCTGTAGTTTCTATTTTATAAACTACTAGCCTATGCTCGCGACTTCGTCTGAGTTACTATCAAAGATCTCCACCAATTAATTATCAGCCAAACCCGTACAGTCGTTCTTGTGTTATAAATTGTGTAACTAACACGACTTTCTTTTATATGTTAAGATTTTCTATCAGTATGACTACTACGAGTTTATAACGTCACTGCATACGTTACGTTTCTCGTTTCTCCTTCAACAACCTATTTTAATACAATGAATTCTTAAAGAAAAACTATTAAAGATGCGTTTAGTGAAGATACGAACTTGTAGTAAACAAAGGTACTACAATCTTCTAGTAAAGAGTATATAAACCTAGAGTAACATAGTATATTTCTTTTTTAAGCAGTGTGTACACGATACATATAGTTTTAAGCTGTATACCTATATGTAATATTAAAGTATTTCCATCTCAGGGTATGAAGTCTGGTAATCGTGGGTCGTCATCACATCTCCTTATTTATCTAATAACCTTCCAACCCCCGAGCTTCACCCTTAAGGAATATTTTGATTGACGTGTTCGCCCCACAGATTTTACTACGAGGGGTGACTTTAGGGTTGCTGCGACCACGGAAAACAACGCGAGGACAAAACGAATATATTGTATTAAATTGAACACATTACTTTCGTTGTTACTATTTAAATATTAATTTTTATATTTAATTTTGAAAAAATACTTAAAAAAAAGAATATTGTTAATATTGATTTCATTTATATGCATTTCTGTAATATTCTATTTCTGTGTTTTAAGGCATTTTAACATTTTCCACGATTTTTTGAGATCTTTTGATAAAACTGAAATGTATCTTTTCGCAACAAAATATTACAAAAAAACATTACTGACATTTTGGCCTCATATCTGCATTTATATGAATTTATAAAAATTATTATTTTAATTTATTTTTTCTCTGCACTACTATAAATATATTCTACAAATACATTTATTTCTTCACGTACGATCTAATCAATGACAGCGCCGTAACCTTTAATGATCGTTTTAATCTAGTGATGCAATGATAATAACCGATAAAATAAATCGTATTGAGTGATATATCGGTAAAATAATTTACCGGTTTAAATGTTTCACAGGGTCATCCCTCGAGCTCGTACGTTCCCCTCAACACGTTCACTTAATACAGTTTTGTCTGAGCATTTCGATACACGTTTATATCACGAACAGGGACGCCATGTCTTTATTATAAATATATATTACATTTACTTCATACATACTACTTATATTGATACTATTTATTTATTTAAAACTTTATTGTCTAACTACAATAACGTAGACACAAAAGGCGGACTTAATGCGTGAAGGCATTCTCTACCGGTCAACCTTTAGGCAAAACAGAAGATCGTGAAGACGGTAGCAATAAAAGTTAAAATATACTAGCAGATCGGTAAACGTTAGTTCGCTATATAAAAATAGGGTTTATTATTAGGGTTTATGATAAAAAAGTAAAAATTTAGGGTTGTATGTATTTTTATGCCACATTATAAAAAAAAAATACGGGTGAACAATCATTATCACTTAGAGGTATGAAAAATAGATTATAGCCAATTCTCAGACCTACTGAATACTCATATAAAATTTTGTAAAAATCGTTAAAACCGTTTCGGAGGTATCTACCTATCATTATGGAATGGAAATTTTATATGTATTAGATAAAACTCTTAGATTTACAACGATTGCTTACCTTGTCGAGTTAGTTAATAGAATTTACATGTCTATTTAATGTTTTTTTATAAATATTATGTCTATTTGATTTAGTTATTTTGTTGATATGAATTCAAATAAAATTGTTTTCTAAACAACGCCTTAATACCAGACGTGGGTTCACATATAATATCTTCTTCCTGGCAATCTCCCAGACTTAGCCAGGGTCTGCCTGGCTATACATATTAAGTATATATGATGTTCAATAGCTACACTTGCAATATATATACAGGGTGACTGGTGAATTACTATCGATATTTGAGGACGTGATATTTGACGATCATATATGACAAAATAAAAATTAATATAACATAAATATTAATAAACTTCTAAGTAAAGTTAACCAAAAGTTGTGTAATTAATTACGCATCGTGTGAACACCCTACAGATTAGGTATACACTGACACTCACACATACGCGTGTCGTGACGTAGTGTTGTATCAGCACGCCGCCGCACGCGTCCACACTTGAACATTTGGAACGTGTCAACACTTTACTTATGATTACGGAAATTTTGTCAAAAATTAAGTGCCTATTTTTTTTACATAATTCGAATGAGAATCATGTACCGAGTATTCTCCTTAAATATTGATAGTAATTCACCAGTCACCCTGTATATATATACAGTATAATATTATTAAACAGTTTCCAACTACTGAATCTATTTTGATGTAATTTAGACTAAAAGTCATTTATAACCTCGGACAATTTGAATTCAATTCCGATTTCTATGCAAAAATGAGGAAGGGAAAAGTTAGTAAATCTTATTGTATTTCACATCATGGACCCCTTTCCGAGATAAAAACCCCTACACTTGACTGAGACTGTGAAGAATTTGAGAGCGGTTTTCAAGATTTGTTGTACCTATGTATCCCTAATCTGGGAATTTACAAAAAAGACGACTACATATGAAAGTATTCATATCTTGAAGTTCTTATATGTTGAATGTAAGAAAAATATGTTGTTTTTAATTACAGCATTCACTAAACTAAAAATAGCACATACATATATATAAATGTCAAAGGGACGAAACCTCTCATCATTTAATACTCATAG